AAAAAAAAAAAAAAAAAAAAAAAACAAAATAAAATAAAAATAAGTGACAGTATATACGTACAACAGACTATCGACTTCTGGAAAAAGAAAGAAACAACCAAAAAAAAAAAAAAAACAAAATAAAATAAAAATAAGTGACAGTATATACGTACAACAGACTATCGACTTCTGGAAAAAGAAAGAAACAACCAAAAATTACACTAAAACACTCAAATCCAAATCCAAATCAAACCCCTCCTGGAATTCTACTTTCCTACGTCGCACCCGAGCGTCCACATCTCCCAATCTCACTCGAGTCCTCAGTACCTTCGACTTCCCCTACCTCTTACAAAAGTACGCAGACCTGAAACCACATCCCCTAAACCCGTTTCAACAAAGTACCCAGCCTCGTAAGCATCATCAGAGTCAGACAAATCTCCATTTCCTCCTCGATCCCGGGATCTAAGCCTCCTCCTCATCTCACACAAACCGCCTTGGGGTTGCCCACGTCTATTATTAAACATAAACACGAACACACAGAAAGAGAAAGAGAGAGAGAGAGAGAGGCAGACAGATAACAACACATGTCTGCCTCATATTCCCCCATCCTCGGTCCAGGCTACGGCCCACCCGCTGTCACACAGGTAGGCTTAATGTTCTTCAAGACATGGGTTCCGGGGGGTGCGTCGTAAGAATTGATCGTCCATGGTTCGGGGGGAGGCCTTGGGATTAGAGTTTGGTTTCCTTTTTCCTTTTTGGGAGGGAAAGGGTTCTTTTTGTTTTCTAGGTTGTTGTTGTTGTGGGTATTTGCTATTGTCGACGACCGGATGCCGTTTCTAAAGGGGGTTGAAGGTTGGGTTTGAGTTTTGGGGGGTGGGTTCAGCTTGGGATACTACTTGTGCTTTTGCTCTTTTGGTGTCTAGCGTGGTTCTGCCAACTTTTTCTTCTGGTCTATCATTTGCTATCCATATTTGAGATTGGGAGGAGTTTTAAGGGAAGAGGAAAGAGAAGAGGGAGGGACACAAGGTAAAATGGAAATTCCCCCCTCTAGAACCGTAACTTTTCTTTGTGTAGAAATCGACAAGCAGCAAATGTAAATGACACGGTTTGGATGCCTTTCAGTAATCATCATTATCGATCAGTTCATACATTACAAAGAAAAGATTCCTCAGCCGTGAAGGAAGGAAGCCCGCCTGACGAAAAGATCCAAAAGTGTCGTAATCCGGAACGAGAAGAAGAAATGGTATGCGGAGTGGGTGGTTTATGTGGTTCTCTTCGCGAACTCGACGCGGAGGATAAGATGGCGGTAACCGACTAGGAGGGTTGTTAGCTTGCTTCTCTCTCTCTCTTTTTCCTTGGTGGTTTTTTTCTTCTTTTGGTGTATTCTCTTTGGTACTGGGAGAAATGGGGGAGGAACGTACAGCCATCCATCTTCTCGCAGGCGCGTGCAGCGTCGCTGCGATCTGCGAAACTGATGAAAGCGAAGCCCTTGGCTCGTTGGGTCTCCCTGTCTCTGGCGAGGAAGACTCTGGTGACGCGGCCGAAGCGCTCGAACAGATCGCGGAGTTCTCCTTCTTCCGCCAGCTCGGATACCTGTTGCTCGTGGTTAGGATCGACATGACATAGATAGAGGAAAAGAAAAAAAAAAGTGTAGGGTAAGAAAACTCACGTTTGTAACTCTCAGAGTCGCCAGATCGTCCTTCTCGAACTTGCCACCCATCCTCTCGCCGCCGCCAGCAGCACCTTTCCGGAGATGAGGAGGCACGTAGCTGCCAGATCCGGTGCCAACAGCACCGGCTGCTTCATCGGCTTCACCAGCGGCACCAGCGCCACCGGTAGGCTCGTCGACAGGCGCCATGGTATCCTTGAACGGACAACGGGCAGTAAAGTGCTCTCCGCTGCAAATACGACACTTGACCTTCTTGTCCTTGAGCTGATCCTTCATGCTGCCCTTCTCGCCGCCGTTCTTCTCCGCCTCCGCGGCCTGTGCCTTCCAGTTGATGCTGGGTCTGAAAACGATGTTCTCACCGACGGAGGTGGTATCGAACGAGGGTCCGGGAGCGTGGCCCTTCTCGAGACCGAACTTGGCCCAGGACCTCCGCTCCGCAACCTGGGGGTTCACATGTTCCCGCACGACGGTGGTCTTGATCCGGCGGGTGACCTTCACCTTCTTGCCCTCGTCGTTGAAGCGGTACGACACAACGGTCTTGGTGCCATCTTTGTTCGTTGTGACTTGTTGCGCGGGGAGCGCGGAGGGGTCATCGAACTCCTCGTCGTCGGCCCAGTCGGCGCGGCTGCAGAAAGTTGCAAAATTTTCATGTCAGGGGACTTCCGCCGACGCGGGTTTATGGGGTCCGGTCGCACTTACTTTGCTAGTTTGGACATTGTGCTTTATGTGGTGATCTGCAAATGTTGCTGAATTTCTTAGGATTTCAACGAAAGATCCGTTGTGGATTTGTTCGGCGCGGCAAAGACCTGTGGCGCAGTTGGTGGCTTGTGCCGGGGGGAGCTGGGCTCACGTGACGCCGTCTGGACCATCTCTTCGTAACCCTACTCTGTGTATCAAGTCTAGCAAAGACGAACCAATTTGGTTTTATAGCTTTGTTACACATATGATATATTACTGGTTATATACTAACTCATAATTTAAGCTATATGAACATAACAAGGAAGCACACCGTACTGGCCGGTATATAACACGACTACTACGGAGTAGTACATAGTAACATGACACTTTCTAGTCTTCCAATATAGACACTCATTAGCTACTCAGTTCATTATACCCCTGAGGTTGCATACTGACTTAGATGGATCCGAGGTAATCAACCTTCACACTCTTGGTATGCTAATGGAGAGAACTGCAAAATATACCGGATGATGTGCCTATTTGCATCCTTTCCTGACTATGCGGACAACCTTGTTTCGAGGCCCAGAAGGCAATAGTGGTTGTTCAAGTCTATAGTTATGCTTTGTAAGTGGAGGGTGAAAGTGAAACTGACAGCTGATACTAGTTGCTTTGGTGTTGATCTCGCGTACAGCGCTCATCTCAACTGAGGTGGTCCAAACTGGACTACATGAAGAGATGAAGGGAAAGGATATTACCAGAAGACTTCCTCTCAACGACTTTTCATGTTCTCGTTTACATCTCAACAAACCGACAAATGGACTGCAATACCACTAGCAGATGGAATATCATTGTTGTGCTACGAATTCTCTTAGAGTAGATCTTAGCGGCCTTCTGAAGTTTTCAATATAATTTTCAATAATACCGCTACATGTAGGTGTATACAATTGTACTGGGATTCATGGACATGAATATAGAATCTCTTTAGTAATGTAGACTTGGGTTTGATCCTCAGGATTTGATGTCTGATAGGTAGATTCGGGATATCGACGCTTTCTAGGGCCAACACGTTAGGTCTGACCCTGAGGCGTCAACAAGTCCACCAACAATGCTACATTGCTTGTGAAGCAAGATATCTGGAGCTGTATACCGGGGTGCTCATTTTTTAAAGTTCGTGCTTGAAAGATGTACACACGGTATATTAACATCTAAATTACAAACACATATATACATGACTCGCGGTATCAAAATTCAACCGAGCATCTCAAAAGAGAACAGTCGATGCCGTCAAGAACGACGTAGTAGACATCAAAATAGAACGTATTCACAGACCCATACCCCAAACGTAAGAAAATAAACCGAACAATTACCGGCTAAACACCTTCAACTCAGCCGTTCTCAAGAAGATATAGGACACCGACGAAAAAGCAAACGCCAACTCGAACCCAACGTCACCACCACTGGGTAGTGCGCCCGCATGTTTCGCAATCGGTCCGATCCACCACGACTGGCTCATTCCAGTGACCATGCCGGCGATACCAAAGCCGAAAGCAACCGCAGCCGCAATGCCTGGGGGAAGCTTGTTGGGTTTGTCATATATCTCAATGCGGTATCCACCGAAGCCACGTTTGAAAACGAAGTGGTCAGTGAGCGAGATTCCGGAGTAAATGGCGAGCCAATAAGCAATGATGTTCATGAAGTTCTCTAGGATAGTCTCGAAATGGGAATATCCCGGAATGGCAATGGCCACTGAGGCGCACGAACCCAGGAAAACCCAGATGAAACGAGGAATTCTTTGGGTATAGCGGCTCAGAACTTGGAGAGTAAGGGAGACGGAATAGATGTTGGGGCAGTTGTTGGCGACAATGGAAAGGGCAAGGATCACGAGACAGAACTTTCCGAATCCCCCAAGAGGCTCGAGAACAGCAGCGAGCAAACCTCCGTTTCCAGAAGCTGTGTAGCCAGCTTGGTACTTGTTGTCGCCATCGTTGAGACTGGTGGCGGTCATAATGGCGATTCCAAGGAATTGTGTAAATATCAGAGGAACGATCAGACCAGCCCACGCTGAGAAGAAGATCTTGCGGCGACTGCGGTCCCTGGGCTGGTACACCGTGTAATCAGCCGCGTAACTAGTCCAACCAGTAGCGAATCCGTACACAGTTGATCCAAAGGAGAGACAGCTACCCAGTTCGGATTTTCCGACGCCCATGGGGATATTCACAAAGTCCCCGGAGTGGGCAAATGTGCCGAAGACGATCATGAAGACGATAAATGTTGGCACCCAACTCCAGTATTCGTACATGTGGACGACTTTATATCCGGCAAAAGTGATAATAAACGTGCAGAAGGCGATAATCAGAACACCTGCAAACCCTGGGACGTCGGTGTTGACCGCATGGAGGAGCTGAGCACCGACGATTGCATTGGCTGCGGACCAACCAATACAGGCCAAAACGTTGAGACAGGCAACTAGACAAGTATTAGTGGCCATTTTACGAGAACATGACAGCACGAATCAAATATACTCACTGAACTTGGTCCCCCAGTATCCGAACCAGAACCGTGAGAGTACCATTTGTCGTAGGCCGAAAGGAGGGCCAAAGCACGAAAAGAATCCCACAGTCATGATGCCCAACAGGTTGAAGAAGAGATTCACCAGGATGGCATCGACGAAACCAAGAGCGAAGAGGGATTTTCCGAGGACACCAATGGCAAAGGAACTGACTACCATATTGGCCGCCAACCACTGCGTGTTGGGTCAGTTGGACAGGCAGTTTTGGAATACCAGATAATAGCTGGCATAGACAAAATTAACGCAACGGAATCATGAACACACCATGCTGCCAATATTGAAGTACGACGTATCCGTTTGCTCCTCTGGTGGTACCCGTTCAATTCCACGCTGCTCGATGTTGATCTTCCCTGCGAGCCGTTGGAGCTTTGCATACAGTGAATCACCGTATACAAACGTCTCCCCGGGTACAGCGCCATCGCTGCTGGTGTCCAATGTTGTCTTCGCCACCTGAGGGCCTTTTTCAAGGTCTTGATCTTTCTTTCCGAACATCGTGCTAGATTTGGTCGTGTGATAAGACCTTTTTTTCAAAGGCGATTTCCTGGTTGATGAAGATCCCCACCAATGAAGGAGGGAACTTGAGAACTGAGAGGGTCGGAGAGCTAGATAGCTCTTGAGACCGACCAAGTAGGGTTGGGAGGGAGTGGAAGGGGAACGGAAGTATTCAAGCTGAGGTTCACATCTTTCCCTTTCCTTTCTTTTTTCCTCTGCGTCAGAGGATGGGGGGAGCTCGGAATAAATATCTGGTCGGAAGGACTAGGACAAATTCTTCCCACACATCTCCACTCGATCTCAAACCAGCGAGAATTGCCGCGACCGCGTAACTTCCGCTGGGTTCACTTGTCGCGTGTCTTCCCAAATCCAGGTCAAGCCTTTTTTTTACTCGTTTCGAGAAGACCGCCGGGGATCCACTTGTGCCTGAGCCCTAAGGTTGCCTCTCCTAACGGGCCTTCACAACGAATCATGGATCGACAAGCTTTCTAGGAATCATCTTGATTGGCGGATATAAAATTCTCTCGGAGGGCCAAGCACCATTGAGATTTCCTTGATTGGCTGCAAATTTTGACAAGCCCATGTGGGCCCCACCAAGAGTGGCAACGTGACTGATAAGACTTTCGCTGCTGATAGGCACCGTTCCAGATAATCTCGGTCACTGATACCACCCATATCACTGGCTTTGAATCAAGCTTTCGCTATCGATCACAGTTATCTCGCATTGCTCACTAATGATACGGCTCTTAATATCTTCATGACAGTGTCGGACAACACCGATACCGTCCTACACAATCTGACTATCCTACACAGGATGGATACTGGCTCCCCCGACAACATACAATATAAATTGTCTATAGTACCTTAATCTCAGACTCATTTTGACTTGACACTGGAGGTCCCTAAGTTACGATACTGAGACAATATCTCATCGTTGATATCAACGTGTTTGACTACGTTCTCTAGATCCCTCACTTCCCTGCAAGAACATCACCCTGCTCTATACGACGATGCTAATATACTACATGAACAGTCATGTCCAGGGATCAGCCACCTCCCTTCTCCAGGTCTTTTGCTTACCCCGCGCCAGCGGAAACTTACGATCTCTCTAGCCCCAACTCACAGCTCGGTAATCGCCGTCTCTGATAAGGCATACAAACAGACAAGCTATGATATTGTTCTTGGCGCAGCTGCAGCTCTAACCATGTGTGTTTGTGTCAGAGAATATCAAAGATGGCTTCACCAGCAAATGTTCAAGATAATGAGTGGATACCCAGTGTTTTAGACCCTTATATCTTCCCTTGAAAGTTCAGATTTGCTCATATGTATATGCCCCGGACGCGGCTGGAAACTATCATTTGGGTGTACCATTGTCTCAACCGGCTAGTTATGTCCCATGAAAGAAATACATCAGGTACTCACCTATCTTATATATCGAAGTAATGGAGTACCCAGTCAGAAGTATTGAACGCATCTTAGTATACTAACTAACGAGTCTGTCTGTATCCTCAGGCATCATATCGTGATTCTCACATGCAGCAACCATGTTACATCGCGCGTTTTGGCCACATATTAGACCACTCCCCCATATGGCATGAGGTTTCAATGCCACTGTTCACAACTCAAAATTCTAGCATTCACATAACCATCCTCCTCGCCCTCTCTCACACTCCAACCCATAATTGAACCCAACCCAAACACCCCAAGCAGTACTTGTATACACACCAGTAACCTCCACGAAGACACCAGGAAGCATGAGATGCCCTAATCCGAACCTTAAGTGGATCAACCCCGACCCATAATCCCCACCCGCATGCAAAAAAACCCACCACAGAAGTTCCACAGCCAGCACCTCGGCAGCTCAGCTTAAGTCCTTACCGCTAAACTCCCTCTCCATTTTCAAGGGGTTGCATAAAGCGCGTTGCTTGTGGAATTGTCATGTGTAATCTGCCACGACCTGAATCACTGAGGTACTGTGTTCGGGTACGGCTTGAGTATCCGTTTGACGATTTGTATAACATGGTCTGTTAAGAGTTGACTGCTTCCTTCCGATGAGTCAGCGGCTTTTTGCCACTGTTCCCCATCGTCCTGTAGATATTTACGGGACAGTTCCATGTTCGGTCGGTTTCATGGTCGGGCCTGGGTGGAGAGAGAAAATTGCACGGATCCGGCTTGCCGAGCCGGTTGCATAATTCTTGGGCTCGGTCGGGATCATTATTTTGCCGGATATCTCTAGAAGATACGTTGCTTTATTTGGTATGAAGGTACTCAAGGCAAGTTCAATGCCGTTTGGCTTGGTAGGTAGTCTTTGGTGATCTATGGCCTTTCTTTCTGTCGCACAAAGTCGCAGATACCAGAGTTTTATTTACAGCTGCACTTGAATCGTGGAACAGCCCGGCTGCTGTAGTACTCTCAAGCAAAACAGAAAATTGTAACGGAGAACGCTAACGAGTATAAATGGTCATGAAAGTCAACATGTATATGCACCATCCTCATACCCGGAGTGCGCCATTAAGAATGAAATTATTTACAGTTTAGCAAGCATCTTGTGACCCTTCTGCAGCAGATCAGAGGCATCATTAACAAGCTCATCAACAATAGCCTTGGCAGACTTCTTCTCGTTGACAACAGCAGCAACCTTGCCCATCAGGAAGGGACGGGCGTTGTCCAGGGTGTCGTCGTCAACGTCATCGGGCAGGTTCTCCATGTCGTGCTCGACAGGGATGATACCCTTGGAGGTCAATTGCTTGATCTCCTCCTGGCGGTTCTCTTCCCAGTTCTTGATGTAGGCGTTGTTGCGAACACGAAGGGGACGACCCTATAAACTGGTTAGCGAGAACGAACACGTTGTGGAACGCCCGAAAACCTACAGTGAAGATAATGGTGCGGACATTGTCCTCGAATCCGGCAGTGCGGACGGCCTCCTGGTGAGCAACGGGAGCACCAGCCTCATCGGACAGGATGAAGCGAGTACCGATCCAGACAGCAGAGGCACCAAGCATAAGAGCAGCGGCAACCGAGTTACCGTTGAACAAACCACCTGCGGCGATGACCTGCACGGGCTGACCAGTCAAGGGGCTCTTCTTGCCTTGGCACAGCTTGGCAACGGTAGGGATGAGGACGGTAGTCGGAACATCACCAGTGTGACCACCACCTTCACCACCCTGGGCGCAGATGATATCTACACCAACATCAAGAGCCTTCTGAACGTGCTTGGGGTGTCCGATCATGTTCATGCACAGGATGCCAGCACCGTGGAGCTTCTCCACGACATGCTTGGGAGGGACACCGACAGCCGAAACGAATAAGCGAGCACCGCTCTCAATGATGATGTCCACAAGCTCGTCAAGCTTTCCCTTGGTGTAGTCGTAGCTGAGGCCCGGCTGGTTAGCATTTTCGCATCTCAACCAAGGTGTCCTAGGTACAGGGAAGCTTACTTGGTCTTTCGTGCACTTCCTCCGACCTGCGGAAGCAAAAGGTCGACACCGAAAGGCGCATTCTTGTCGTTCAAGTAGCTCTTGAGCTCTGCAATCTGTTCACGAAGCATTTCGGGAGTGTAGCCAACACCGCCGATGACACCGAGGCCACCGGCGTTGGTGACCGCTGCGGCCAACTTAGGACCGGCGGCCACGTTCATACCTGCCAGCAGGATAGGGTGTTGGATCTTGAGCAGATCCGTGATGGTAGTACGGATTTTCTCTGTCGAAACCTGCGATTAGCGATTCTATCCAGGCGGATTGCCACAGCTCCCAATCACATGATGGAAGGGCAGAAAGGCGGTGGGAGCTTACGAGGAGACGCCATGGTTGAGGGTGGGATGTTAGAAGAGAAAGTAACCGAGAATCAAAAAGAAGATGTAGTGAAGATGATCAGGAACGATAATATGTGGAGAGTATGGAGAAACAAGTCCTAAATATAGGAGAAGAAGAGGATGCGGCGAACCGAGGAGGAAGCATGAAGATGACAGCCTCGGTTGCAACTTTGACACGGGACCTCCGAATGAACTTAATTACCCCATAGTTACCAGCGCTTTTTGGGTTTAGTGCTTGACTGGTCGGCCGATTCACAGGCGGGGTTTCAGAAGTTTATTAGTCACCCGGCAGAGCTGCCTCAGGTGTCGTGCATCAGCTGATTCTGCTGCCGAAAAAGCACCCGAACCCATGCATGACGTATGACCTGAACTTTTTATTTGGACGAGTCATAGAAGATCTACTGATAGACGCCAGGGCTGCACATTTCTCAGAAAGTATGAGACCAGTGTCAATCAAGAATTGGCATCCCAATGCTGCATCCCTAACCTCAACCATTCCGCGCTGTGGGCCATGGCCTTCTCTCAATTCAGGCTTGTTTCCAACCCTGCGACACAGCAAGGTCTGTGTGCCGGTCTATAGGAGATTCTGCGCGGGCCCGACAACGAGGCAGGTCTTCTTTGACAATATTCGTGATAAACTCTCTCCTCTAACATACTGGTAGAAATCTGTCAATCTGTGGTACAAGTATGTTACTTCAATTGCGTTTCTAAGTGCTCACTACGGCCAAATCCGGTCGTCAGTTCCTCCGGAGTACAACTGAAACCTGTTTCCAATCAAGCATCAGCTTGTACCATACCGCCTTTATGTAGCCACAGAAAACTAATACTTTGTGTATCAGATCTCGGAGTGGCTGGACGACGTGATAGTCGGGCGTTGTCCAAAGCTAATGTGGGCAGTTCCAGCCATGGATCTCTAAGATCGTCCGCATCCACCCGGGGCGTTTCCACTAGCTCATTGAATTCATTCAATACCAGGATGAATCCGTGTAATCCTCCGCTTCATCGGGCTTTTATAGCCCTCGGAAGCAATGTCGGAGAGCGGGTAGAGATGATTGAGAAGGCATGCTCCGAAATGGAGAGAGCCAATATCAGAGTTAGGCGGACAAGTTCGCTGTTTGAGACCGCACCCATGTATGTCCTCGATCAAGATCCGTTCATGAATGGGGTTTGCGAGGTCAGTCACCATCTAGTGTAGCTGTGAACTGTGCAAGCTCTTCTAACTCCCAACTGGTAGGTGGAAACCAGCTTAGCACCTCTAGAGCTCCTCGATACCCTCCAATCGATTGAGATTGGACTAGGAAGGAAGAAGCTGATCGACAAGGGCCCCCGGTCCATCGATCTTGATCTCCTTCTCTACGATCAACAGATCTTCTCCCACGACCGCCTCAACATCCCTCACAAGCTAATGCTCGAACGGGATTTTGTACTACGCCCTCTCTGCCAGTAAGTGCCGTACAAGCCATACCACAAACCAGAGACCTAACAACAACCCACCAGACTCATCCCTCACGAACGACCCCCATTCCCAGGTCACAGCACAACCTACCTTTCCCATCTCAAATCTCTCCCTCCACCAGACCCTACCCCCCATGCCACAACCTACATATCCAAGAACTTCCCCCCACTGCACTCCTCCAAACCCAACCGCCCAACCCACATTATGGCCATCCTAAACCTAACCCCCGACTCCTTCTCCGACGGCGGTACACACTCCCCAACAGACCTAACCACCCTAACCAACACCGTCCGCAACTTCATCGCCTCCGGCGCCACAATCATCGACATCGGCGGCGAAAGCACCCGCCCAGGCTCCGTCCCCGTCGGCGAAGCCGAAGAGCTAGCCCGGGTCATCCCCGCAATCCGACACATCCGCAGCTCGATCCCCGAAGCCGCCAACATCGCCATCAGCATTGACACATACCGTGCGCGCGTCGCCGAGGAAGCCTGCGCCGCCGGCGCAGACATCATCAACGACGTCTCCGCCGGCCTCCTGGACCCAGCCATGCTCCCTACCATGGCGCGCACCGGCAAATCGGTCATCCTCATGCACATGCGCGGCACGCCGTCCACAATGACCCAGCTAACGGACTACCCCAACGGCGTGGTCGAGGACGTGAGCGCCGAGCTCCTCGAGCGCATCGCCGCCGCCGAAGCAGCGGGGATCCGTCGTTGGCGAATGATCCTCGACCCCGGGCTTGGGTTCGCGAAGAACCAGCCCCACGATCTGACTATCCTGCGTGATCTGCAGAAATTCCGCACGGGCGTCCAGGGACTAGAGTACTTCCCTTGGTTGATGGGACCCAGCCGGAAGAGGTTCATTGGGAGGCTTACTGGTGTTGAGAAGGCTAGTGAGCGGAACTGGGGAACAGCTGCTACTGTCACGGCTAGTGTTGCTGGTGGGGCGGATATTGTCCGCGTTCATGATGTTAAGGAGATGTGGCAGGTGGCTAAGGTTGCGGATGCTATTTACCGGGTGGATGAGTAGGGGTTCGTTCTGTGTGGGGGGATGTGGAATGGTTGAGGCATGTGCCTGATACTTGTGTATTTTCAACAATATCGAGATTTTGTAGGATAGAGTGATCATCATCAACTTGTATGATACAAAAAGATAATATATGACTTTTCGGGTGTGTTGGGTTTGGGTTTTGTAGGAAATGTCTGGTCTATTCTATATCTGTTGTTGGAGTTATGGCATGTATCAGAGGTAATCATCTTCTATTTTTATGCCTTGCCTGCAGTAGATACCTGGTTCAACTATGAATGGCCGCTACAAGGTAGAATTATTCTAAATTTTAAAATATCTGGTTTTAATTGACAAAAACGCCTAGCACTACCTAGAAACAAAAAAAAGAGGATATACAGTAACCATAGCAAATCAAAGATGATATTCAATGAAGATGCCAATTTAAAAGACGTTCGACAACTCAGAATCACAAGCAATTAACAAGAGAGAAGCCGACCTCCCCGCTTCGTAACTCGGCCTGTAGAAAGCCGAACGCTTTTCCCGGCCAGAGTACTCGCAGTCGGCAGGATTGAAATTGGGCCGAGGTTGTGTTCGCGAGGATATCATTCTAAAGGGATAGGGATAAGAACGCCGCCAAAGTGATAGGCAATGAACTGGCTAATCATGGCAAAGTAATGGTGTCCGAAGGTGGAAATTTAGAAGGTTACCGCGGTATTGATAGGTTGGGTGCATCAGTTTAGCTGTTCATGTAGTTACGTATGGCGCCTAGATTTTGATGTTAGTAGGAGGTAGGCGATCAAAGGTAGGGTAACTAACCTTGCAGTTTGACGGCACTGTCTCCGACGAGTTGTGTAAGGTTCTCGAGATCGTCTCCTGCTGTCATGCCAAAACGACGAACAAAGTCCTTGGCCGCAGTTTCCAGGTCTCCGTATCCATCATCGCCAGCGGGGAGATCATCTTCAGGTCGGCCAAAGTAAGAGTTGCTGGAAATAGAGGTGGCGCCATCGAATTGGCGGAGACGCTCCTTAGCCTCGGCCTGGGCTGAGGGATCGAATCTTTCACGGCCGAAGAACTCATCAGACGAGATACCCTTCTGGGCACCAAACCTGGACTTGGTCTGGCTAAGTTCCTCCTCTGTATGATCCGTTAGCATGTGCAGTTAATTCGAAGATGACAATAGTAAACCCACCATCAGCAGCTGACCGAGCAGGAGCGACCGAGCCAAAGCCCAGCTTCTTCGGAGCGGCAGGTTTCGAACCAGCAGTCTGGCCAAATCCTAGACGTCCGATGCCCATTCCCAGACGCTCTACATCGCTAGAGTTACGCTCGTGGGACTTTCTGGCGGCGCTGGGGCTGATTGGCGTGGGGGCGGCAATAGGCGTAGCTCCCGTAGTCGTACTCTTAGCCTTGGCCTCAGCCTCGGCCTGTTCAGCCTCAGGGTCATATCCAAGCTTCTCAATGCGCTCGGCTTCTTCCTTGGCCTTCCTTTCTGCTTCATCGAAGTCGATGGCCTCCGCTGCGCCGATCTTCTTAGCCCCCAACTTGGGTGCCTTCTTGGCGCCCAACACACTGCCCTTCTTTGCGGAACTAGCAGTCGTAGTCTTCCGGACAGTAGTGCTAGCCCTGATAGCAGCGGGGGCAGGAGAGCTTTCCTTGTCGGAGGCGGAAAGGGGAGACTTGGAGCGCGAGCCATTTGCACCTGCATTCAAGAATGGAGACGCAGTGCGGCTAACCACTGGGGGGGTTCCTGTGCGTGAGGGAGGGTTGCTTGGGCGCTTGATCGAAGGCTTATCCCAGGAAGAAAAGAAGTCATCGTCAGCATCGCCGGCAGGCGTACTGGAGCCGTTGGACGGGGTGCCAGCGGGAACGTCCGTGATCACGACCTCTTCGGGGTATCTGTGAGGAAAAGCAAGGTAAGCATCTATTAGTAGAGTTGGTATGCATAGACAACATGGTACTTACTGCTCGGCGTCCTGCGCAGCCCGCCTCTTCAATTCTTCCTTGTACTTCACGGCAGCATTGCAAGTATACTTGACCTTAGTGTCCTTGCTAGCCAGGGCGGCGGAACCTCCATGCGACTGGAAATACTTGGTGGCAGACTCATTTCCACCAACCTTCATAAGTCGAAGTTGCTCCCATTGCCATTCTGCAAGCATCCATTAGTACCAAAACTGAAGACATATCTGGGGTAGACGGTGGTGCATACGGTCGAGGTTTGTGGAACGAACGAAGGAAATGTGGACACCCAGGTTACGGTGGTGGGCCGAGCAGTCGAGACACAGGTAGATACCGAAAGGCACCGATGACCATGTAGGGTTTTTGGAGCCGCAATCAAAACAGATCTATGAGGCTGAATTCAGCGAACTTGACCAATTTCTAGACCGGTGGGGAGGGGTTGCGCGCACCTTGTTTGCGGGCTTTAGTTTGAGCTTCTCAAATATTTTTTGAGACTCCGCCTTGGTGGCACTCATTGTGAGACGAGTCGGACGAAACGGGTCCTGAACGAAGTAGAAACAAAGACGGTACAGGATGTCAGGACGTCCAGGGAGGAGGAAGAGGGATCCAAAATGCAATCGGGAGAACGAACGTGGTCGGAATCGTTTTTGGACTCCCGGGCGGAAGTTACAAATTACTGTAACTTTTAAATTTGCCGCCGTGCTTAAAGGGGAAGATGATAGACCCAATTCTGAAACCTTGCAAAAAAGATGTCTTACCGTTGTATTCATCTCAATAGGATCCACATTTAATACGTTCAAGCCAAGCAACGGTATCAGATACAAGGCTACATATGGACGTCTTCACACCTTCTGTTCGCACTGCGTATTGCAATTACAGCTGTACTCGGACCCTTCCGGAAATTTTCACCAGAGCGGAAGGCATCCACGTGACCCACCCGTCTCCCCACATGGACCGAGTCTCATTGAATGCCGACCACGGCTCAGCGCATGGAATTTTATGAGATCATTCAGCAGTTCGTGCTCGAATCTCCCATGCTCACGACTGCCGTGCGATACACTTTGATCCGACGGGAACCCGGGTGATGTTCGATATCCCACAATGAGTGTATACCTCCTACCCAGACCTTCCTTGACCCGGGCCTCGTCTGCCCTGCTCTTGCGCCCTGGATTTCCCCGCACGGTCGAGTTGACGCGGTGCTATGCGACTCACGGCGATCTCGGGGGAGGCTCAGGGCCAAGCTCGACCCCGAGACGGAGAAATGTGACCGTGCTATCCGATGATGGGCGATATGAATGGGGAGAACTGTCGGGCCGGGAAAAGGTTGCGCGCGCTACCCAACAGTCGTTCAACTTTGTGATCATATTGGTTGGTGCGGCGTTGACGGTTAGTGAGATCCGAGTGGGCAACATTCTTGCTCATGGACCATTCAAGATGCCTGTTGGATACAGAACTGATATATGGGTAGGGTGGTGTAGGTTACTTGCTTTACTCAGAGGTTTTCTCCCCGAATAGCCGGACATGGCAGTACGAAAAGGCCGTTGAGCGCATCTTGGACGACACTCGCTGTACGGACATTCTGGGAGACAGAAGGGAAATCAAGGCATATGGAGAAAGCACTTCGAATAAATGGGCGCGGAATCGTCCTATTGCGTGGGTACCCTGTTCTTCTTGGTTAGTTACGTATCAGAGACGCTAACTTCCTATAAAGAACCTCCATCGAGAAGGATCGTTTAGGTCGCGAACATATGAGAATGAACTTCCATGTACGTTGCGCCATTCCTAAGATGATACGTGCATAACTAACTGTCACCGCGCAGGTTGAGGGGCCACGTAACCAAGGAATTGTACACGTCCACATGATTAAGCCACTTGATAAGAACGAGTGGGAATATCAGCTTCTCGCATTGGATGTTAAGGGTAAGTAATAAATAATCTCAGACATATACAATCTCAAGCTAAGACTTTTACGCAGGTCACTCTCGAGTCATCCTTGAGCAAGCTCGCGAGAAGCCTGGAGTCGGACAAGCATTGAAGATATTTGGCATACAGTGGCGATAGACCAAGCCCTTGTCAAAATACAATATCTGTGCTTTGCCAGGCAACCTTGACATATATTAGTCCTCTTTTACACTGGCTGGCCAATACCAGAAGTGCGTGCTAGATATTGCCGCCTTCAGCCGACGCAAACCAGTCGACATGATCAGTTCCTGTCATTTGGTTCTCCAATGGTCTTCAAGTCTGAAAGGATAGCTTCAAGCTTGTAACAGACGAAAGTCATTATTCTTGGGTGGGTTGTGTCTTCCTATGGCTTCTTTATGCCATAGCACCACAGTTACACCCGTGTTGTACTATAGAAAACCCATACTTGGGCATGTATTCATAAAGCATTTTCCAGCATATCAAGTCCACGAGAGCTTAGCGGCAATTTCACGGGAAATCAAACAATGCAATGGCTATTTTCAATACATAAATATTAACATGAGAAACATAAAACGTATACATCAAGCTTTAGTCTCGTCATATCCGAGGACCCTCCAGGATTGTCTTCGCAGCATCCGTCGTCCACCAACTCTTGCCCTGCTCACCAGGGAAGGCAAACTCCTCCATACTCTCGGGCTTCATCTCCACACTGTATCCAGGCTCCAGAGGGGTAACATAGTAACCATCCTTGACACTAGAGGGGTGCACGAAGTGCTCGTGCAGATGGTCGACATACTCCAGGACACTCTTCTTACCACTCACAACCACGTAGTCGATCGTGCTAAGATGTTGAGTGTACTCAGGCAAGCCGACACCACCCGAGTGAGGGACGATAGGGACACCGAATTTGCGAGCAAGCAGGAGGATAGCGAGGACCTCGTTGACACCGCCGACACGGCAAGCATCAGCCTGGAGAACAGTCAAGGCTCCTGCCTGCAGAAGCTGCTTGAAGATCACGCGGTTCTGGCACATCTCTCCGGTAGCGACACCGATAGGACCGTGTGGGGTGTTCTCGAGCGCCTTCTTAATAGCGGCGTGGCCGAGGATATCGTCGGGGGAGGTGGGCTCTTCAATGAACCAGGGCTTGAACTCGGCGAGCTCTTGCATCCAGCTGATAGCCTCAGGCACAGACCAGACCTGTCCATAGCCGTTAGTTAATCATGTAAGAGAGAGAGATAGGTTTCGACAATGGTCAGCTCACCTGGTTAGCATCCACCATCAGAATGTTACCCCGGTCATAGCCAATGGCCTCACGAGCAATGCGCAACCGCCTCTTATCGTCTTCGATGTTACCTCCAACCTTCAGCTTGAAGTGCCTGTAGCCCTGTTGAACGGTCTCACGTAGAAGAGCCTTCAGCTTCTCCTCGCTGTATCCCAGCCATCCGGCACTAGTCGTGTAAGCAGGCACAGCACGGCTCTGCTCGGCCTCCTTGATACGCTCTTCCTTGCCACCCTCCACCTCCTTGAGCAATGCAATGGCCTCTTCAGGAGTGATAGCATCAGTGATATACCGGAAGTCAATGCAGCGGACGAACTCCTCGGGGGTCATCTCCGCCACGATCCGCCAGACGGGCTTGCCGAGTGTCTTCGCCCACAAGTCCCAGAGTGCATTGACGACAGCTCCCAGGGCAAGGTGGATCACACCCTTCTCAGGACCAATCCAGCGCAGCTGGCTGTCGGATACTAGATGGCGCCATGTCTTGCCCCAGTTGGCTGTGAGCTCGTCCAGGTCCTTTCCAACGACGAGTGGGGCGAGAAGGGAGATGGCGGCGCAGACGATCTCGTTTCCACGGCCGATGGTGAAGGTCTATTGATGGGAGGTGTTAGTGTTATCGCTATTGCGGTGGGTATTGCATGATCCACATACCATGCCATGTCCTGCGTGCGGGGAGTCAGTGTAGAGGATACAGTAGGCTGCAGAGTAGTCGCCCGCTGCATTCATGGCATCGGAGCCAGTCTTGTCCAGGGATGTCTGTTCTTTGAGTCAGTAATTGAAGAGTAGTTGCATTGGGTCTGGAAGCAGCCTCTGACTTACCGGAAACCGCACATCCCGGGTAGTGAAGCCTGTGATTTTCACCATTGTGCAGGGTATATTTTATAGACAGAGAGGGAAAGAGAGTCAATTGAGCTACTCAAAGTAAGACTCAAGCTCTAGTCGTAGGCGGAAGAATTGCAATCGCTTTTTCTTTAAGATGCGGGGGTGGTCATACAATGTAGTGTATGAAACGAAGAGCGATCTATACAAAGTCCAGGTAGAAGCCAAACAGAGACACTGAACAGAGATGTCTTTTGCGCAAGGAATGAAATAAACACGAAGGAAAAATCCAAGTCACAGACGGGGCAAAAGGCGCAAGATATACGGCCCTCACCCCTCCTCCCCTCCAGGCTAAAAAGGGAAATACATTGGATTGCGCTGGACTAATTCTCCCGATACTGTGGGGAACCAACCGTCATTGGCGGAGGAATTCTTCCACCCCATGGGTGCGATTCTTCCACCACTCAGCGTGTGCGATTTCAGTCGGACCGCCTCCGTGTTCCTGATTACATTAACCAGCCATCGGTCTACTGATTGTACTGTAGTAGAATGATACGGTTCGTAAGGCCGAACGCTTGCGGCAGATGTCCGTACATTCGATCGGCTCTAGATATACCTCTCTACATGCATCAAAGCCTACAATTTAGTAGCGTACAAGCCTTCAATAGGTATGAGTCCCGTAAAACTATTTTTACATTCGCTAGCGACAGACAAGCCTGCAAACATCCCATATACCGAATGCAATGTAGTTTGTGCCTCCAAGAGGCGGATATCAATTTAAAAGTACTGGTACTTTCATGTAGTAATAATTTGGTGTCGTGAAACAAGACTGCTAACCCCCCTAGACTTGATTGACCCGGTCCAATCTGGGCTTTGCCCAGCATCCAGAGGTCTTCTAACCAGATAGGCCTCTCTTCTCGCTTTCGGAGAAGAAGATGATCATTCGCCACAGCTTCCGCACCAAGACTTCTGCCTCTTCGTCGAGAGCCTACCAAGCCAAAGTTAGACACAGCAATATATCGGCAAAAGCAAGATCGGAATGAAGATATACTCACCTCCTCCAGCTGTTCCACCAGCTCTTGGGGATTTCCGTGCTTTCGAACATGCTCTTCCACCACATCCACCAGCATCTGTTCCTGAACTCCCAAATACTCGACAATCTTCTTTTCCACGAAGGGCTTGAGCTGTTCGCTGACCACATTTTCGTCCACAAACTCCCACTTGACTTCCCAGTTCCACAAGCCTTCCTTCTCGGTGGGAATTTCGGCGGCCAGTTGTCGGGCAGCTTGCGCCCGCTCCTCCTCGCTGAGCCCGGCAGCCTCCGCAGCGCTGTCGAACTTGATCGGGATGAGAGGACGTCTTGCCGTGGCTTCCGGCTCTTCTTCGTCTTCCAGCAATCCTTCGACTTCGGCAACGGTCCGGCGGCTGGTTGCAGCCTGAGCCTTCTGTGCCGCAGCTCCAAGGGAGAGCTTGAAGCGCTGGGGCTCTCTGGGGGCCTGAGTCCGGGTTTCCAATTCCTCTGCCTGGCGAGCAAGGAAGTCGTCTGCCATACCACGTGCCTGTTCCCGTTGTTGGACAGAGCGAGCCCGCTCCCGCTCTTCGGCAGCACGGTCAGCCTCATCCATACTAACTTCACGTGCTCGAAAGGCTGCACGACTGCGCAACCACGCGCCTCTATCCGCGTAGTAGTCGTGAGCCTTACGGCTAGCCTCCGCATCATCGTTCCATTCCCCGAAATGCTTATCAGCTTCTTCGCGGACTTCCTGCATTTTGGCTTCCTCCTCCTTATCCCGCTTCTTCTCTCGCTCTAAGGCGGCAGTCCTGCTCCGTTCGCGATTGAGCCAGCGTCGCTCCTGATCGAGGAATTGTTTCTCTGCTTCAACATCCTTCTTCTCTTGGCGGCGACGCTCCAGCTCTTCATCGCTCGCATCGGACTCTTCATCTTCACGATCAATGTAAATTGGAGCGCCATTCACAGAACCGCCGTTCACAAATGTCACACCCTTCTGGTAATCCTTCGGGATCTGCACGCCAAACCCCTTCGGGCCAGATGGCGCATTTGGCATGCTGCGGTCCCGAGGACCAAGAGGGATCCCGTTTGCCCCAGCAGCGGGTCCGCTTGGAGCCGAGGGAGGAGGGGAAGCCAGGCGGCTGATGCGAGAGCCTGAGTTACGTGCTCGTTCCATGGACTCGATCTCTTCCTCTCTCTTCAGACGTTCAATATCCCTACGGTTGCTTCTCTCACGGAAAGCTGCGATCTCCTTAGCAACCGTTTCCCTCATTTCTGGAGGGATATCAGATAGCTCATCTTCGACGGTGATGGGGATAGTGACAACTTCTGCCGATGCGCCATCTTGGCCCTCTGCATCCTTCATCGCAGTGTCCCCTTCACGGTCAATCGCCGAAACATCCTCTTTCTGGGTGGGCGATGACGGGTGGAACAAGTCCGAAAGGACGCTGGAGAGAGTCGAGCGCGCAGCATCTATGCGGGATTGCCGCTCCGCGGGGTCCTCCTCGCCTCTGCTAGCCTCATATTGCTCTAGGTATTTCAGAGAGCTCTCGTCCACGACAACCTGGCGTAACCAAACCGTTAGAATCGACTCGTAATTTCCCCACATGCATAATACATACCAGTAGTTGGCTTCTCTCAATCTCACTATCTTCCTTGTCACCGCCCTCCGACGGCGTCTGTCTCTTCAAAGGTACTTCGACGTCCTTTAGTACTTCCACGGCTGTACCCAGACTCTCGGGGTCCTCGTACTCAGCGAAACCGAACTTGCACGGCTTTTCATCCGCATCCGTAGCACGGATCCAGCGCCTAAGATTCCCCGCAGACCGCAAAATCCTCTCAACACCCTCATCGCCACCAGCACCCTCCGTAATGCCCCCAACAAAGAGCGTCCGAACGATCTCATCCCTAGTCGGCGGCTGCAGCTGCATCATCGCATCGCGCACATTCTGGCGCTGGGTTTCCAAATTCGACGAGCCCAACCCGGCACGTCTTCCTGGGGCCTCGCGTTCCTTGCTAGTATCCGGGGTCGCTGACTTCGCCGGTCCCGACGTTCCCAGGCGAATCACGGGCGCGGAGAAATTGATGTTGGGCATATTCGGGGGCGGTTGGAAGTTCGCAGGGAAGCCCGCAGGCCGGCCTGGTTGTTGGGCATTCGCTTGCTGCATCCCAGGCGGCGGAGTAGTTCCGGGGGCGGACATTCCGGGAGGGGGGGCTGTATATTCGTAATTAGGAAAATATCAGACAACAGGAACCAGCCGATGGCACTTACCCATGCCGGGAGGAGCTCCCGGGTAGGCCCCGAAATCAGGTGGCCTTCCATATAGACCTGGAGCTTTAGGATCGAGTCAGTAACCTGTAAACAGTCTAAAGACATGCAAGGTTGTTATTTGGGAGGTGTATCCTGCGTACCTTGGTAAGGATTATACATTGCGACGGGTTCGCAGCTCCAGTGCAACGGCAACGATCACGCAGGGAAAATTAAAAGGCTTCGAAGGTCACCGGTGTATGTTCGTGTCGGGAGACGAATAAGTTCAGGATGAATTGGTTATGATGTAGAATCTAAAGAAGACCGGATGAAACCGAAGGTTATCATGAGCACACCTCGATCTGGGAGAGGGAGATAGTGCTTCTGAGTTGGTTGGAGAAGTTCGCGACGGTTAGGACCGATTTGCTTGTTCAAAAGTTCAAGTGGTCCGTGCGCGAGATGTCTTGGCGCATCGGAGCAGAATAGGTGGCAGCCCTAGTTAAACCCTCAGGCTTCACTGAAATTGTGGTCCAGAGTTATTTTATTGAGTCAATAGGGTATTTAGATTGTCGGGACTGCTGATCCGGAAAAGTAGATATCATTATGCCCAGCGTCATGAATGTTGCGGCGTTGTTCATTATGTAAATATACCTATATATCAATGATCCGGACGCCTGAGTATCGGTTCATCAAAGATTTCTACATTATAAATAGATTAACATGAGCCTAAACTTGCAACAAGAGTTTACAATAACTGGCACATGAAGACATGGAGCAAAGTTCTCGAATCGCCGTTCCATGGAGCTCCGGACGACACATGTGAAAAATACAGTGATGTTGATCGAAGTAAACAACATCAGACATGAAAGTACATTTCTCATACGTACAAGTTCATTATAGAATATCAATCAACTATTACCACAATGGTGACCTTCTTATACCGATGGATGCCGCGCAGCTTTAGTTCTAGCTACCTAGGAGACCGCAGCCCATATTCATATCAAACACCACCAAACTAGAGAAGAACAATGATCTCTCATGAAAATGCATTAATCAAGAAAGATAAGAAAACTTGAATCATATTATACATTCATTCGGGGCTCGTTGACAAGATAGTTTGCTATAGTACAAGTTTCACCCATCGACTCAGAGCATGTAGAAAATTACTCCTCCGGGTGTCCAGTAGCCTTTCCACCCTTGTGGCCAGCTTCCCTGGCTCTCTCATCTCCAGGCTCAAAGCTTCCACCAGAAGCAAGTCCACCTTTGTGACCAGCTTCCCTAGCCCGAGGGTCTCCAGGGCGGAAGCTACCTGACGAAGCGTGACCGCCCTTCGAGGCGATGTCTCTCTGCAGAAAAGGAGTTAGGAACACACGCCTAAACGTAAGGTTGACAGGTTGTCACCAATTTACATACCTGTTTATCCTCGTCCATGCTAGCGAAACCACCTTGGTGGCTCGATTGGCCTCCCTTGCGGGCAATGCCCTCGACCTCGTCATGGGGGCGGTTGGCAAAGTTTCCGGGGTTCTGGTTGTGGGCCATTTTTGCTGATGTGTGTATTGCGATCCGAGAATTGAGATTCTGAGTGGTTCACAGGTTGAACCAGACTATTGTAGTATGTGATTTCCAGTGTATGGAGAGGAGAATCATTTACACCAGCTGATTTATCCTCATATTTATATTGCTGACTGCAGACCAAGGATGGAAACATGACTACATGATGATGTAGGATGTATACTCCAGTGATAAATCCAACTTGGATACCGCACTGCCTACAGGTTCCACCTTCAATGGATCATGCACAGGGCAGATGTCGCAATGTCCACCTCTTACGTGGACATGACCTAGTAAAGCAGAGAACTGTTCCTATTGAATGGACGAATATAGTAGTCCCAGTATTGCAGAAAACGGTCACACTTCAGAGATCTGGACTCTACTACTGTAGTGGTATGGTAGTTAATGGATTCATTGTTCTATGGATATGAGGTTCAAAAGCTCATCACTATTACCTCATAGGTATGAGGTAGGTGCTCCACTTGCTATGAAAAAAACCATTCTACCCTACTACTTACAGTTTACATTGTGCAGACAAAAAATTCAGCCAATTAGCTTTGCTTTCCGACATAATCGTAGGGGTTGAAATTCTCTACCTCCTATGTAAGTGGCGGGTGGCTGGATTAGACCTGGAGATACTCCCTACCCACAAGGCACTTCAATTGCAGATAGATTTCCTGGCCAAATAGAATACCAAGGAACAAGATTTGGGAAGAAATACTACGATCTGTCTACAAATTCCCGACAGTTGGTCTATGACTTACCACATAGTATTACAGCAGCAAGCAGGGTAGTTCATATCGAGGATAGAGCAAAAGATCTCCAGTTAAACATCAATAACTATTCAAATTCCACAGAACAACTAATTACAACAAAAACATCAAATTTCACAATACGAATCTAATTTACTCCTCAGGGTTCTCGCCAACTCTGTCAGCAGCACTGCGTCTTGTTTCGTCCGATACATTAGGGTTATGTGCAGCACTAGACACGGGTCAGTATATGTAGACAAGTGTCCGACCTCATGAAATGATCTCAATTGTAACACATACACTTTGAGTCCAGCATTGACTCTCATCGGATCCTTGTTCTGCCCACCACTCGCGCTGTAGAGGTCATGGCTTAACTGGCCACCACCAAGCTGGTCGAGCATCAACTGGGCGTTTTGCTTCGCCTCATCCAAGACTCTGGGGTTGTTGAGGGTGCTATATATTTCTAATTAGTTTCATTGAGGGTTCTAGATAATACTGCAGGAGTACGAACGCCTTGTAGCCACACATGGCGTTAACTCTTTCTTCGGTGGAAGACATTGTGATCAATATTGTTCAATTATACAAAACAATTAGATATACAGGAGCGTAGTTTGAAGTTGTTGAATGCACACGAAATTGTAAGAAAGAATAATCTAGTTGCTAATACCGACGACTCTTCGGCTCTAATACCAGCCCACTGAGGCTACTTGATGTCAGCGCCTTGCTACTGTTTATGCCCATCATAGGGGTAGAATGTCTTCAAGAGTATCTCGAAAGTGCAGAAGAGCATTGAGTTTGGATCGGTACACGACCTTAGTGGAAGCTTGAAGTAGGATTAATCTGAAGGTTGACGTGAGTGATACATCAATCAGCCATATTAGGGCTTGCAAAATCATTAGTACACAGGCTTCTGGGATTACTTTAGAAGGTCAAAATGTCTATATCGCCTTCGGTCTACGAAGAATTGGTTCCGAACGTCATGGTGACAGGCAAGCTAACCGGTGGTCAATCGTTCTTATGGAACAGATGTATGGAGTAGCAACTTCAACTTGACAAAGTTCTTCGCTCATATTATCAATAAATTACTAGGCTAGGAATATCCGAAAGCCAGAATGAGGCCGAGGTCTGCGCTTCTAAGAATTCTTGCAAACCCACTTCAACCGAACCCGTGTTGTGTCGCAAGGGGGCAATGACAACGGCTATTTCGGTAGTAGTTTGCAATGTTGTGTACAAAATCATCCAATATAGCTTGCGAAAGATGGCAAAAGAGACACATTCGGGCCAACGCCTGCTTCATCCCAAAGTCGAGGTGGATATGCACAGGAGAATGACCACTAACAATCACATAGGAAAAACAAGCTGTTAGAAAACACCATGCGAGCCCACGAAGAAAAGAAACTGGGCTGCTAACGGGACTCAATTCCTATACTAGCCTCTGCTAGCTGGCTTAATCCTTATCAAGTTGCTGAGGACAAGGATCAAACTAATGGGAATTAGCTGACACGTGCGAAAGTGTCGGTAGAAGTAACTTGAGTCACACTTTGATAGATGCCTCTATTGTTTGGGTTTCCTTTTCTGGCTTCTCGATAAACCAAAGAGTTTTAACTCTAAGAATACTTACCTAGTAGAAACAGTTTGCATCGCTTGAGCTCTAGTAGTTTTGGTAGCTGCCACTGTCATGTGTCAAAGTACAAAAGACATCTACTTTGGTAATTTTTTTTTTTTTTTGGAAAAGAATCTGTCGGGACGAGGTTGAAAAGATTTCAATTTCAAAGCATTGATAGACCGATATCCTACTATCTGCGCAGAGCTATATAGATTTGAGCTCATTTGATCGGCGTTGGACAATATTTAACCTCATAAGAGTCCCCTAAATCATTGCTTTTAGGCATCTCCGTGGTTACCAGATCAGTCATGTCGTGGAAATGCTTGCGCGATCTTCATAGCAGATTCCGAGCAATCTCGGTTGAGGATGATTCTATGGACAGGCGTCTATACTAGCTGTGCAAATGTATTGAGATATGTTTGATATGAGTCTCAGGGTTGACAAGCCCAGTTGGCCAGATTCCCGCAGTTTCCAGAAGAATTTCGAAAAGGGAAAGAAAAAGTCTCGATCCGTCGATTGCAATTAACCGTCGGACGGAGAAACTCAGTCTAGTTGACAGAGAGCCGTACGCCGTACATCGATAAGAGTTCCCGTCCTGGATTTATCACCGGTCAATGATTTCCGAGTGCCTTTTGAGAAAGGAATTTATCCCGATCATCCTATTGCCGGAATGTAAAAGTTAATGCGAGATTATGATCACGAGGTGAGAAGAAAATAAAGAAAAAACAAAGTTCGCTAATTTAGATTGCTTTGAAATTTGACAAGCTGATTAAGTATCTAGTAAGACAGTATGACGATTGGGTTGTGGCTTGCCAAAGCTATAGTTAGTTTTCCCATGGTGGTCCGTCGGGGCCCATAGCTCCGGAGTTGATGTGGTCAACCGCCGACAAGTTGTGCACTCCACGCAAATTGCAGGCGATCGACAATGTCGTAGTAATCACATTAATAATAACCGTCTAATTGAGGTATAATATCTGACAAAGGATGAATAGTCTAGACAGGTCCTGGTCCAGTTGGTACGGATAATTTCTTGAAAGGTAAAAAAAAAGGTGAGCCCCACGGCAGCCCCTCCAAAGCCGGACCCCAGCACACCGGTTGACGCCATAGGATTCAGGCCATTGTTTGTCTGCCCACCTACAAGCGTCATCTGCCCCTCCGCGACTCCCGCTGTCTTTTTCCCTCCGTTTCTTTCCCATTCATCCATTCTTCTTGGACATTCGTCTTGGTGACTTTCTCTTATAATCAGGTATGTCTTTCTCGGGTTGAGCTCGTTCGTTCCATAACTCTTCTTTTCTTGATTCCTTGCTGTTGAGAGCTTCCCCGCACTGACATTAGCTATCTCTGCTGTAGATTTTCAAGAAACAAAAGCCATCACCATGCCACCTTTCTCGCAGGCCACCGAGCTCTCCGCCTGGAAGGAGCTCCAGGAGCACCACACCGCTGTCGGTCGTAACATTGTCCTGAAGGAGGCCTTCGAGAAGGACCCTCAGCGCTTCGAGAAGTTCAGCCGGACCTTCAAGAACACTGTCGACAACTCGGACATCCTCTTCGATTTCTCTAAGAACTTCCTCACCGAGGAGACCCTCTCCCTTCTGGTCAAGCTGGCCAAGGAGGCCAATGTTGAGGAGCTCCGCGATGCTATGTTCAAGGGTGAGCACATCAACTTCACTGAGGATCGTGCTGTCTACCACGCTGCTCTCCGCAATGTCTCCAACGAGCCCATGCAAGTCGATGGCAAGAGCGTTGTCGAGGATGTGAACTCCGTGTTGGAGCACATGAAGGAGTTCTCCGAACAGGTCCGCAGTGGTGAGTGGAAGGGTTACACTGGCAAGAAGATTGATACCGTCATCAACATTGGTATCGGTGGTTCGGATCTGTAAGTTCTCGCCTTGAAAAGCTTCAAAGTTTTAGAAGTCACTAACAGCTGTGATAGTGGTCCAGTTATGGTCACCGAGGCCCTGAAGCCATACGGTGCTGCGGGCATGAAGCTGCACTTTGTCTCCAACATTGATGGAACTCACATTGCCGAGGCCCTCAAGGACTCCAATCCTGAAACTACCCTCTTCCTGATCGCTTCCAAGACCTTCACCACCGCAGAGACTACTACCAACGCGAACAGCGCTAAGAAGTGGTTCCTCGAGACTGCCAAGGATGAATCTCATATCGCCAAGCACTTCGTTGCCCTTTCCACCAACGAGGCCGAGGTCACCAAGTTCGGCATTGACAAGAAGAACATGTTCGGCTTCGAATCCTGGGTGGGTGGTCGCTACTCCGTCTGGAGTGCTATTGGTCTCTCCGTTGCCCTCTACATCGGTTATGAGAACTTCCACCAGTTCTTGGCTGGTGCCCAAGCCATGGACAAGCACTTCCGTGAAACTCCTCTGGAGCAGAACATTCCCGCCATTGGTGGTTTGCTGAGTGTGTGGTACAGTGACTTCTTCGGTGCCCAGACTCACCTGGTTGCACCTTTCGATCAGTACCTGCACCGATTCCCTGCCTACCTGCAGCAGCTCTCCATGGAGAGCAACGGCAAGGCCATTACCCGCTCTGGTGAATACGTCAAGTACACCACTGGCCCCATCCTGTTTGGCGAGCCTGCCACCAACGCCCAGCACAGCTTCTTCCAGTTGCTCCACCAGGGCACCAAGCTCATCCCGTCGGACTTCATCATGGCTGCTGAGTCCCACAACCCTGTCGAGGGTGGCAAGCACCAGCGCATGCTCGCATCCAACTTCCTTGCTCAGTCTGAGGCCCTGATGGTCGGTAAGACCCCCGAGCAGGTCAAGACCGAAGGCGCCCCCGACAACTTGGTACCCCACAAGACCTTCCTTGGAAACCGCCCCACCACTTCGATTCTGGCTCAGAAGATCACTCCCTCCACTCTCGGCGCTTTGATCGCGTACTACGAGCACCTCACCTTCACCGAGGGTGCCGTCTGGAACATCAACTCCTTCGACCAGTGGGGTGTGGAGCTGGGCAAGGTTCTTGCCAAGAAGATCCAGCAGGAGCTGGAGACCTCTGGCGCTGGCGCTGGTCACGATGCTTCAACCAGTGGCCTGCTGGCCGCCTTCAAGCAGAAGGCCAATCTGGCATAGGTGTTGCCATTGGGTAAGCCGGTCATAAATTGAACGGACAAAAAAGGAGTATAATTTTTCCATCTTGACGAGGATATGAAGAGTCACCTTTCTGTTAATTAGTCATATCCCATTGAATGAGATATGTGTAGTAATTTTCAATATTCGCTCCATTTCTAGGTCAATGTAATTGTAGCGAGAGCAATGGTTGCGACCCGAGGAAGTTGAAATGACACGGTGTAGTTCATTGCATGGAGACGGGACTTGCCTTCCGTTGGCAAGATTGGCCCAACCTGGCCTTAGTTTCCCTTGGATGTGCGGCTCGCCACCGTGGCTCCTCTCTGCAACTTCGACTCGACATTAGCAAGAGAGCCCTTCCGCCTCGCCGGCGGGCTGTGAGTATTTAACATGCCATTCGTAAAGGGTGGACTTGTTCAATTGTTCAATGCGATCGTCTATTATGGACTGATTTCGTCATTTGCGGTGCCGGTTGCTGCAGGAGGCAACTCGGCGAGTGCCTCTCAGGGTGGATATTTTCACGGACAACCCATTCCGGTGACATGCTTGAATCGGACAATGTGAGTGTGAATAATACTAAGTATTTCCGAACGTGAGGTGGAGGAGACTCTTGTTTGTGTTGGTGTGATATGACTTGTCAATAGATGCTAACGCTGGCTCCGGTTTTTTAGTGACTCCGGCGAACATGTAATGCTCCCCGCACCTATTGGCCATAGATTTATGCCATATTGAGGATATCAATGGACTGGATGTGTTGTGCTAACACAAATTCTCCAGATCACTGACAGTCTCGGAAAACTCCAATACATTCCATTCCCAACCTGCAAGGAGACCTCCCTCCCCCTCGCCCTTCGCTACGGTGTGACTGAGACAGTCAATTGCACCATTGACAAAGTTTCGGATGAGCTTTATCACCTCCTCGAGTATTATGTCCACTCCGATGTGCCGATGAACTGCCGTGTGCCCACGGCTCCCCTCCTGTCGCCCACATCTTCGCGCTCAGATGACAAGGCCCATGAAGACGAGGCCGTAGGCACCGAGCTTTCAGCTCTGAGTGAGGAAGGACCTCCTTATACTCCAATCACCTTTGCGCTGCAGGGGACGTTGCAGCGCAGTCACCTTCATATCTGGACCGATATGAATGTGCTCATGCATAACATCATCTCGAAGCCAAAGAAGAATAAACGAAAGGCCAAGAAAACGGCGCCGGGATATGCCGTGGCCGGTACTGCATACTCCGTACCCGAGTTTGAGTTGTCCTTTCTCAATAGCAAGAAGAAGGTGTCCGAGGAGGAGAAGGAGGCAGCTGCAGTGGCCGAGGCAGCCCGTGAGCCTTGGACGGCGGGGCATGGCACGAAAGTCGTTCGTGAGCAGCCTCTCACCTTCACTTTTCATGTGAGTTGGGTTGAGGGTGGAGGAGGCATCGGATGGCCATCTCGGGGGTCTTCTATTAGCGAATTGGCGGGGGGAACAGGTTTCTTCTCGAAGCTGTTTTTCTTCGTTCTGGCTGCGTCATTGGGAGCCGCCATGGCCTTGTATTGGGAACGAACTCGGCGACGGGGCTGGCGAGGCGATGGGATCCTCGGTGTTCCGTCGCGGGCAAAGGGGTCGATTGGTAGTCTGTATGGAAATGGCGGGAAATCCAATGGGTATGGGGGGTATTCCGCCAGCAACGTCTCGATGACGGGGAACGGAGGAGGGTATGGGTATGGAGGGTTCACAGCTGGGAAGAAAGATTAGATTGCAGTAGATATAGACGTATCTAGTACTGACAGGAACTGGATATAGATCCCATTCTGATTGTAGCCAGCTAAACTCCGAGTACTAATCAAGTGACATAGTATACATGACAGAAAGAACATCCACTGCAGGTGAGCAGGATAACACGCGATCTCCCTTCGCTCCCAACGACGGCGACCCTTGCAATCCCATTTTATGTACACCCCAATACAAGCCGTAATGATACACCATTAAAGACCAAACGTAATTACCATCCCTGCGCCCTCATCTTCTCGATCCGACGAACTGTCTTCTGGAACGAGAACTTGAACAGCTTCCTCCACCTGTCCATCTTCAAGTTCTTCCTCACTTGTCCCCGTCTGGTGTGGAACTTCTGACCATTGGCCTGGTACCGGATCTTATTCGCCGTGCATGTCGCCTGCAGTATCCTCAGCGCCGAGGCCAAATCCGTGCCCTTCTCCGGTTCAACGTGCACCTGACGACCGAGAGTAGGTCCCAACTTCAGCTCCACCCGCCGCACAGGAGTCCGATAGTTTTCTGTCTCTGCGGACATGCCCACGGCGCGAGAGAGCGCGAGGGGATCTTCGGAAGGGCCGTTGCGTGAACCTTCGGCGGCGGATTCGCGGTTGTTGATGTTTAGTTTGGAAAGGATCTCGTCGAAGTCGGAGGGGGCTTGCGTTGCGGTTGGGGTCTGCGCCTTTGCGGGTTCTGAGGGTTTGCTAGCATAACTGCGGATGGCGGATCTATTCATGAATTGGGTCGCAAGGAGGCCTGGTTGTTGCTTGTAGAGAAGAGATGTCGGCCTCGAACGGAGGCAGCGGGCTAGGGAGCGCATCTCCATTGTGATTGGGGTGCCGAGGGGGGGCTTTTTGCGTGGGATTCAGGAGAGTAGTCAGTTCCGGTCTCCTCGATGAGCCTTCTCGCGGTTTCAGGGATTGTAATGGCGGTGATGAAGCCGGCTGGGTTGCGGTGTTGAATTCTCCGGATACTTTGGCTCCAAATTTCCAGATCGGAAATCTGTGTTCACGTGATCCGTGCATACTTCTACAGCACGGCGGTCTGTTTCTTCTGGATTTCACGAGATTGGACTTTCCTCCTTTGTTGATTTGATATCGGTCGCTGCGGTTGCAATATACATACTTTCTGGCTCTATTAGATTTACGGATTTTAGACCCCTCGGCCACCTGCTATTTACAATGTCCTCCATCAGCATCGCAACTCTTCCCCGCATGAGTCGGGATGCCCTCTCAGCCTTGCTTCTTTCCGCCAGTACCCCCAGTAAACTGGCGATTATCGATGTCCGGGACTCTGGTCAGTAATGTCTCTCGGATATTTTCTTATCTGCATCCTAAAATCTAACCTATACAACCAGACCACGTCGGCGGCCACATCCGCTCCTCAACCTGGGTCCCCAGCTCCTCACTCGACGTCCGCCTGCCCGAGCTCATCCGCACCCTGAAGGAGAAAGAGATGGTCGTGTTCCACTGTGCCCTCAGCCAGCAGCGTGGTCCGTCCGCCGCGCTGCGCTACGCCCGCGAACGGGAGCGTGTGTTGGGCGCCGAGGACAGCCCGAAGCAGGACGTCTACGTGCTGGAGGGTGGGTTTGTACAGTGGCAGGAGAAGTATGGCAAGGATACGAGATTGACGGAGGCGTATGTGGAGGATATCTGGCAGGAGTATTGAGTTGTTTGTCCACGGAGCCCTTCGCTAGGGCTATTTTGTGTTTCTTGTTCCTTGGTTCGTTTCGTGATTGGTTAGAGCTGTGCATGGGAGATACCCGGTTAGAGATGTAATAGACTGGTTTGGTTTTAGTTTTTCTTTTCACAGGATTGGTTTTGTTTGTTGGGGTTGGTGTAGATGGCATCGAGTGTGTAGTTCTTGCGTTGCTTTGTCTTTGATTTTTTCTCTTTTTTTTCTCTCCTCTTTGTTGCCTGCGCAAAGACCCTGTCTTGTTATGAATGCGTAAAGTATACCAACCAAATGCTTGCATGAATCCAAAGCCATCGGGAGAACACCATGTGGATTCGAGCTGGTACCAACGGGACACGGAGTGCGGGGAACTGCACAGTCAATTGCACTGCATGTCTCGCTGTCTGTTGGCTGATGGTGCCAAGTGGCATGGAGCGCAAGTGTTGGCTTTCTGACGAACTAATAAATGAATGCGATGTGTCTTAGCCCGTGACTGGGATCTCATTCCTGCGGCGATCATGTGGTCCGAACTCCCAAGACCGCAGATTCATCGACAACTGACCAACAGATCTCCATCATCAAATGATAAGGCTAAACGACCCCGACATGTTCCAGTTGCCGCCAGCCTGCTGCGGCAGCGCATGCGAGAAATACATCTCCGCCAATGGTCTCCTGCTAGTACAATGCAATGGCAACCCATGCTTGCGTGTGAATGAGGCTGTGGTGGGGTAAAAAGAGGTATAAAAGAGCTCTCCTGCCCAGTCGAGTCCGGACTAATTTGTCGTCCACGCACGTTTGTATTTTGTTCTTCTCGCATGCCAATACTAGTGGACCTGGTTGCCTTTGTCTGTTAAGACATGGCCCTCAATGAGAACCCATCGTTGGCGAACCAGTCGGCGCCGGCCAAGAAGTTTAAATGTCTACGCTGTAAAAAGGATACCTTCAAGTCTGCTATAGGGCTTGCAAAACATCAGGCTGCCCTAGGTCACCACCATGTTGTGTGTCCCGTATGCAACAAGGAGTTTGGTACTGAAAAGGGCCGCGATGATCACCAGAGATCATCCCACGACCGACGTCCCATATCGAGGAGGAAGAAGGCTGTTCCTGCCTTAGTGTCTCCTGCACAAGACTCTTCGACGCGGCAAGAGCAACAGCAAAACAATCAACAAGTGCTGCAGCAGGGGCAACAGCAACAAGAACAACAACAAGTACAGTTGCTCGTCGATCAAGGTGTAAAGAAGCCAGCTATCGGTAGGGCTTAGAATTTCTAGATATGCTAGGCGAAAGCCGCTAATTCGAAACCAGCCGTCTCCCATACCAGCAGTACCACACTCCACGATCACATGGAGAATGCTGTACCTGTTAATGGCCCTCTGAATGAAGTGCGACTATACTATAATGGCAACTTCTTCATGACCCTCACCCCTGCAGAGCAAGAGCTTGTATACGCGAATCTTCTCACAAAGTGTCACTCCCCTGCTCGTCTACAAAGGCAAGGTTATACCATGCCAAGTGTGGCACAAGGTGACCAGTCGAGTCCGAAGAAAGCTACTGTTGCAAGAAAATACTTTCTGGAAACGCCTGTCTTGAACCTGTACGGAACGAGAAGAGCCATCGTCATTGATTGCGAAATGGTTCAGGTGAGAAGATGGCAAAGAGAAGTAGCCTTTCTGAGCGCCGTTGACTTCCTCACTGGGGAAGTTCTCATTAACAACTACGTCCGGCCAACGGGGAAGGTAACCGACTGGACGACGAGAATCAGCGGCATAACGCCAGCTGCAATGGCCGAGGCGGTAGCACGAGGGCAGGCGCTTAATGGATGGCAGTCCGCGCGACAGGAACTATACAAATACATCGATGCGCAAACTATCCTCATTGGTCACTCTCTTAATTCCGACCTAGACGTCCTGGGGATATACCACTCGCGAGTTGTTGACTCGGTGATACTAGCTAGCGAAGCTGTGTTTGGTTATTCCGCTGCGTTTAAGCGCCTCTATAGTCTAAAGACACTGTCGGAGGCATTTTTGAAACTACATATCCAGTCGGATCATCATCCCCATGTGTGCTTAGAAGACACCCTCGCGACGCGAGACGTGGTCCTGTCGTGTCTGCGGAACCCTGAAGGCTTAACAGTGTGGGCTGGAAATGCGAAGGCCAAATATGACGCCGAGGTAAAAGAGCGAGAAGCGAGAAAGCGCCAGAAGAAGGAGCAGAAAGCGAAGATGGCCGCAAAGCAACAGCAGGCAACAGCGACACAGCCATCAACATCCCGCGGGCCTCTGGGGAATGCCTCCCAGTTGCTGGTTTTTGAGGAATCCTCTGGTATAGAGGCATCCGATGACCCTGAAACACTCCGGTGGTCAGACATCGCAGAGGATTGCGGATGGCCCCATCCTGACACAGGGTACGATCCCTGGTCAGACTGAAACATTCCTCCGAGATTTAATCGACGTGTTTGTATATCCGGTCTACATATTGTATGGAGTTTTGACTAGGCTTGTACCCTCTTCATAGTTTCTATTCTCATGAGTCATGAGGTGCTGCTATTCTTTTCTTCCGCCTATTTTTGGGGAGGGGAACCCTTTAATTTACTGAGCTCCGAGGTTTAAACCTAGTGCCTAGTTTTCTTGCCCTTGATTATTGTGGGGTATCTTTCTGGGAAGATCGATGAGAGATTTCAGGGGTTTAAGCCTGGGTTTTCGGGTGAGATGCTCAATATTGGTTCTTCGCAGTACTATGCAGTTTTGGGGAGTTCGTCCGAAGTAGAACTCAAATATTGGGTTTCATCCACCGGCTAAAGTAACAAACCCTAACCTAACGACAAGACGAACATCCCGAAGGGCTTGGTATTATTAGCTCTGGCCTCTGGAGTGCAAGGAGATTAGGATAGGGTGAAAAAGACAGCTCTTGAGATCTTAGAGAAAAACCTACTATTTTATACATATTTTTAGGCTTTCAAATCGTCGAAACCATTTTTATTAGAGCTCTCAAGGTCTCCGTCTTCAGACCTATCCTAATCCCCAGCCACTGTTGAGTTTTAATTATATTATGATCCCCTCGGAGCTGATACCACCACCCCGAGACCCCTTGCCTCGGTACTGTGTAGAACCTCATCAGGGACAATTTCCAAAAGCCGTAGGGTTCGGGATCTGATGATTCTGACCCCCACCGATCGCTGCCTCAGCTGGGGACGTGCCCCCCGAAGTGGTCCCCTGGCTAACACTAGTGCGCAGTCCGAAACACTGCCGTATTCTACACATCGAAACGCTAAAATAGGTAGGATGTTTTCGATAAAACGATGACCTTGGCCATTGAGCTACAAAGGCTGTCGAGTTGATATGGCACTGATGAGTGCCGAAGTATACCCTGTTGGCTGGCATCGCTAGTGCTTTGACTATATAAAGATGGCCCGTTCTTCTCAAGATGTTGCACTGTGTACACCAGAATCATTACTCCAGAATCATTCACACTTAGCCGGCCATCATGCATCTCCGTCTGTTGACGCTTGCTCTTGCTGCCCTGGCGGCTGCAACCCCAGTAGACATCCAGGAACGTCAGCGTATGTCGACATCTGAATACCCACTCTTACTTGAGCCACTCGAACATTCCTTGGCTAACCATATCCGACTCGAGCAGTCCTCAGCAGCGGAAACGAGCTGCGAGATGGCTCTTGCAAGCCGATTACCTTCATCTTTGCCCGTGCTTCTACGGAGCCTGGTCTTCTGGTAAGCCCCCAGCCCTGACCCTATTACCATTGCACCAAGCCAAGTACTAATACGCTTTTCTTTTCTTTTTTGTTAATTATTAGGGCATATCAACCGGCCCCGCAGTCTGCAACGACCTAAAGAAAGCCAAGCCAGGCCAAGTAGCATGCCAGGGCGTCGGACCGAAGTACACAGCCGATCTGCCATCCAACGCTCTGCCCGAGAACACGTCCCCAGCCGCCATCCAAGAAGCCCAAGACCTGTTCCAGCAGGCCGCCACCAAATGCCCGGACACACAAATCGTGGCCGGTGGATATAGGTCTGTTGTCCACTGACCCCATCATCCACAAAACAGCAGCTGTAGTGGTAGCAGCAGCTAACCTTCAACAGCCAAGGCACAGCCGTGATGGACGACTCCATCAAGCGCCTCCCCGACAACGTCAAGGAGAAGATCAAGGGCGTCGTGCTCTTCGGCTACACACGTAACGCCCAGGAACACGGCCAGATCGCTAACTTCCCCAAGGACAAGGTCAAGGTCTACTGTGCCATGGGCGATATGGTCTGCGATGGCACTTTGATCGTCGGCCCGGCCCATTTCACTTACGTTGGCAATACCGGCGAAGCGAGTCAGTTCTTGCTGGGGAAGCTGAGTGCGTCTTCTTCGTCTTCGTCTGAGTCTTCGGGTGCGTCGACTTCCGAGGCTGCTGGCGGCTCTTCTGGGTCTGGGTCGTCGCCTTTTGGGGGCTTTGGGAACTTTGGGAACCTGTTTGGTGGACTGTAGATTGTGGCTGTGACTTGTCGCTTTCATGTGCCTGCGTCTGTCTTTTGTGCTATCTTAACGCTTTTGGGATTGGGTTTGGTTTATGCGTCTGAGCTTATGTGGGCTGGAGTGATGGTTAGATGTTCTTGTTTTGGATATGTTATATAGTTTGTCAAGTCGAGTCCTGTCTTGAGTATCTTCAGTTTGATTCAGCTCATACAGCTTCCATAGACCTCCCATATAGCCACCGAGATGCAACATAAAGGCTGGTGCAGATTCTCCGGGCAGTTATCTCTTTCAACCATTACACTACTACATCCAGTAGAGTTTGTCAAATTACGACAGGCTATTTTCTATACTTTCAACCCTAAAAGAGTTCTGCACTTCTCCATATCTCTATATCAGGATATACATACATAAAATACAAGAGGAAATCTATAGTACAATCCCCATCACCGTCCAAGCTCCCCGAAATACTACCGCTAAAGCTCGATCCCACCCCCAAACCCAACCGGCCTCCTCTTGCCTTCATTCTCCGGTACAATGGCCATGAATTTATAGATCTTGCCCATACCACCACCTCCCTTCTCCACCAAGCGCTGCCATCCAGTTTCTAATGTTTTCCTCCTCTCCTCGTCCTTCTCATGCTTAAGCAGCTGCTGCATGCGCTCCGCAATGCCCATCGTCTGCAGGAAATCTCCCTGCTCCACAGGTCCATGAACCTCCACCCCCTCGCTCCCTTCGATCGCCGCCTCCGCCAACGCCGTGAAATCCACATCAGCACTCACATCCACCTGCCCCGGCGCCGACAGCGGCGGAACCTTGCGGTGATGCTGGATGCCCCGCAGAGAGTTCACAGGGATGGTATCCATGGTGCCGTAGTCCATGATCAGGGCGGCGCCGGAGGGGATGCGCTTGGCTGGTGCCGGCTGCGCAGATGCATTCCTGGGGTGCTGCGAGGCGCCGCCGATGCGACGGGCGAATTCGGACGCGTAGATGCGGCTTTCCGGGCTGATTTCGATGGTCGAGCCTGCTTGAGACTTGAGGGCGCGGTAGCGCGGGGAGATCTCGGGGATGACGAGCGAGGATGGGGTTGAGGCTTTGGCGAGGGTGAGTTTGAATTCGGGCTCGTCGGGGAGGTTCTCGTCGATGGCTTTCGGGTTCAGCGTCACCATGAGTTCGCGCCATTGGGGCGTGTTGGCGGGTTTGAGGGGCTTGTGGAGTTTTGTTGGGCCCGTGGGCGTCATCATTGTGTCCTGCGGGGGCTGGTTTTCGGGGGAGGGCGGGATGGATTCGAAGGCGTGGATGGGGAGGGCGTCGAAGAATTCGTGGGCGATTATGAAGGGGGTTTTGTCTTCTTCTGTTTTCGGAGCTGTGTTAGTGGGTGGTTTTTTTGTTGGTTGGAGAGAGGGTTGCGAACCGTGTGGGAGAAGTCGGATGTCCTCGACCCAGATTACGGGGACGTTGAAGTATTTGCAGGTGCTTTTGTGGCCGATTTCTGTTTCCTCCATCGTGGCGTCGCCGCAGAGACGTTGCTTTTGGACTTCCCTTAGTGTGGGACTGGCTTCGACTAGGTAGATGGCTTCAATGCTGGAGGTGAAGCTTTTGAAGTTCCTGAATGTCTGGAGTATGACACTGGCGGTCAGTCTGGGGTCTGATAACCTCTCTCTTGCTTTGCTAGAGAGAGAAGAGAAGACGGGGTGGACTCACACGCAACATGTCATCCATCAGCGTTCCCTTACCAGGACCAACCTCCATCAACTGCACCCCGCTACTCTTGCGTCCCTGCGCCATCCATTCCGCAATAGTCCATATTCCGACTAATTCACCGAACACCTGCGAGATCTCCGGCGATGTGACAAAGTCGCCTTTCTTGCCGAATACCTCTCCGTCGCCTGCGGGTCTGGTCGTGTAGTAGCCGCCTTCCGGGGAGGTGAGGACCTGGCGCATGAATGCCGCGATGGGGATGGGTCCTGTTACCTTGGACGAACGTTAGCTGGTTCTCGATGGGTACATGAAATTGAGCGGATTTGAATACTTTAATGGCATCTGCAAGTGTGCGCGCCAGTGGCGTGGACCATTGCCGGGTTTCATAAGTTGAGGACCATCGCTGTGACGATTTTAGGACGAGGGACCGGTTGGGATGGTTCCTGATCAATTGCGTCAGGGCGCGCCGGGCTCCATGGTTCATTTTGGGGCACCGAGCCTTCAAGGTCGTAGATTTTAGATTATCAAGAGGAAGAGTGGTAGTTAAGAATTATTAAAGGTTGTATTGGAAGTATGGCTGAAGTATATTGTTTTGTTCTCCAAATCTTCTCCGCAAAAGTTCCGGTGCACGTGATCGGCCTTATCATATCGTATCAGTTCCGCCCAAAAAAGTACGATGATTATCTATCATGACATCGGGTGTCTTGTATGAAGTAAACTAATCGGAAGTGTCCAAACCCGGGATTTCAATTGATATTCTTACATATGGCGGTTATTTAAGATCCAATGATTGAAATGCTGTTATCCAAATGTCCACCGCGATCTATCGCCGGCCCCGGTAGTTTCTTGGATTCCGCGGGGGCGCATCGACCATCATTTGATCGCTGTAGAGACTCTGTTCGTTGGATTGTTGAGCTTGGTTCCTGCTGGTACCCGCGTTTCGATTTCCTCGGAAGTTGCGTCTATTATTGCGGTTCCCGGAGGCATCATCGCGACCGGTTGCTTGGTTCTGGCCGCCGAACCCATAGCTTCCGTCTTGAACAGCAGGATCCGCTCCACGATGTAACAAGCGCTTACGGTTTTCTTGTTCTCGAAGATCGCTGAAAGAGTTTTGGGCGCCCGCAGAACGCTCGAATAAATCCTGGCCCTGGGAACCGGCGCTGCCTGACTTCATTCGCATCGACAGGATTCTGCCATCCGCCTATATCGTGTATTAGACACCGAAAAACCACCGTGTCCGCGTAGCAAACTCACCCTCTGGTTGTGGAAATTGGCAATCGCACTCTCCGCTGCCCACTTTTCTGCAAACGTGACCTCTGCAGAAACCGTAGGATGCTGCGAGGTAACCCAACAACGCAAGATATTTCCCGTCACAGGCTCCAAAGCCGACTGAATATCTGCAGCGGTAGTGCCCGGTGCGAAATTGCTTCCGACAACGACAAACGGTCCCGACCCTGCGCCCTTGATGGAAAGGCCGACAGGGCCATCGCGAACTGTTGCTTGTCCACTAGCGGGGTTCAAAGCAGACATCAAGCGATCTTCATCGGGGCGACGCTTCTTTCCGGGTTTCGCGTTCGAAGCGGTGACTCGTGCTGGTGCAGACGGCGTCCGGATGACCTTTTTAGGCTTGGAGGGGGCAGGTGCAGAACGCTAGGTAACAACGCATTGAAATCAGTTCTCTCTGTCGGAGGATGGCGTGATGGTTCGTAATTATCGTTTTACCTTGGCTACGCCGATCCGACTTGCCAGACTCCCTTGTGTCGCAGTTTGCGCCTTGTTGTTACCGGCGCCCGGAGCGCTCGTCCTTCGGTTCTTCCCCAGGATGCTGTTGGCTAGTTCTTCATTCTTTCTCTTTTGGCGATCTTAGGATAGAGAAGCAATAATTAATAAGTCAATAAAGTCAGAAGGAACAGCGTTGGGCAACTGGAAGTTTACCAGCTTTAATGATCTCATTGAAGGAGACTGCTTGCTGGCCGGCGGCCATGATGACGGAAGGACAGGACGGTGATAGCTTGTCGGGCGATGAAACGGAGGGTATTGTAGAGGAAAGGAGTCAAAGTAAAGATATTAGCAGAACGCTAAGTGTCGGAAGGGTAGACCAGTAAAACTTCGGGGTCCGCAATTAATCGAGAGGTTGTCAGAAGGATGAGGCTGACCGGACGAAAGAAAAGGTTGTGTCGAAGCTTTGCGACGGAGGTTGGTATTGTATTGTATTGGAAAGCTTACTTCAACATAACACTTTAGTTACTTGGGGGTGTCACAACACCAGCCGGAGCCCTTGGATAGCCACATCGCTTGCATTGAGCACTAGACAATATTAGACCAAATTGTGAGATCCTGCTATCTCTCTAGTAGCTCCAAGACTCTGGTTAAGAAGTGAACGATCGGGCTTTCATGGTCACCTTCGTCTGAAATCTCGCAATACAACAGCCACAATATATGCACCATACCTCCTGTCATGATGCGCCAAAGAGCAAACATTGACTGCAGACCTACAGTAACGCACCCCGCTGATCGCGCCTGCTGCCAGTAGCTTCCAGTGAATGAATCCTTGCCTGTCCAACCCTACTGTACCAAGTACTACAAGTACTAATATTGCCAAAAACAATGTCCAATCAACAATGTCTGTGGCTGCCTCGTACCTGCCCTGATTGGGACCAAGTACCGCGACCCCTACTTCTTACAGCTGGTGGCCTGTTCGGTGCCTGAGAAGGTTTCTCCAGTCATAAGGGCCAGTCTTGTCCAATCCCTAGGGGCACTAATTTCCAAGACTCTTGGGGCATACCGAGCCTGTCTGTTTTACTTGAGAATACATCCTTGATGGAAATCAACTCGCCTGATATGGCAACGGACAATCAGGGTTGCCGTGCAAACAGACGCCGCCAGGCATTCTCATTTTCGGTCACCCTCCGCCCCTCAATAGCAAGAAGAGCCAGGTACAGTGACCGATTCCTTGGCGTGGAACGTGAATTTAATGGCTTGCTAGGATTGTAAGACCTCCTGCTCCTCCTCTATCCTGCGAGGAAAGCGTCCATTATCCGGTCTTCAACCCTCTTGATCCTCGACATAATCCTGCCGCTGTTACGTCTTCATGGAACAGGGGTGGTTATTATACCTCTCGCAACACCAACCTCGAAAGCCCTGTAAGCTGGGTCCAGAGTCTGTCCAAACGGTCTCTTCGGAGAGCACGCTCCGGACTTGTAGCTCTGAGAGCGGGAATGCAGAGGCGCACTTCTATCTTCAGTACAAATCGCACCGCTCATGTACCTCGAGCTTGGCCTTCGTCTGATGCCACAGAGGGTTCCTCGGATCAGCAGGATGACGCCTCCTTCCCATCAACAATTTCTGAAGCCAGCACAGAGGAAGATTCTGATTTTGGAACTCATCTGCATCGAACAGAGTGCAACGATGCTTCTTCGCTGAGCTGTGATGTGGATAAATGCTTAGATAACTGGCCATTCTCTGTCACGATTACTGATCTCAATCCCTTCCAGGAACTGACTGGAGGATACTGGCCGCCTGGCCTCTTTCTAACCGAGGCGGCGCATAGTATCTTCCCGAGGGACTCGACTGAGGGGAATAATGGGTTAGGGCTGCAGCTTTCAAGGGAATTGACAACTGGGGACTATATCCAATTGGACGATTTCTTCATGGACGAGTCGGGCTCCGAATCAGGGGACTCTCTTCCCAGGCTGAGCCGTTCATCCAAAAGCCTTCCCGAACCTGGCTGTTCTCAGATAACAGGCGCCGAGGCCGAGCCCTCGCATTCAACAATTTTGTCACCATTACCCAACAACCTACTTGCACCAGTCCCGCTTCGAGACCCAAGTGGTAATGGGAGCACTTCTCAGATCATAGGCCCCTCACCTTCCCCCGGCTTGCCTAGACCCCAAACGACAGATGGACAACCGTCGGGCCGATTCTACGCGTCCAGAGCTCCTCAGGTGTCTAACGCTGCGTTGGTAGTAGAATCCCGAGGACTAATCGATCGAGTCAGCGCCTACAGCGATAATAGTATTAGTAAGGCGGAAGACGAGGTTGAAGATCAAGCCCTAACACCAGCCATTCATCATGAGTCTTCTCCAGACGTACAAGCAGAGCCTCCCCAGCCAGCATATCAATCGACTACAGAAAAAGCCCAGACACAAGATATCGCCGAATCCGGAACAAACGACAACGTGTCAAACGATCCTTATTGTACAGTGTTAACTTTAAGCACGCATCTAGCAGACGCGACATCTGAAAGGCACAACGATGACCATCATCATACTCCGTCGCGTTCATCGGGCGACACTGGTGGGCTGGGGCGTAGTGACTGTTCAGGGGAACAAACCCTATGGTCAGCCCGCCCTAGCGAAGAGGTGACGGTAACGGATCTCACATCTGTGTCGAACAATCTATGGACATCTATCGAACATGGTGATCTTGCATCACTACTATCCTTCACAGACGAATACTTCTTCGTTGACGGCAAAACCAGTGTTCACCCCGATCGGGGAGATAATCCTACAAAAGCAGAACGGAGCATCGTGAGTGAAGAAAGCCTGTATAATGGACTAGGGCACGATCGCAGTCCGTCGGTGGGAACGCTAGACGTTCCGGAGATCATTGGCCCCGGACGACCTATTCACATTCCACCCTCTCGGCCATATCGAGCAGAGCGAGATGCCAGTGACGACTCCGTCGATGAATATCTTCTTACGTATCCAATGTATCAGCGACGCTATTTCCCTTGATGCTTGACGGCCTCGAACGTTCATCTACCGTTCCGATTGCGTACAATTGTTCAGTGGTAATTTGTGTACGAAAGCATATGCTGCACGGCCATTGAAATATGTATAAACTGCATTGTTAAGGGGATTCATATACTTATTTTCCAGCCCAGCGGTTTATAATTTGGCTTTGAGGTGTCTCTCAAAGTTATCACTCCTTACGACCCAGTCTTGTTGGTATAACCACCATTTCAGATTAGAGATTTGGACATTGTGGGACCGAACGATTCCACAAGCCAACGGAGGACTTCCAAAATATATGAATATTCAACTTCCATGACTTTGTTGTGTGCGCAGGCCAGGTAGTAATCATCCCAAGCGTAGAGTAAAACCTGCTCCGGTTTCTCCACTGTCACCACCGGACTGGCCGCCAAATACACTAGCAAAGTCCAGCCTTGGAGCCTCCTGGCCTCGCTTCGGCGCTTCGGGCGTCTGCCGCCGCCGCCGTTTCTCCATGCCTGCCTTCGACGGGAACGTAGGAAACATCTCCTTCGGCTTTGGACGAGGGTCTTCACGGAAGTACGGATGTGAAAGACATTCCTGCGTCGTCGGCCGCGAGCTTGGATTCAAGGCCAGGAGGGAAGAAAGCAGCTGCAGGCCGGCATTCGTCAAAAAGGGAAACTTGGAACGTGGCAAAAGAGGTGGGTTCCCAGATGGAGCCGAGGTCTGTGGAAGACGGAGAGACTTCGCATTGGGAAGAGAACGGAAGCCAGGCCATGTCTGTGGTGTTGGGGGACCAGTCAAAGCAAAGATCTATTTCCATCAGTACGCATGTAACGAAATCTACCGCCACGGATATCCCGGGAAATGAAGTATAAACCGTACCTTAGACACCTGATCGACTTCATTTTTTCCCTGTAGAAGAGGCTCCTTGGTAAGTAATTCCCCGAAGATGCACCCGATGCTCCACATGTCAATCTCAGTACCGTACTTCTCCGCCCCTAGCAACAGTTCCGGGGATCGATACCATAGCGTCACGACCAGCTGTGTCAGCTTCGGTGGCGGATCACCGTAGTACCGAGCCATACCGAAATCGGCGATCTTGATCTCGCCCCGGTTGTTCATTAAGAGGTTCGAGGTCTTCAGATCACGATGCATGATCCATTGGGAGTGGAGGAAGTCGAGACCCGAGAGGACCTGGGACAGGAGAGTTTTGATTTCCGACGGGAGGAATGGCTCGCGCATGTCGTCGAGGAGCGTCTTCAGGTCGTGTTCGAGAAAGTCCATGACGAGGAAGACACTGTTTTAAGCGGTGATCGGGGGCAGGAGGGGTTGTCCTCTCACCCCCGGGCTTTGGGGTTAATTTTCTGTATCTGAACTTTCCAGGTCCGGGGGAGTAGGGAGTGCGAAGGGGTGAATTGGTCTTGATACAGAAGGGGGAAAACGCACTCATCCATTTTGGTTCCGATAACGATTTCACGGAGGAAGACGATATTTGGATGACGAGCCTCCAGGAGGGTTTGGATCTCCCGTAAGCCCGTTACGGGGAACCCATCCGGAGAGTTGTCCATCTTGAGCTTCTTGAGGGCGACTATTTCGCCCGTCGTGATATCCTTTGCTCTGCTCACCCATCCGTATGAGCCCTCCTCAATATGATTCAATCGCTCGAAATTGTCCACATGCCGACTGGGGCCCCATTCCTGTGTAGGGAATTGTAATATATTCGATGGCTTCTCTTGTGGTTTGGATGGCTCAACCTGAACCTCGGCTGCTGTGTCCGGATCATTGGAGAGTCGGCGACGTTTCTTGGGAGGTGCCTCTGAATCATGGTTTGCGGCTTCGCGTTGTCGGGCAGCTTCTTCAGCTTGTTGCTGTTCGAGCTGACGTTGTTTCTCGGCTTTGGCGCGTCGTTTCTCTTCCTTTTCGCGTTTGCGTTGCGCATTGATCGCTTCTGCTTCTGGGTCTTCATCCGCCCAGCGGGATTTCGAGGACATCTTTTCTGGACTTGGAGGCGGTGATTACGATTATTAATTGGTTAGTAGAGTGGGATGAAGCTCCAGAGTCGGGAAGCTTCCATGTGGAGGCTGGTTTCGGAGTTGCGTGCCTGAGGTTCTCGGAACGGTAATCTAATTGGAGGGATGACGCTATGAGCATTCGATGCCGATTTCAAATCCCCCGCTTTGTTCCGCGGGGCTTCTGCTTTTTTTCTTTCTACACGGTTTATTATTACTATCGGTGACTCAACAGTGGTTACAATATTTAGATACTTGATTCTATCTTGCTATATTCTTTGCGCAGCAAGCGATCACGTCCCAAACGCACATCATGATTGAACCCTTCCAGGTCAGTGTGTTCCGCTCTATATCGTGGGTAGCAAGTATATTATAAATCAGGGCTAATATGCAAACAGACCACCTTCGCGGTCCCCATGACCTGTGAGGGCTGCGTGAAAGATATCTCCAGTACCCTAAACAAGCTCGAGGGTATTTAATTTCCCCCGTCGCATGGATTGCCTGTTTGTCCGGATTAATTGGTTGACGGCGTTCCCCTAGGAATCAACAAAGTCGATGCCAGTTTGAAAGACCAGCTCGTATTTATCGAAGGCACGGCGCCACCCAGTTCCATCGTTTCCGCGATTCAGGCTACGGGTCGCGATGCAATTCTACGGGGTAGTGGGACCTCCAACAGTACGTCTCTCTCTGTTCATCCTTGTTTCACTTGCTGCCGGGCATCGATCTGCCTGATCCTTGGGCCTGTGCTGATAACACTCACTAGGTTCCGCTGTTTGCATTCTCGAGACGCATGCGACTTCGGCCCCGAATAAGATCCGTGGATTGGCGCGTATGGTGCAGGTCTCGTCCAACATGACACTTGTGGATCTGACCATTAACGGACTGGCGCCGGGCAAATACTGGGCCACGGTGCGCGAGGCCGGAGATATTTCACAGGGAGCCGCGTCTACCGGGGGCATCTGGGAGTCATTGAAGGCTACGGTGTTAGGATCGGAGGCGGCCAAGGAGCCACGCGGAGTGTTTGGGACAGTGGATGTGGACGAGAAGGGACGAGGCAATGTCTTCTTGGACCGACCATTGGCGGTTTGGGAGATGATTGGACGGAGTATGGTGGTGTCGAAGAGCAAAGAGGGCCCGTTCCGAAAGGAAGACCCGGATACATTGGTTGGGGTTATTGCTCGGAGTGCAGGCGTGTGGGATAATGATAAGATGGTCTGTTCTTGCTCCGGAAAGAATGTGTGGCAGGAGCGTCAGGAACAGGTGTCTCAGGGGATGGTTTAAGTTTTAGTTCTTTTCTTTTGTCTCTTTCTATTTTTTTGGGCATCTCTTTGAGGCCCTCAGGCCCTTTTGGCCCCATTCACATTGGCTTTGTGTGATTGGAGAGGCAGGAGCTGCCTTAACATTTTCCTTTTTAAGTTTTGATACCTACTTGTCGTGAGATGCTGGTGTTAGTGATGTATCGTATGTGAATGAATCTGCATGGGGCTAGACGTGATGCTGTTGGATCCCAAGCTCTTAGACGGATGGGCAGGATTGTGATTCCATTGATTCTCATCGATCAGTGCGCTGGAAGTGGAACTTTCGGTAGACGGTGAAGGAGGAGAGATGATACTAGTACCTAGTAGCTAGGGTATCAACTCACCACCTGATCATAGTCAATAGTGGATGAAAAAGGAAAGGCTACGAGAAATTCCATGACGACGGGAACCCCGCTATTGGATGCAAGGACATAAATCGCAACGGCCGCGGAGCGTCATTGGATCCTGCCACGCGTGAATTTTTTTTTTTTATTATTATTATTAAACTTCTTGTGTTCAGTCAATGCTCGGCAAGGAAGTTCAGGCGGAATTGTGCGAGTCGACAGAAATTGATTGATAGAAAGTGAGGGATTCAGCGGAAGCGCCGTGGCGGGGCGACAAAGTATATTCTTGCCAATCTCATATCAGGTTTCCCCGGAGTATTTCTCATTCGTTTGCGGGACGGCAGTCGCCAAGGGAATTCATTGAGTAACGATCTTATGATCGGTAGCAATCTCCTATGGGGTCGTAGTCGTACTGCATCTCGGGAGAGTTTTATTAATTACTGAGAGTATTCCTTGTTCTTGTGTTATTCGTCTCCGCAATGGCTCGTCGGAACGGACTTTTAATATATTCAATACTACCTAGTACTACTCACCTGTATACTACGAGTAGTTGATAGTTACAGGTACCAGTAATAGGCCAGGCAATAAAGGAAGAAATGGATAGAAATGAAGATGGAAAATGTGTGAATATTGCGGTAGCCACCAATGAGGGAGGGGGATGGTAGGGATCTTCCCTGCAATGTGATGAAGTTTCCCCTGCAGGGGACCAATCAGCAACTCGGATTCTAGCTAGGGATCCCAGTCGCTTGCAGCTGCAACCATTCAGGCCAACGCTTGCTTAACGCCCCTCGCCAGGAACTTCGACTGGCTGGCCCAAAATGAACGGGGGGGTTATTTTTATAATCTCGACTCCCTTGGCAGCCCTTCCTTTTTCCCCTCCTTCCTGCCCTTTGGCGCTTCGAATCGGATCTATTGGTACTCCTGACTATCTAAGTATAGTATCGACAAGTGCCTTGCTGCTGCATACTCTGCACGCTAGCTCTGCCACGGATTTTCCCTGTCCTTACCCTTTTGTTTTTCTCCTTCAGCGGACTAAATCTGCTCTTGTCGACTTCATACATCCGAAACTGGCCACTTCAGAGACTCAAGATTCTCAACTGACAGCGTACGATTGACAAAAGACGTGACGAATGCTCATCAGAGAAGACGAATTGATCTAGCCACCGCATTATCGATCTATCATCCTTGCATCTGCTTGTCATAGTCACTAGTGGCCATTCAACCACCCTGGTCACCCGTGATCTAAATATACATCTGGTCTATCTCCCCGCCAAACCAAACTAATTCGCTGCATTGTGGTGCGCTTGGACTATCACTGGCTCCATCGCGGGACAATATTTCCTGGCTCACCGACTGAGAAAGCTCCTAGCACGCTTTTATCCTTTCGTGGCACAAACCGGGTCTTGCGGCCTGCCGGCCCCATCACTATCCCTGCCTCTGCGTGGTTAACTTGCAGTGGTTGGTTTCTTGGCCATTAGTATATATCCGCTGCTACCTGAACGCACACCGAGAGTTATCCGGCCTACTAGTTAGCAACCCGTGGGCTGTACCTCTGTCTGTGATCCTGTCTATCATTGCAACGACCCAGTTGTCAGGTCAGGGAACGGCCAGGCCTCCGGAGATCTAGAGAGGTATCACTAAGCCCTCGGATAGCTGAAGCCATGTCCATTAAACAGGTATGCACCATGGTGCTGGGGAAGTAACTGCAGGTGCTCACCAAGACGATCAGGAAATTGAGACGTGGGTGCAAGCCCTCGAACACTATGACCACCACGAATACGACGAAGCCCTCCGGGTCTTTGACCAGATTGCCGACACGTCCAAGATCTTCTTTAACTGTGGCGTGATCTATGCGACACTAGGAGAGCATGAGAAGGCGGTATGTGCCGAAGTCTGACGTGTACGACACGGTACTGACAACTGTAGGTCGAGTGTTACCAACGGGCCGTCAGTCTGGACCAATACCTCGCCATTGCGTACTTCCAAGAAGGTGTCTCCAACTTTCTTCTGGGCGACTTCGAAGAGGCATTAGCCAACTTTAATGATACATTACTCTACCTCAGAGGCAATACATTCATTGACTATGAGCAACTGGGCCTGAAGTTCCGTCTGTACTCATGCGAGGTTCTCTTCAACCGTGGTCTGTGCTACATATACCTGCAGCAACTGGGGCCTGGTATCCAGGACCTGGAGTATGCTGCAAAGGAGAAGGTCACGCCAGACCATGGTGTCATCAACGATGCCATCCGAGAACGAGCAGAGGTATGTTGAAGCCTAAGATTGGTCTTCTATCCGTATTGACTGAATAGGGTTACACGGTGTTTTCGATTCCTGTAGGGGTTCTTTACCGACCAAATGAAGCCAAGGTCAAGAACCTCAAGACCAAGGATTACCTGGGCAAGGCACGGTTGATTGCGGCATCGGATCGTAGTGGTGTCCCGCTCCAGCCAGGTGACATTGTCAGAACGCAGTCCGGGATAGACCATCGAGCTCCGCCCGAAAGTCTCTACGCAGCCAGCAAACTAGTACAACGAAATATCACGAGAAGTCGTCAGCACTCAGAACCACCCCTGAACCGCAATCTATTCCCCCCGACACCACCGCCAGATACCGACAAAAGCAGCGTCGGCAGCCCCCCTAGTAGTTCTGGGATGAACGGTCGACCGGGCTCCATCCGCGCCGCTCGTCCGCCGCGCCTCGATCTGGACCGACCGGGTGCTCACCCTACCGGATGCAGAGTTGATACAACACCGGAGAAGCCGCGGATAGGGACTACGCGCACAGCATCGGAGCCGCGGGGACCACCTCAGCTACATCACCGCACATCTCAAGGCGAAGTCAAAGCCTATCGAGAGATGGGGCATCGACGGGGAGCAAGCGATACAGGCTTCGCGCCCCCACCGAAAAGAATGTACGGGGAGGATGTATACAATGGGTATTCTCGCCCGACTGTGGTCGTCAATGGAGGTCGGAAGGGCATGCCCCGCCAGCGGGAGCGGTACATCGATGAAGAGGCAGAGTACGCCAGCGAAGCGGAGGAAGGTGGTGTAGACGGAGAGTTTGAGATGGTCGAATCACGACGCCGAACACGATCACCCAACCGAGGGTCAAGACGAGCCAACTCTCGCCGGCCGGAGGTACGTAGGTTCCGGGTCAAGGTGCATGCTGTGGAGGACACACGGTACATTATTATCGGACCGACGATCGACTTTAGCGAGTTCGAGATGAAGATCCGGGATAAGTTTGGCTTCCGCAGTCCGTTGAAGATTCGGATGCAGGATGATGGGGATATGATCACGATGGTGGATCAAGAAGATCTGGATCTTCTGTTTAGTTCTGCGCGTGAAACAGCAGTAAGGGAAGGGAGTGAAATGGGGAAGATGGAGGTATGTCTTTATGCTTCTTGAGTTTGCAGACTGAGGCTGACTATACTAGATATGGGTTGAAGAACGATCTATGATTTGATGACCTGGTGTGGGCGTTGGCTGGTCGCATTGGACTGCATGGCATGTTATACCCTTCGATAGCGCATGTATATACACGACTATGATAATGCATTACTTGTACAAATTCCTTATATAAGTATACCGGTGACTCTATTTGTCTAATACGGCAATAATAAGTACGGAGTACACCGAGAAGACTGCAAGAAGATCATGCTCTCAGGTGACCCATAAGTCCATTAGCTTTAAATACTGTAAGAAGCCTAAGGCAGAACTAAAGAAATAACATGACAGCTAGAGGAAGACCCACCAGTGCAAACTACGTAAGCACTAGAGTTCATCCAGACAAATACCCATATTCCCATCCAGGCATGATAGAAACATGAAGGAATTTTATCTTATCAATCACGATCAACTTGGCAACTAACCTCGGTAGCTTCTAGATGATCTTTTGTTCTAGTCGCACCCATCTTTTGGCAGTGATATGAGTACCCTGTACATGCCACTGTATCTTCCGAGCAATACTATCACTATCCAAGTCAAAGTGTCGGAAATTGACCGACCCTGCCCCTGAATAACCGAAAGAATCCATTGAGATCGAGGCCGTACAAAGCCTCGCCCATATTGTGGATACGTATGCCTCCACGGACACAATATGCGGACTATCCGACAGAACAGTCTTCTGATATGTCTCTGGTCGCTTCTCAGACACACCAATACTTGGCATGCTGACCACTCGTGTCGGAATTCCTAGCTCGCCTGCCAGTTTCTTTCGCCGCCATGACGGCAAATTGAAGCTCTGAACCTCACGAGACAAGCGTGAAGAAGGCATATTCTACTTCCACAGCCACGTACCCACTGAGGGCTACGGAGTCCCGGCTGGTAATTGGGATTCTCACGCTGGGCGGAGCTCAAGCAAGAGAAATAATGCTGCGAACTTTCTTGTCTTCATTATCCAGAGCGCACATCCAGGCGCCTGTTACCTCCGCTTCATCGGCCGGACGAATAGAAAGCAAGTTGGGCATGGCACGAAACAGCGAGTCGACCTCCACAGGCTGATGTGTTGGTCCGTTTTGCCCTTCCCCGATGGAGTCGTGTGTCGCAACGTGAATACCCCTCAGCTTGCTAAGGGCGCCCATGCGCACGCCAGGTGCTGCGTACAGGTAAAAAATGAGGAAGATGGCTGTCACTGGAATGAAGGTTCCAGGGTTAAACTCTGCAATACCATTTGATATGGCTGCCATGGCGTGCTCGCGAATACAGTACCGAGCAACACGGCCCTCGTAGTGATCACGTTAAAGTATGTGGCTGGACTGGTCGCCCATCTGGTTGGAATTCCATTGAACTGCCCGCCCGCCATCATGTTAGAAACGTTATGTGTTGAACACAGTCCCGTTCCATTGTCGTGTAGCCAGCGGGTCTGGCATTTGGATTCATCGTCTTCAACAGGACTTGCACGTCTAACTGTCCGGAAATACTAACGAGGATGTCGAGCGTCCTGCGGGAAAGACTTTGCATAAGTGGAGATCAACTCGTTCCACTCTGATTCCAAGGTGTTGCCTTGTTTGATCAATGTTAAGATGAAGTCCTTTGTTTGCTGGGATAAGCAATGGGAGACGGAGTCTGCATCGCCATTGGCGAGTCGAGCAGCATCCTCGTGAAGGTTGGGTTCTTGGGGGTATTCATCTGAACCAGTCGCATGGCAGCTAGAATCTCTTCGACCGCATTATCGCCGTCCCAGACATCGATAACATTCCACCCCAGGGCACGCATTTTGGCATTCATGTTTTTGGAAACAGTCCACGATAAAGGGCTGTCGCAGGCCACTTGGTTATTATCGTAACAGGGAATCCAGTTGTCGAGGCCCAGATGATCGGCAATTGCCATTTCCTCCTGGGCCACACCTCCTTGAAGACAGCCGTCTGCAGTGGTGAGTATATCTTCGAAGAAATAATCCAATAGCTGAGTTATTAAAAACGGCCGCCAGATGCTTTGAAGCAATAGCAAATCCCACTGCATTGGCAATACCCTGGCCCAACGGACCAGTGGTGACCTCTACGCCTGGAACTTCGATCTCTGCATGGCCATGGCACAGAGCTGCCTCCCATTGACAGTTGATATCTGGTGTTTTGGCGCTGGCGTATTCTCTTAGCTCGTCCATGGTCATTTCGGGATAGCCCATGGCATGGAGCATGGTATACAGATGTGCTGATTATAAGTATTGTAATATTAACACGGACGCGGTCCTTTCAGACAATAGGACCTCATTCCTCGATTTCCATCAAATAACGCACCATGCTTGCACACACCAAGGAACCCCGAGCCATCATCATTGGATGTGGCGTGGCTGGAATCGCGCTGTCTGCTCGTTTGAAGAAAGACCTGGAGTTTGACAATTTCATCGTTTATGAATGTGAACGCGATGTCGGCGGCACATGGTTCCTCAGCACGTATCCTGGAGTTGTCTTACATCCAGGTATGTAGAATGCTGCGATGAGTGTGAATGTAGCACGAGTTACTGTCACTCCGAGAGTAGCTGCCCACAGTTCTTCCTTTGAGCTCCTCAAACAGCCTATCGAATCACAAGAAAAAGCAGTGGGCGACTGTTCAGCCAGCCACGCAGCAGGGCGGTTTCTCATAAGGCAGGATGAGACAAAACAGAATTAAAAGCACAGGTGCCTGATCAATAGTTCCAGAACGGTACAGCTTGGCAGTGAAATTCATGCAAGTCAAAGCGAAAAGACGTCGGTGGGGGTACGTTTTTGCCTTAGGATTGCGCTGATATCAGGATCTGTGGGTAGCTATTTTTCGAACCGTCAGCGGAAAGTGATCTCAGATATCGTATACTTAGGTGAGCTTCTTACCCTACCTTCCATAGTTAATGAGAACGGAATTATCTCTTCAAATATATCTACGATGCTTTTTCAAATTGGAGTGACAGGGTATCAGCTAATCAGGAATTCTTAGACCCAAAGAATATTTAAAAGGGCTCTGATGCCCGCCGTTCGCTAACGGTCGGTTAAGTAGAGTTCCACACCATGAACTCAATGCAGGAGATGGCTACCAGGAGGAATATAAATCTGTGAGTTTTCTATATACAGCTTCAGTGCTCCGGCCAACAGCGTCACATAATTCAAAGCATTCTGAGAGCAGTGGTACTTTCATAGAGGGCTTTATAGGATATTGAGCTCGCGCAAATTGGAAGAAAATGCGATACAAACCGAGGTAAACACAGCCAGATATCAATTCAAGGTTCCAACTAAAAGCGAATGGACATGGTAGATGCAATCATCTATCTATCTATCTATCCATACTGTATTGCAGCAAGAAATCCGACGTCGATGTCACCACAGTCGGACCGCGATTATTCACGCATGATACTTGTCAATAGCAGCCTTGACAGCTGCAGGGTTGGCCCCAATAACCTCGCCAACCTTTTCGCCATTTCTAAAAAAGTAGAAGGTTGGCATAGCACGGACGCCGAGTTCTGCAGCAACATTCGAAACTTCATCCACGTTGAGCATATAAAAGCCTACTTGCGGGTATTCTCTTGCAAAATGGACAAACTTTGGGGCGAAGAGCCTAGAGGGACCGTTCCACACGGCATGGCAGTTGATGACGACTAAATTTTCAGATTTCAAGGCTTCTTGCAAGGCGTCGGAGCTGTGACGAATATTAGCTATGCGCTTGATAGATGGACTATGATATTACCTTTCGAGGTTGGTAGGCATGCTGAAGGTTTGACTTTGGATTGAATGAACGTGATTTTTGGATTTGTGTATCCTGAAATGGAGAGGGACTAGAACTGACGGAGATGTCTCAGAAGAGAAGACCTGGCGAGTGAGCGGAATAATCCTGCCTATATACTCGGGACATCCTGTCCAGTTCGGCTGAGCCACCGGGATAACAATTATGTATGATTGCGTGGGGTGATTTATAACCCCCACATATACGTGTCCACGCTAGATTTGCGCACTCGCTATGCTGGAAACTCTATCCGTCCATCTGCTCGAAATGCCAGATTTGTCCCTCTACGTGAGGGAGCCTTTCTATCTTGAGGAATTCGAACCATCCGTGCCAAGGTCCACGATCCACGATCCACGATGCCCTGCATCGCAGAGGATGGTCCAAGAAGGGATAGCCGCAGAACCTCGCCCAGATTGATGCGAGGATGATGGTTATTGAATCTCAAAGTTTATCTGAGATGGAGTTTTCGGTGCATTGTGTGAACCAGCGACCCACATATATTCTGCTCTATATGGACCAATAATAGGGTCCACAGCACACCATAAGTGTACTCCGTAGTGATGAGCTGAACAGAATGGAGTCCTCGGGAGATTAGAAGAACCAGCGACCCACATACACTCCATATGGTCCAATACAATGGTCCACTGCACACCGTGAGTGTCGTGGTGAGCTGAAAAGAATGGAGTTCTCTGTCGATCTGTGGGCGGGTTGGTTTGGATCGGCCTTTTGCAAATCGTCTATATATTCACAAAATGTCCTTCGCCCAGTCTCTAACTTACTGTCTCATACACCGGGTTCATTTCCATACGAATGGGCAGCTTATTGCAAAGAACCAAATCACTACTACCACAGATCTCCCCGAACCTTCTCCGGTTTATCCCAACATGCAGTGATACAAAGGCTATGGGGCACCGGGGCAGGGGGAAGTGGAGTATTATTCAAGTCAGTAATCGGCACGAGGGCGGTCTCTGCTGGTTCTATGGGGATGGAAAAGATGCGGCGGTTCCGTCTCAGTGAAAATATAGGGTGCTAACCTTATAGGTAGTGTACAGTGGTTGCCCGGATGAATCAATGCCAAGTTTCCTGTTGACCGAAACTACATTCCAGCCATATCATGGCAATGCATGAGTAGTAAATTCACTTCTGAGAAAAAAGGTCATATAGCCGGGGGTGGTGTCCTACATCACAGGTCCCTCGTAGATACATATAGCCGTCCCCCATCTAGAGACCAATTGCTCATAATGAACACGGGGAAATAAATCTGAGTAGAAATCCTGCAGAGCTATTAGTACAAGAGCTTCAGCTTCCAAACAGACCAGGCGATCCATACCATACCAAACTTTATTCGATACTAACAATATGCCGATTCCACGACGATGCATCACGACCTTTGCAATACTATGGGCGGGAGGATGTGAGACTGGAAGTTATTCCTGCGCGGTATCCACGCTGAATTTAACTATTTCCGCCATCCATGCTCTCCTGGACCAGTCAACTAATATGCCCAGACCGTGTGGACCTAATGATGTCCGCCATCAAGTCGCATAATGTGGGATCTGCGGCCCGGACATCCACGAATATCTGGGAGGCCCGATATTCCCTCCAGAGATGTCAGGTGTCGTGGTCCAGGTTGGCTCCAACGTACACAACATTCCGGTTGGGTCCAAGGTCGCCGTGAATCCCGCCCTCGATGATCAACATTACGACATGGAACCATGCACCACCTGTGCGATAGGCAAGCGCAACATCCACAAACGCTTTGCCTCATACGGGCTCAGTGCTCCTGGTGGTGGCTTCGCCACCGGGATTGTTGCCATGGCACTCAACTGCATTGTCCTCCCCGATGCGGTTTCGCTCCAGGTCGGTGCCCTCTTGGGTCCGCTGGCCGTTGCGTGGCATTGTATCCGTACCTCTGGCTTTAAGAATGGTCAGAAGGTGCTGCTTTTGGGCGCCGGGCCAATCGGCCATGCAATATTGATACTTTTTTCGCGTCTGGGGGGCACGATACGTGTACCGTGGTGGTCAGCCAAGTGACGCCGTCACAGAAATCGCTGGCCAAAGAGCTTGGTGCTGATGTCGTGGTCGATTCGTTAGAGGGGTCTGAGCCTTCCAATCCGGCGCTGTCTGCTGTTCATCAGGCTGTCGGTGAGGATGGGGGGGGGGCGGGATGTCGCCTTCGATGCTACAGGGTTTGCAGGCACTGGAGAGTGGAAATCTGCCGGCGCACAAGATGATCACCTCCGTAGTTCCGCTGGAGGATGTAGTCAAAAAGGGCTTTCATGCATTGATGCACAGCAATGTCTCTCATGTCAATATCTTAGTTCAGCCACGGTCTTGTGTGGGCGAGGTTAGCTAAATATAGTCCGCCGTGCGAAGTAGTTAGGGCAAAATACAAAGTCACGTGGGCTATCTGAAACTGTGATCCTGATAGCTGGTGTGGATGTCACTGGTAAGTGTGTGGAAACAACCCCGACGATGAACAAACTGCTACACATTTGCAGGAGACGTAAGACCATCACATTGACTTTAACCAATAGATATATTATACAGGATGCCCCCTGTCCAGTAGACCGCACACTTGTGGCTGACAGTGTGGCATGTTTGTATAGACTTTGCACATCTGGCACATTTTTTGATGAGTAGATATCGAAATGGCCTAACTTTAAACTTCAATGGGTGGTACCCTGCTCTGCGGAATCCCTTTAAGCTCCGATTGGTGTCAGAGGGCCACATGTGAGAGTAGATACCAAAAACTATTAGACCTATAAAATCCCAGAATTGATGCGAGTTTCATTAAGAGCAGCCACAGTCTTATCATGGGGGAAATCAAAATATCGAGCACTCTCTCGAGTGGCGGAGAAAGGTACTCTATAGTGTCGTATGAGGGTTACGAATATTCTGAGATATCAAGATAATGTCCAAGTTAGTAAAAATATCATACGACTCATCGTGTAACCATATAAGATCAGAGAGAGACATGGAGACTCAAAAACAAACTTTTATTGCTGCTTAAGTGGATGCTCACTTGGTCGACTGGAGGGTATGGGAAGCCTTTTTCTTTAGGGAAATGAACCGTAGAAGGCGGTTTTAAAGAGAAATCATATTGGTTGGTAGGTATATAAGGGGTCGAGAGTGATGGTGAGGTAGCCATACAACAGGCTTAAGCTTACACAGACCCCACTGTTCTTGTCTTTATGTTGGCACTGTGGTCCGCAATGCAACTCTCAGCTACTCTAGCATGTGGCCATCACACATGGTAGAGATTAGAAGAATCTCTGCGGGACCAAACATTGCTGGCTGCAGGTGAGCTCGATGGCTTTCTGTGGCGCATGCAACAGCCCTGATCGAGAATATCAAGCAGTATGACAAGCATTGTAATGTCACCAGCACGCTGAATGATCGGATATATATTTAGCGTCAACATTTGCTTTCCTCTTCCTTGATTACTGTTTGGACTGCATTTCTGTTAACAGAAAAGCATACAATTGACTTGATCGAAACAAAAGCAAATGCGTCAAAAAAAAAAAAATGAGTGATACCTCCGACCTCCACACCTTCAAATCTCACGCCACCACAGCCGTTGCTGCTGGCGGGACCGTTTACGCAGCAGACCAGCTAGTCAAGTCGTTCGACAAGGATGATGAAGATACCACGTCCCATCTGCTGAAGGCTGCAGTAGGGGCCGCCGTTGCGGTCGGCGCTCTGGAGATGCTCAATAAAGACGGAACAGGCCTCCCATCGTACCGCGAACTTTTCAAAGAGAAATATGTCGGCCACTCATCAAAGCATGAGCATAGGAGTTCTCACAAGGAGGATGTCGATACCTCTACCGAGGTAGCCGACAGGCGTCTGGTGAGACATAAGGGTTCCTCATCCTCTTCTCGATCATCGAGCGTGTCGTCTCACGAGTCGGGCCACAAGCGTCGCTTGGCCGAGGAGTTGATCGGTGCATATAGTTTGGGAAAGCAGCTTCTCGGGGATAAAAAGCACCAAGTTGCGCACCTTGTTGCCGATGCGATTGGCGCGGCTGCATTGGTGAAGGAAGTGAGAAACCATGACATGAGAAATCGATAGACGGATGTACCGCCTCCGTGAACACTACGCATGATATGTTTGTGGCAGAAGGAGTGAACGATATTTCTGGGGCCTCTTGAAACTAACTACGTTGATTCTTATACTGTCGGCTTGGCTGGGTGGAATAAGTTGCATAGGTGTGTCTTTTGGCTGTATTCAAGCAGTTTTTCTCTGAGATGGAAGTCAGTAATGTTTCGCTACAGCGTGATTAATGGGTATCAAGCTCTCTGAATATGCTTATATTAGTTAGGCTAGGCTCCAAATCCTTCCCCAGCCTTCTTTAACGGGTAGACGGTGGGTTAAGGTGAACGTACCGTGTGGGTCGAAACTGTAGATTCTTGTCAACTACTGACATCTCCAACATCGAATAACGCAAGGAAGTACTCTATGCGGGGTCGCTGGCATCACTACATACATTCCGATGTTCAGACATAAAACCACTCTGTTGGTGTGTTACCAATCATATTAAGTTCAGAACTAGGCGTTGGAGCTCCCAATTTGGCCGTCCGCATGCTACTAGTACTCTCGGTAAGGAACCCTTGTCAATACCCACACGCTTGGAGCTACAATGTCTGTACTATGACATAGGAGAATGGAATCGGTGCAATGGATGGTGCGAAATAGACAAGAGGGTGTATGGCCTCGAATAGTGACATGTATACTTCGGACATCTTCACATGTACTATCCATGGTTCTACAGAACCCTGGTTGACTCGGAGAGTTCCGTTGGGGAAGCTGGGGTATCCGGATGATATTGCTAGGTCAGTGGTATTCTTTGCTAGTGGCCTTTCTGTAAATGCCACCGGGGAGCAGTTGTTGGTTGATGGAGGGGCTTCTGTAAATTATCAGTGAGGGATGCTTGGTAGTCTTGTCACTGTGTGGTGATGGGGAGTTCGATATGACTCTTATTGCTCCTATGAACTGAAAGGATAGCTGGAACTATGACTATTATGGGCTTATCGGAGCTAGAGAAGGCATATTTGATTCTAGCAATGTTCAATTGATAGCGGTGCCATGTTATATTACACATCCCTCCAGTAAGGAGCTTAGGACAGACACGGCCTTAATTCTCCCGAAGGGGAAGAAAGCGAGGAGAAAATCAAACGAAACAGAAGAAGGAAAAGACCGACATAGAGTACATCAACTGGTGTCCTCGTCTTATGAGTCTAAATAGTAGAAGAGTAATAAAGCCTTGTTCTTCGCCTAATTAGTACTACTGTACTCCGGAGCAATGAGGTTACTATAAAAGGCTTCACGAATTGCACTAAATTTATGTATGGCCGAAATCACGGGACCAGATAACAACGTGCCAGCTATCGGCATACACAATCACTCATCAAAACAACACCCGACTCCACCAACCTCCAAAACACCCCCTACGAAAAAGAAGAAGAGGAAAAGGAAAAAGAGACAGGGGACAATGACCGACCTAACGCCAACGCTCAACGCCATTCTTCTCGAACGCCAATCACCGGCCATCCCAATAAAAACGTACAACAAAGCCTCGCCGGCTGATGAGTTCCTTAAGGAAGCTTACCGGATTGTATGCTACACCTTCTCAGATCGAATCTATCCAAACTTCAATTGCAATTCCAATTCAAGTCTCACCCAGAATCATAACGCAAACCCAAACTAACAAGCGAACCCCGCGACAGAACAAACACATAACCAACTTATCAACCTACCTCCAAAAGATCCGCCCCCAGTACCTTTCTCTAACCAAACACCCCCGCCACAAGCCCTCGTCCCCGACTGGAAAGACAAAATCAGGAGAACAAGAAACAGGGTCCCCGCTCAGCGACTCCGACCGCGACCAAATCGACACCTCGACCTCCCTCGTCCTTCACGATCTAAGTAACTCGATCTCGACACTATCCAGTGCCGAGGCCCTCCGGCATGAGACGGCGACGAGTATCCTGAGGAAGAAATACGGACGGTCGGTTGCGGGGCGGGTGCTTGCGAAATGGGCTGCGGGGTCTGGGGCGCTCGATGGTGAGAGTGAGGAGGGTAAAAGCGAGGAGCAGGTTAAGGAGGAAGAGCGGGTGAGGGTGATGCAGGTAGTGAGGGAGAGTGTGGTTTGGTTTTTGAGGAGGGGTTTGGAGGATGTGGTTTCTTTGCAGAGGGGGTTGGTGGAGAGGAGGATCGAGAGGGTTAGTGAAAGGGAGAGGAGTGTGCTTTTCAAGGTTGAGACTGGGGCTTCGAAAGCTCGCACTTCTGCTACTGTTGCTGGGGGTTCGGGACTTGGGGTGGATGATACGGTGGGTTTGAAGGGAGTTGCGATAGATGAGACCGAGGCGAGGGCCATTGAGGAGGAGTTGTCGGCGGAGCAGCTACAGCTTTTTGAGGCGGAGAATGATGCCATGGTCAGGTATTATGAGGATACCTTGAGTAAGGTCCAGTATGTTTGCCCACCCCTCTGGTCTCGTGTTGTTTGGGTGTTCGAGGGGGTTGGACTAACGTGAGGTAGAAATGCGGAGAAGTCGCTTTTGGAGATCTCATCGCTGCAGCAGACGCTGGTGTCGCATCTTTCTACGCAGGAGGAGTATATTGGCCAACTCGTCACCGATGCGGCGTCGACGGAGACGAATATCGGGCGCGGGAACAAGGAGCTAAAGAGGGCGAGTGAGCGGCGGAGTGCGGCGCAGGCGGTGTTCTGGGGAACGGTTGGATTGTGTACTTCGTTGATTGTTTGGGATCTTATCTTCTAGATTCTTATACAATGTTGTGATGGGGTCTATTTTCCATACTGTACTTATACTACACGATTAATTCTCACGAGTGACGCAGATACCTTATCTATATTTAGGGGATATATAACCGCTATCTGAATGACGAACAAAATGGACATGGCATCAATGAAATAAGGTACAAGAAAATAAATTTTACGATGTCTCCCGGACGACACTGTCGACTGCCTCTGCGAAGTAGTCGATGTTATTTGTGTTGAGGCCGGCCATTGAGATCCGGCCGTTCTTGGTCTGCAATGAGGGTTAGCTGGATCGTTCCAGGTGGCCTGACTCCGAGACCCGACAGAAATGCCGACCGGATACCCGGCCCAATCATCGGGAGCATGAGTAGCGGTGAACTTACCATATAGATGTGCCACTTCTCCCGCAACAACTTGACCTGTGCTTCGGTCAAGCCTGTGAAACTGAACATGCCAATTTGATCTGTCACATGGTTCCATGTGCCCGGCGTGCCCTTGGCCTCTAGACGCTCACGCAGGCCCTTCCGCATCTCCGCAATGCGGCCACTCATGGTCCGAAGGTCTTCCTCCCACTCGGCAAACAAGGTGGCGTCGTTCAGAATGCGGCTGGCGATTTGCGCACCGTATGCCGGGGGATTCGAAATCTCCGACCGCTGCAGGATAGCTAGTTGACTGGCAACATTGGCGATATCGTTCTTGGCGGTGGCGCCGGGCGCCGAGACGAAGTGAAACGCGCCCGCGCGCTGACCGTACAAACCGAAGTTCTTCGCGAAGGACTGCGCGACACACAGCTCGAAGCCCTGCTCGATGAAGTATCGCACCGCCCAGGCGTCGCGGTTCAGGTCGCCCGAGGCGAAACCTTGGTATGCGGTATCAAAGAAGGGGAAGTGCCGGCGCTCGCGCATGACGACGGCGAGCTGCTTCCATTGGTCTTGGGTGAGGTCGACACCGGTCGGGTTGTGGGCGCAGGCGTGGAGGAGGATGACGGAACCAGCAGGGGCCTCGCGGATGCCGTTCAGCATGCCATCGAAGTTGAGGCCTTTCGTCTTCGCATCGAAGTAGGGGTAGGTGGCGAGGGAGAGACCGACATTGGTGAAGATCTGGTTGTGGTTGGCCCAGGTTGGGTTGGAGAGGTAGATGGTGGGCTTGGGGTTCGCGGGGTGGAATTTGGCGAGGAAGAGGGCACCGAGATGGACGGCTCCTGTGCCGGAGATGGTTTGGAAAGTGGCCACCTAATTGATCTGTTAGAGAGCGGTGGGACAAAAGCTGGACTGCGCGCAGCGTACTCTTTGTTCGCGGATCGCAGGGCTGTCGGCACCCAGGATCACCTTCTGGGCGGCCGAGGTGAATTCAGGGAGACCCTTGATGGGGAGGTATTCATAGTTGACGGAGGGATCGTTGCGAATCAGATCACCGGCCTGACAAGTTTAGTTCAATTGGTTGTTCGTCATCTCCCTGCGCGGTTCCACCACATACCTTTCTCACGACGGGGAGGATCCAAGGCTTTGCATTGTCATCACGATAGGCACCGATAACCAGATCGACTTTCTTATCAGAGGGGTCATTACGGAAGGCCTGCGCCAGACCAAAGAGCGGATCCTCGGGGGCGGCAGGGACCACTGAGGTGGAAAATACAGACGGGCTGGCAGAACCCATGATTTGAGCGGAGAGCGACGCGAGACGATTGCGAGCGGTGGTGGAAGAAGAAGCTGAGGTGGACGGAGGCGACATGATGAATGACGGGGTTTAAAAGGCGCAAAAACAAAAAAGAATCAAAACGCTGGTCACACCACCTGAGGTCACGGTTTGCTGCTTGCGTTCACCGGGGCAAATCAATTCTTGGTGAGACTGGAATCCCGACGGCACCAAAGGAATTCGTCAGAGGCAAATTAAGGAAATAATAATATAATAAAAAAAAGTTGGGGTATTGGAGAGAACCGTTACCTAATAATGAGGGGAAATATAACTCATATAATAATAGTAATCTGGTAATAAATCTCGTATAGGGAAAGTAATCGCGTATAGTACAAAAACGTATAGTATTTCCCAATGCAGGATCTATCAGTTCACAACCAAATGGTCGTCGTAGTAATGATACACCGAAATCCCAAAGAGAGAGAGAGAAAGAAGAACAGGTCACCTTTCCGAGAACCGTACGATGTTCGATCTCCTTTAATTTATATATGGAATCCACCGAACTGGCCACAAGACTGAGCAAATGACTTTTCTGTTGACAGCCGAGGGACAATTCGGAGTCGAAGGTGCCGACCATGACGACATTCACATGTCGGCATTCCGATCACGAGTTCTTTTCTATTTCCTATACAAAGCAATCGCAATTCCTCTCTGACTTCTTGAGGAAAAGGATTGACCCCTGGGAAATGAATCGCCGTGGACTTGAACGGGATAAATTTACCTGACTGACCGGTCTGTAAATGCAATACCCAGCAGCGATCGAATCAAATGCGGGGAAAAAATGTCATCGCTGACAGCTCCTGCATTCAGCAATGGACTTATTTACTCGATCCAGATAATTAATTCCCCCCACTCCTCCGCACAATAGGCATTGTGTTTTCTAGAAAAATGTACTAGCGAACTGATACAATTAGGATTGGGATTTCTCCAATTTTCCAAATGTGAAAAAATTGGCCATCAATCGGCGATTGAGAAATATACTACAATTACATACATCGTCGGATCCCCGGTCCTTACCCCGTAATTTGTCCTCGACCAACCACCTCGGCCCTAAAACAAAAGGCTTTGCCCCTTCCAGGTTCAATGGTCTAAAGCCCTCATCCGGCGCCAGCCGTCCCCGTGACTTTTCGTCCCCCCGGTTAAATGAAACCCGACCACAAAAATAACGCAAATTCACAAAAAATGACTCGGATTAAATCCGGTTGCATACCGACCGGGTAATTATCGTCATCTCTTTCCCTTTTCCCGCATACAGCTGCCTATCGAAGGTCTTGGCGTTGGCCGTGTGGCCCAGGGTTATTTTTGCTATATGTGTAATGCTATGTGTGTGTATCTTGTGGGGAATATGCCCGTGGTTCACCGGTATGGTACGATATAGTATGATCTGATATTGCTGGGGATTATGGGTCTTGCCCGTGGAACCATCGTTCTCAGTGATGCTGATGGTGTTTGAGACATTTTTCCGGGTCAAATTTCAATTATGTCGCTCTATAGACTTGTTTTTACTATTCATACTGTGAGGGTTTATTGTTATGTAACTATATAATGAAGATATTCGGTACAACCATGAAATCCCTCGAGACGAGGATCTAGATCGCGGTACCTGAATAATCCACCAGGCTGATCATCCTCCATTTAGTCATATGGTTCGGAGGCGTGAATAATGTGAATAATTTATGGAGCCGCAGCCTTAGGGCTGTCCGGACTCGATGACTACTGGTTAGCTGATAGGATGGTCAAGTGATTCAGCCTTCTAGACGCCGTCGAGGGATCCCTCGTATACCATGTGCTTCTAGCTTTCTTCACGTAAGAAGAAATCGAATTAAGTTATCTGACGTAAAGATCAACTTCTAGAAGGGTTTAATTTATTGGATCGACCATGTTGCGTGAAGACTGGGTTATTAATCTCTAAAAAGCCTGCCTTGACACTCTCAATTTCTCAGACATTACTAGTAGTGATTTATATTGATACATATGACGCCAATGGTGTTTCTAATTCAGTGGCCTGCCAATCTTCGTACCTTGACGTTTCAAGAGAATATGTCATAGAAACTTGCTACTAGTAGGTTAAACCGTGCGCGAGATTATATTTTGGGTTGAGGTATTTTTGGTGTCCTTGAGAATCAAGTGGTTTAAATATTTTTTGGAGATACTGCTAGTCTGCTAGAGGGGCCCATTATTGATCATGATATTAGAATGTTTAGATTAACTGTCTATGTGCAATCACGCTAGTTATTGAAGATATACCGCAGGGCATAGCTCAACAGAAAGCCAATCTTTAGCTACATAATAAATTTGCCTTCTCGAACCATGTCTGGTCCCTCTCGAAAGGAGGAGTATGGAGATTGAAATCCACTGGTGTATATTGACGACCACTGTGACCCCGGGGTACAGCTTTCCAGACCTCAGCTTTTACATAACCTCCGAGCTACTATAAGTAAAATAAATGGGCCTCCTTGTTACCTCTATATTGTCCGCTCTGACACCAAAACTGCCCCACCGATGACCGTTCACCCACAACGCACTGATTTAGTACATGACCTGCTTATTCGATTTGATATGTTTGCACGGTTGACAGAATGCGTACTTGAGAAATATTTCTTTGCCCTGCCAATATTCTTGAAAATACTTTCTAGTAATAGAAAACCGATCGCCCTTACATCTGGGAGTTCAAAGAACCAACTTACTTTCTGCAGACACACAATAAGTATGGAATGGCATGTCCTCTTTGAAGAACTGAGTGTTCTGTGTGAATAGTCAATAGTCGTCGATCCATCCAAATAATGCGGACCGTTCCGGCGTCCCACTTTCCTCATATATTCAATACAGACCCCTTTTTCGTGCATTGAATCTTCGCTTGTCCAAGCCTTTTCACAGATAATACTTCATATCGGCTACGTCTTTAAGTCAACCTCTCCTCAGGAGAGACAGTGACCTCCAGGTAGGGAATTGATCGACAGTTCGCACTTCGCTCTAGCGACACAGCGTCACTAGTTCGCAGATCTTCCTGATCTGAATATTGCTTCATAGATATACTGTACCCTGTAAAAACCTGTGATAGGTGAGCGCGAAGCGCTCTGTTATTATAAGCAACTTGAACGTAAGGACAGATCGGTTGCTTCCAATGGGTTATTCCTTATGGCGAACTTCTATGCGAGTGTTGAGCCAAAATACTGAGATAAAACATTGCTGATGGGGTGAAAGATACCCAGAAACTCAGTGTTGATAAACAATGCACGACAACGAAAGTTAACAGGGACCATGCTTATGGTCTGAGCTCATAGCATTGATGATGATCGTCGCTATTAATGATGTTTCTTACCAAGAAGGCCACGGATCAACCATTCTATATGTGATTCCCTTGCATGAAGTTTGTGTGCGAAGTCATTCGGCTCTATCATATTGTCTCCTCAAAACTTCTTTGCATATCTTCAGGGGGAGATACGTTTTGAGTTATACTTGATATTCATGCAGATCTCCTCCGATAAAGGTGTATTTAAGCGCTCACCTCTCACCTCAAGTCTTCCTTTATCCTCCATCGATTTATTCACCCATCCTCTCACACTTCTATGCGCAACCTCTATCTTCATCATGGTGTGCCTCTCTACAGCCCCAGCTCTGCTTTTCGCTCTTCAAGCTCTGATAATTCCTGTTTTTGCCATTACCTCCGGTCAAGATAGTCATGACATTGTGGCAAGGCAATCCGGCTGCAATGACAACGAATTCTATCATCGATGGTAGATGCTTTCCCAAGTTGCCCGATGGAAGTGCGTGTGCCAAAGTCGATAGACTATGCTTATCAGGAAAATGCGATGGAGATAGTGCAATATGTGTTCAAAGGGACAGCAACTCTCATGGCTCCTCTAACGAAGAACGTACTTCGAACCGTCGTCTCAATTCGAAGCGCGCCAAACCCGCCTTAATTTACAAGCCTTTGGGAGAGGCTTGTGATATCGACCAACATATCATTTGCGACCTAGGTACCATCTGTGAAAAGAACATATGTCGCTTTATGGGCACCAACGCCTTCGTTGACTATCTTGCCAAACTCGATGCCATACCGGAAGACACGCTTTCAGAAGCCCAGCGCGCGACAAACAAACTTTTCGGTCTTGACAAGTACAATGTGGTGACAAATGCAACGTGCACGAATGCTCAAGGCTATTCGCAATGTAGCACTCGATTTGCCTATTGTGATCGTTCGGATGGAGAGGTCTGCCTCGCTAAGAAGCCTGCAGGAGAGCCTTGTCGGTTCAGCAAGGATGGAAAGGATTATGATCTCATCGATCGATGTCGCTCCAATCGATGCCCCTATGGATTTTGTGGGGTTAGCGAAGCTGGGCATAAAGGTGATCCTTGTGAATCGGATGACGATTGTAAGGCGGCGGGTCTTATCTGTCGCAGTGCGCATAAAGGAGCTCTTAATATCTGCAATGCGGAGGTACAATCAGGAGTCGGACAGCGTTGCAACAAGACAAAAGATTGCCATGGGTACTTGAACTATTGCTTCAATGGCGAGTGCGAAAATACTGACTTTATCAACGGCAAGTCTTGCAAAACCAATGATGATTGTGGGGGAATTGAGAGAAAACCACACGGTACTGAATATCAAGTTCTTGGATTTACATGCACTGACCAGAAATGCGTGTACCATAATTATTTTGATGGCTACGTAGGGGTTTCGGGATTTGTTCATGGACTCGCTAGTTCGATTTCGGACCTCTTTGAACCTATCAAACATCACGCAGTCGCTAGCTCTCCTACATATGGTTCCTGCTCTGGATGTGAGAATGCTCAAACCCAAGCAGGCAAACCAGCATAGTTTGGGAGGGTAACAATTCTTGTTATTACTCTTGTTATTACTCCCTCTGACTTCTTTACATTTCCAGTCGTTAGTCTTTAGTCTGTATTTACTTTTAATTGAACCATTAGACTTGAGAAATACTCGGACTGACCAAGGATCCGGACGTTGATCGCGCTTCACGCCTCCCAGGTCACACTATATAACCGCCCATGCGATACAATATAAAAAACCATACATAATGCCGTTGTGTCATATAAAAAGTCTAAAAAATGAAGAATCCACTATAGGACCTTCGATAAGAATGCATAATCAGAGTAGATAGTATTAAACCAATCCTGATTCTAATTGCTGCCCGAGAAACACTAAACCCTAAGCTGGTAATGAATAAGTTTAAAGTAAGGCTGGTGTAAGAAAATTCTTCAGGGACCAGTTTACCACATCGCCAAAAGACCAACCCTGCCGCGAGATGCCAATTCGTGGCCCCGAATCCACATATAGATTCATGCATATACAGTTCCTTCGACCCCAATTGCTTCGGTCACGCTCAGGCTAGCTTTGTCCATGATAGTGTTGTTCATGAGAAAGCTTTTGAATTCACGGAGACTGCACCCTTCCAATAAAGATGTGTGATTCGTCTCTTGAATGGCTTGGTCGTACTGATCATCGAGCTATGTAATGGAACTATGACCTTGAAACTTCATCCGCTCCAGATATCTCCAGACACAGAGAACTGGGACCTACCCGCAAAGTTAAACAAATGACCAACTTACATCCAGGAGGATCGCCATACAATAATGGGACAGAGGGTTCGGTTCCACTTTGTTATAGCGCGTATGGAGAGCGAAAGAAACACGCTCGTCGGCGCTTACCCGCTGTCACTATACGAAGCGCTGGACTCGACAAAATCCGAGATCCGATAGTTGAATGTGCACCCCTGCACGACAGAAAAGCCCGATAAACGAATCCAATGCTCGATGATCACCGTGGCTCTCGCCAAAGTTACAAATGAATATCATGCCTTATCATATACATAGGGTGACGACCCGCCCAGGAAGCCGATATCAATCAATAACTAGACGTTTCTGCGAGAACCTGCATGCCATGCCTCTGCAATGCCGGGAGATGATAGAAGACGACCCAGGGGGGGATTTTCGGATTCCCTTGCCACTCTGGGTCGACGCGATCTGCTTCAACTAGGAGGATATCCCGGAAAAGAGCAGCCAAGTTGCTACGATGGGGTCAATCTATGAGTCAACGTACTTAGTACTGGCATGGATTGGATCTGAGGCATATGATGGTGATTAAGCGGTGGATGGGACTGAGACTCTGTTATGGGAAATTATATCCGCAGCTCAGCAGGGTCAAAAACGCCTCGCAGCTATTCAGTCCGAGCAGAAACACCCGTAGCAGAATGACGGGGATGAAAACTGGGAGCGCTTCTGGTAACGCCGCACGCCATCTTCTAGGTCGCGCGTGCTGGTACTGGGCGTGGATAGTGCAAGAGCTCCTGCTATGCGACCAAAAAAGAGCAATTGTGCTCTGCAGTAACAAGGATTTCAATTTTCTGCATGTTATTATAATAGCGATGTGGCTCCACGATATGCGAGACTCATCCTGTCCACCGCTTGTGGACCCGGAGATATGGGACTGGATAAGCACGGGCACTGGACAGAGGGGTTTTTAATGGTCTACATTCTATGATTTTGGCCGCATCAGGCCCGCTAATGGAAGCAGCACAAAACCATGGAAGTTCTGCAAGGACATGGGTAAGACTACTCGATTGGACCCAAATCAGACAGGCATCCGACCTCCGAGACAAGTTGTTCAGCATGAATGCACTGGGTCCTGGAGGTACTATACCGGACTATAGTTTATCTTCGGAAGAGGTGTATACCAAGTTTGCTGCACAGGTCGTTCTTGAAACGGGCCGGTTGGACCTCCCTTGGTACGCCGGTCATGGCGCCTTATCTGAGTCCAGAGAAGCCATAGCAAAACACCGTTTATTCTTACCGTCACGGGCACCTAATTGGGATGCATTCTCTTAAGATACAAAGCGCGTTATGATATTCAACTACGATATCGCGGCTTACGGAGGATGCCACAGGCTTTGCTCCTCAAGCACGACCTCATTCTGTCAGCGGACGTACACTGAATGCCTATGGAGTTCAGTGGGACAATGTATCGAAACGCCATAAGTTCCATGGCGATCAAGGTAAATTCAAGTCATTTTGGCGGGAACACGCTGGTAAGGCCCAGGACTCTCGAGTCTCGACGCTACATCACAGGAATCCCCATGTTCCAAGCTATGGCACGGCTACTACTGCTGGATCTAGACCCAGAGACAGAATTCATAAACAATCTGTCGCATGAGCCACACCAATTAGTCAAGGCGATTGTATACGCCAGTCCGATGTTCACGACGGATCCAAAGTCAGTACTAGAATATTACGGCCTCACCAATCCTAGTAGAATGGCCACTTACTTAGATTAAAATATATATATTAAGAAATTATTACTACAGCATCTCTTTATAATTGATTAAGTATCACTAATTTCTGTACCAGTCTAGTTTTGGCAGATTGTAATATAATATATAGGTTAGATATTTATTTCTTTACTATTAACTTAGGATACCTCAGTGGTAAGTTGTGGGAGCCACTCATCTCCACAAGGGGCTGGGCATCGTATATGATCAGGGGTACTTCTGACACTGATACCCTACCCTTTCCCCTGCACTGACCCAAACCAAATGTTCCCTTTACATCCTCCACCATCTTCCATCAACTATGACCGAAAATATGCCGGATCGCGTTATGACGGGAGTCCTGACCGTCAAGCTCGCCTGGTTGCGTGGATTGAAGCTACCAGACGTAGCTGGCGACACCTGGCAGAAGCAATGGCGCCCATACGTTATCGCAGAGTACCAAGGCTTCCAGCTCTCCTCTGAAGCCCTATTTAGCCTCCCCGCGCAGGGCCTCGTCGACTGGGAAGCGTGGTATCGCCCTTTCAAATTTGATCTCCCGCCGTCGCTGTCATCGTCGTCCGGAACTGAGGAGCAGGTGGGGGTGCTTACCTTGTCATTACTGATTCGTCGTCACGAGCCGAATATAGGGAGCACTCTATCCTTGTCGGGTGAACCCTTTGGGCCTCAATGCATGTCACTTGGGTTGGTCAGACTGAATCCGTTCCTGGCCGGTGCTGGGACACAGAAGGTGAAAGCCCTGGATGGCACGGGGCTAACAGGGCTAGAAATATCCTACACCAGGAAAGAAATTTCGCCTGTACTCACTAGCAAGGATTGGAGAGTTCCCGAAAGAAACAATAGCTGCAGTGACGGCAACCTGGTCTGTGTCCAAAAGCAAGACTCGGGCAGAAGCTACGGCATGGAGATCACCCATATACCTCGCTCTGCCCATGAGCAGCTCAGTGGTGAAAATGAACCAGTGATAAACAGCCTCCGCTCTGGCATCCAGCACCCCTTCATCGCTCCGCTGATGTTTGCCTTTCACTGTTCGGATGGTAGATTGGAACTCCTTTCACCGCTCGGCAGCGGAGGATACCTTTCTGACCATGTGCAGAGAGAGCGACGATTTGGCATTACCAAGGCCAGATATTATGCTGCAGAGCTGATCTGCATACTGGAATACTTGCATGCAAAGAACATCATCCTTGGTAGTCTAAAGATGGAGAATATCCTCCTCGACTCCTCTGGCCACGTCAGTCTCTGCAAACCGAGTCTCTTTGCTCTTGACCTGAGTAAGGACACGGACTGTATTGCACCCGGCAGGTCGGCATATCCAGCTCCCGAAATTCTCCTTAACAAGAGAGAACCATCTCGAGCTAGTGATTGGTGGAGCCTGGGGATTATCCTCTATGAGCTCTTGACGGGTGCTCCGCCTTTCTACCACAAAGATGAAGAGGAGCGGCGGTATAGGATCATCAACGTTAACCCTCCAGCTGCCCGTTGGCTTGCCATCGAGTACAAACGATATTCTTACCAATTTACTCGATAGACCTCACGCGTCGCCTAGGAGCCCACGGCCTCGCGGAGGTGAAAGCGCATCCTTTCTTCCACGGGTTGGATTGGGGTGGTTGCATCCAGCGCAAACTTGAAACGCCCTTCAAACCCCACAATGACGCCGTGGTCTTCTGGCGCGAGCCACACACAGACAAGGTAAAGCAATATCCGAAGGGGGAGTTGCGAGAGTTCGATGGAGCAATATATGAGATACTAGGCACTTCGGATTTTCCCTTGCCGCGTTATATAGGGCCGGCTGCCCCTGACAAGAGTACAGGTCAGGGTAACATGGGCACTTCAAACGAGCAATGGGAGTTGATATGGGTGCCAGATAGTGGAGAATTATACTTCCAAAATCGTTCCTCTGGCCAGAGGGTTCTAGCGAGACGCGACACTGCGAAGCAAGGAGAAATACCTCCGCCAATCATGTCTGAACATCCCATCCAGTGCCAGCTGGAGGAAGCTCTCGCGACAGCTTTGCAAACTGGATACAGTCACGACGTCTTCTCTCAGCTCATCAGTTACGACCTGAATCTTAACATCCGAACTAACGACTTCAAACATTACCCTAGCAGATGGATAACACCACTGGAGTGGGCCGTTGAGCAGGAAAGGCCAGATCTCGTGCAACTATTCCTTGACCATGGCGTCGACGCCGACTTTACTGTTCCCTCTCAAGAAGGCCCCGCCGTCGTAAGAGCCGTGCGACGAAAATTGCATAATCTGGTAGAAGCTCTGTTGCAAAGAACAGCTCACCGAGTCTCACGAACGAGGGCGCTCGCACTTGCAGTGGAACAGCAAGATATCTCTCTCGCGACGATCCTCCTTTCACACGGGGTGGCCTGCGACTTTAAAGAATCCGACCGACCCCTGCCCCCCGATCCATACCATTGGGACTATGACTCGAACCTGGACCGAGTATTCGAGCCGGTGGACTTCACCCCGCCGCTTGTCCGGGCAGCTAGGCTGGGCGATCTTGCGTCGGTCACCTTGCTGCTGGAGCATGGCGCCGATCCTAACGTTGCGTACCACGTTCTGGGTGGGTGGAGGGGGGCGGAGCAAGATCTTGGTTTCAATGAGATCGCCTTAAGGGATTCGAGAATACCTACCATGTTCTCTTGTGGACGAGCTGTACAGATCGCGATGGAGATGGGGCATCCGGAACTTGTGAGGGCGCTGCTTGATGCTGGGGCAGATATTGACCTTCCGCAGCCTGCTTGGGCGGTACCGGGGCATGTCTGTCAGCCGGTACCTAGGGCTGCGTATCTGGAAATTGTGAGTGGGCTAAGGGATATTGTGGCTGAAAGACGCAGAGGTATCAATCTAGGGGGGACAGGAAGCGTGAGACTGCGATCAGGCTGACATATATTAATAATCCATCTTGACATTACAAGCCGTTCTATTTCCGAGCCAGCCTGAGCTATATACCATCTCATATATGGCTATGGCAGTTCACCCTGCTTCTGCGGAACTGCGCTCAAAGGACACCAACACAAACATAGTAATGCGGCCAAAGACCAGTACAAAGAGTCCCAACATCAGTATTCCAAGTATAAAACTCATCCAGCGTAATCCCGGCCTGCGCAGCAATATCCCAGCACCCATCACCCGAGATCACAAGATAGAAACTATCACACCCACTCACCATGCCCGCCTGTGTTGGTGTAGGCGTGGAAACCCCATTGCCGGTGGTGGTAGCAGTGGTAGCAGTGGTAGCAGTGGTAGCAGTGGTAGCAGCGGTAGTAGTGGTGGTGGTGGCATCTGACAATATGCCGACACAAACATAGTAGTCAGGCCAGAAGCCCCCCCACATGAAGTACCAATAGCTGGGTTCCACGCATAAAAGTCGGCTAGCGATATACGTCTGCTACAACAAGGTAGAACTCATTTCAGTTGTCAACCACCCAATTCAGATAGCAAATATAGAGACGAAACATCATATAGCGGCAAGATTTATTCCCAACAGAAGACATACCGGAATATTGCGCGATTGCGCGATCTCAGATGACCATAAGCTCCGCATAAATATTTACTATATCTAAGTTAAACTGCACCCTTAGGGCAAGTGTATCCTAAGCAATATATAGTTTTGATTTTTGCTTCCAGCCTCTAGGGAGATTCTACAATATATATTATATACTATCAACCAAATCGAGAGATCGCGCCCAGGAACTCCATCTTCTGACATATAGGATGAGCATGAAAGGTATCATGCGATTTGATAGATACTAGAGCCTGGATCTTAGGTAAGTTGATTAAAGAGCTTCCTGATATACAATCTGAACTGCGCCCCGACAGATTTCGATTTGTAGAGAAGTATATCAATAAAATTCGGTAGCATCTGCAGTATCTAAGAAAGGGGAACCTGGTATATACTGTAGTGATCTATTTCTCGTCTATAGTTAAGCAAATGTTCTAAGCCTAGTATATAATACATACGACCGCCCCTCCGATGGTAGATGGTAGTGAAGGAGAAGCCCTACTTCCAATATATACAACATACCACCTCTCTCTAGGGGACGGGATCAGCGATCGTTAAGGATAATTCCCGGGACGAATTAGAGCTCCTTAGCCACTTGGTGCAGAAGCTCCTCGCGCCACCCCCATCCCAAAGCAAACGTCGCTCCTGGTCCCAAAGCCAACAAAGATGCAACGAAAGCCGCCCCAGCTCGAGTCCAAGAAAATCGAGCCCCCGCTTGTTTCAGCTCGCGGAAACGCAGTGCAAGCCACACATACGCACTTCCCATGGAGATTAGTTCATCGTACTGCAAAAAGCGTGCGATTCCGTCACTGAAAGACGTGACAGGCGCCAAATGATCCCGCAGACCCGGGACGAAAATATTCCAGAAGGAGACACCTGGTGGAGCTGTGAATCGGCCATAGATGAACGTGAGACCTGAGACGAGAGCGAACGTCCCACATGCGTAGCGGATGTTTTGCCTTCTCTTTCTCTGCTGTTGCTTTCTGTCTATCTCGTCTTTTGGTGGCGAAGAGGGGGAGAGCCAGCGCCTTGCAAGGGAAAGTGGAACTTGAAGGAGAGGGATTGTCGCTGGGAAGACTTGCCACATCGCATTATACCATTGGCGTGATCGAAGACTCGGGGCAAAGAAGTTCGCAAAAGTGGTGGAGTAATATCCGGCCAACGTTGACAGGACCAGCGACTCGGTGGTGACAGCATCGATCTCCTTGCTGCTGCTGCCAGAAAGTAGACTGTATAGAGGCGTCATCAAATACTCCAGGGTATAATAGAATGGCGCGACCATCCATATCCCCTTTAATTGGAATACCGTGCCTGCTGTCAAGGGGCTTATACATGGTTCCTATGTGTCAACTCTGGAACTATGGATCGGATTTGCGGTTTATACTTACAGAAGGACGTTGGTCCAGGAGTGAGCACCGCGGTAGCTCTCCAATAGCCAGATTCCATAAACCGCCCCCAGGTCTGTCATAAATGAAAGCATTTGAACCCGCGAATTCGTATCAGACCCAGTGATTGAGGGCAGAAAGCAGGTAATGAGAGGCCGGAACAACTTGTCCAGGAAGAGATTATGGTATAGGGGCTTGGTCAAACTAAGGACCTCTCCATTACCCGCTGTCCATGTTCCTTCCTTAAAGAGTGGATATAAGTGAGGTCGAGTGTTCAAGATTACCGGGAGTGCAGTCGCTCTTCCAACTGCGTAAATGCCGATCAATGGCACCGCCCACAGGGCTCGTTTCCAGATCGCGTCATTCCGAGGCGGATGGAAGTTGGTGAATGGCATCGTACACTGCAATGACCTCGGCGGTAGTGGTACACAGTCGAGCATTGTTGCACCGACGATAGTCTGCGATGCTCCATCGGCTAGGTAGTTGGTGAGGTATGGGAAGAGATGGAGTGCAATGCATTTTTCCTTCCACGTAGCCAATGCCTCGAGTCGAGTGAGCTCGTGGGCTTTTTTGAAAATGTCCTGCAGACGATCCTGGCGTTTCTTCTGCCACGGCTGCAGGTAGTCATTTAGATCTTTCACTGAAACTCTAGAATCGCCGGAGGCTTCAATCAAGCTAGCCAGACTATTGGCGAGAGAGGCGGCACTTTCAATGGCGCTGTTTCCGCCCTGCCCCATATTTGGAGTCATCTGTCATAAGACGTCAGGAACCTTGCCAAACGAAGGGCTTGCCTGGGTAAGGGAAGCATTACCTTGTGAGCAGAATCTCCAACGCAAACCCATCTATCGATGGCCCAATGGTTATATTCAGCCTCTTCCAAAGGCAGGAAAGTCCGGGTTATAGCCCTCTCGTACACCGCGGCGAAAGGGACGGTATCACGGATTGGCTTCTGCAAGTAGGGAGCAACATGCTCGTCAATCAAGCTCTGGTGGAACCGCGGGATTTCTGACGCGGAGTATACTCGATCCATCTTGGTGAAAAAAAACCAGTACACCCGACCCTCTTTACCAATGAGAGTCAGAAACGAAAAATCCTCGCCAAAGGTTCGGTGTCCGCTTCCGGGGGTCAAGCCTTCGACGGCTGTTGAGATGCCAAACACACAGCTATATTCAGACGTCATCGCTGCACGCCAGATAAGTTGAGAGTTAGGTCAGTCAGTCGATAGCAGGCTTCCGCATAGCAGTATCAAGAAAATAGCAAAACATGCGCAACATACCATTTCTTTCTATCAGTACCTCTCTTCCGAGGCCCCTAGACTCCATGTAGTCCCACATTTGCTGCCTAACAATACTCCGTACCCCATCAGCTCCTACTACCAAATCCCCGTCGAAGACTGAATGATCTGCACAGTGAACCTTGACCCTTCCATGCAAATTCTCGACTTTGATGACCTTCTTGCCCACAAGAATACGATCTTGCTGGTCCGCAAGATGATCATAGAGGACCTTGAGTACGACCTGACGATCAACAAATGCAATAGGATAGCCATGCCTCTTATGTATCAGCTGCGGCGTGTCATTCCGGACAATGAGGTTGCCTTCCTGGGTCCAGTAGGATGACTCCTGCATGGGCTCTGTGGTGTCCACAATGTCATCGAACAGGCCCAGTTGATCCAGAATGCGAGCACCGTTGGGTATAATCCCAATCGAGGCGCCGACTTGAGGTGCGATCTCATTATGAGCCTCAAGCACCACAAAGTCAATATTGTTCCTCAGTAGACAGTGGGCCAGAGTCAAGCCTGCGATAGACCCGCCCACAATCACCACGCGGAATTTTGGCTTAGGGCTCGCCATAGTAGAACTGATACGACGATTGTTTGAAGGGTAGGGGGCGGATGAGTTGTGTGCAGCGCTACGAGGGGGAGACCTTTACCATTTAAATAACTACTGATCGACAGCATAGGATAGAATTTGACAATGTAGTACGATGGTAGGATAATTATTATGCACATATAGGGCCATTCTTCTCATTATCAATTAATTGTACACGGATGGAAAGCAGTGAAGATCATTTCCTCAATGGAGCGGACCAGTCTTACCAGGGGTTGAAAATTACAAGAAATCCGAAAATTACTTACCAGAAATCCGAATCATCTTCAACACTTTCCGTTTTTAGTCTTCACTTTCACGCTTCTACATCCACAGTTTACATCGTCATGGACCCTCCAGTTTCACGCTATCCATTCGGTGATCGGAAGCGACGGCACCAGAAACCTCGCGTGTTGCAATCATGCACATTATGCAGAGAGAAAAAGTAAGGCTGTATACATGTATCAACGGAGACCCACAACTAACCTCGTCGATTTATCCAGACTAAGATGCAACCGCGCTCTGCCTTGTCTAAACTGCCAGAAGCGCAATTCGGGGCAGTTCTGTCGCTATGTGAAAGCATGTCCGGCAGATATCGGCGGGCACCTGAGTCACCCAGAACAAGCACTCCTCCAACGGAAGCATGAATCCTCTGCTCCATGGCCTAGTGATAGCAGCAGAGGAACCAGCACAGGGGTTGTCAACTCATGCCACTGGCAGACTATCATGAAAGATGCAGTCGGTGTTCACCAACCTCTGTTCTCCACCCGTCTTGGCAGTACATTGACGATCTTGACAGAATAAGCAGCATATGTCAGGCGAGGAACATATACAAACAGGGGTACATGCACCGGTACTGTTATCAGGGCTCTCACGCAATGTAGACATGAAAGATTTGGTGGCATCATTGCCAACTCGTCAACTCGCAGACAAACTAGTGTCTCTGTGTCTGGAATCTCATGAGCCAGCGTTGAGTACGTTCTAACACGAAATCCATTAGTTAATGCAGCTGACATTCAGTCGAAGTGTTCATACATCCTCCTACATTTCAATGCCAGGTACAGTCTGACCCTATATCAAATGCTCTCGCAACCCCATCTAAGAAGGAAAGTACCGAAAATTCTGGCAGTCTCCCTTGACAGCTAGTCCCGCCTGGCTTGCACTTCTTTATGGCGTCCTATCATGCGGTGCCTGGATTGAACATACAATGAAGTCAGTGATGGCCGAGTCAGAATTGCCTGACCTCTTTCATCTTTTGCGGGAAAAGTGCGCCATTTCGTTAGCTAAGTCGGATCTCACCGTTCCTGGGTGCTACAAGGTGGAGGCAGCAATAATGTATATGGGGATCGAGTATCTGGGAAGTAATGACTCGAAAACAGGTATTTCTATATTGGCTGGGGTTATTTCGCGCTTGGCCATTATGATGGGATATCATCGAAGTACCCACGTGTGTCATCCTCCACTACGACCTTTTGAGCTGGAGATGCGCCGTAGGAGCTGGTTAGTACTATCGGTTACTGACTCTATCGTAGCGTTGCAAACAGGATTGCCTCGGGTAATTTACCAAGGGCTTGGGGACTTCACTCGCCCACGCAATCTGCTGGATGAGGATCTGGATCCCGCCATGCCAATCCTACCACCGTCACGACCAGAAATGGAGACACCAAGCCGTATCACGTACATGTTGATGCTGGACGATATGTTGTCTATCGCCAATAAGATCACAGACATCACTTCAAGGGGGACCATCTCACCAGAGAGAACTCTCTGTCTAGACGAGGAATTGAAAGCCGCAAGAGGCCGTATCCCCGGTCCACTGAAGATGCCTTTTACAACAAAGGCCTCCGAAAGCCAGACTGACAACACGCTCATGCAGCATACTTTGGAGATGATCTATCAGCGTTCCCGCTGCATCTTACATCGCCAGTACCTGGTGTCTCCGCGAATAACGAACGGCTACGAAGCCTTCCGCTGGGCGTGCGTCGACGCTGCCCGATGCGTTCTTGAGTATCAATGCAAGCTCCTTCAAGACATTCTGCGTCGTCCGTGCAACAGACAACGGGCCTGGTTCGGAGTATCTCATTCGGTTTCTGACTGCCTGACTGCTGCCATGGTAATATGTCTGGATGTGCTCAATGAGTCGAAGGCCGCTCATGCCTTCTCCGAAGGTACGCGGGCGGAGCTCATCCAATTGCTTAATAAAACATATCTGAGTCTGAAAGACACTCCGCGGCAGTCAGTCGAGATTGCAAAGGCAGCCGAGCGAGTTGCTTCCATGTTATATGGGATTGGCCACGCTGTGGCAGGTGAAGACCTACGCTCTTCCCAGCCTGCTGTAGCAGAGACTAGTGAGCTCTACAGTTCCCAACTCGCAGAACACATGGCAGCCACAGTGGAGGGGACTTCCTTTCCCTACACAACCTTTCAAGACTTTCTTAATGGGGACAGTCCGCTCGAAATGTTTGACTGGGTAAGTCTTGTGTCACATGTATTCTTCTGCCATTTGGGGCTAGTGTGTCGGGGGGGTACCAGCTTTCGATGTGAGATTACTAATCCCCATAATTAGGATCTTTGGGATTGGGAGATGCAACAATTTAATTGTCCACTTGTTGAGAACGCATGATTAAGGAATACAAGGAGAGAATAAATCAAACCAAGAGCAATCCAGACGAACAATTCCAACGCGACAAACTTATATTTATGCGACCACTTAGGCCTGGTCAGGGATATTGTCTTCAAGACCTTCGTGACCATGCCCACCCCATAGACCGGCGTTCCTCAATGCTCTCTGATCGCTGACATAGTCTCCGTAGCAAGGGAGTCGTGGATAGTACAGTGGGCTTCCTGATCACGATAACTGATGCTTCCAGGCAGTAGATCAGGGACGGCACCAACATATTATTTGAAAGATCTGTGATCCTTTCCAAGCTGGTTCAGGCGATGGAAACAAGCGCTAGGTATTATTTGACAACGGATACCCTAATTTCCGGTCCATTCTAGTCTACTTGATGTACTTTCTGGTTTCCTTGATATGCTTTGCACAGTTTCATTGGTTTTTTCGGCCTGGTTGAGGCAGTACGAGGACCGCAAGCTTTCTGTTGAACATTCGCCTTACATTCAATCATCCACAGGTTCTCCTAACGTTTGACGATTATTACGTATCTCCTGCATTGGTGGATTAACGCGGTGTATTTCTAATACTATACAAAACTGGAGGGACTAGTCAGCTACTGAGTAACACTATATATAAACTATAACTACGTGATAAACTTTACAATCTATATGTTGATATAACCACTGCTATGTATATGTTAAAGAAAGTCTCATTTTGTACTATCTATATTCCGATAGTTATTGATTTCTATAAGAAAAACCCTAGATATCTCTCTGTAGGGAATAAGACTCTTAGCTTAGTATACTGAGGAATTTTCAAGAGCTACTGAGCACAGGATCTGAGATATTGAGTGGGCGGGGAACCGAGCCAACACGTGTGCCGAGTTACTGTCAGACCTACTAGTATATACCTGACTTGATCATTCTGCCAGATACCGATTGTTGTTACTGCGGTAAGATCGTGCCGATCCCTACCGGGCGGTTCGCTCAAGGCGGAGTATTGATGCCCAAAATTGCCGAGAGTGGATACGCGTCAGCAGTGGGGTCAGCTGAAATATCCCGGGCTATGATAAAGATACTAGATGCTGCCTTTACTGAACACCTAAAGAATGTGGCCTGGAGCTGTTATGATAGGGCTATATTTGTAAATACCAGGACCCATTAAGGCTCGCACTCTCTATGCTTGGAACGCAGTCTCAGCTCTATCGAGAGCAGAACCTTTGTATAGAGGCACTACTATATATCTGCATGGCATGGTATGAGTGTGTCGATCGATTGTGGGGAAAATGCGGCGTGGCGTCGTCTCTGGAGCTGAAATAACAAGCTTTTAGTGAAATAGTCTGAACCACTGGTGGGGAGTTTTCCAAGTACAGTAAACCTTGTTGTCAGTAACTAATTTAGCAAGCCATTCTAAATCGTTGTATGGGAGGAATACTTATAGTGAAGTTTCTATATAGACCAGCAGAAACAAGGATTTTACGTAGTACATATAGTTGCGATTATATATATATTATATAGGTATCTATTAGTCCTTCTATATAGTAGACAGTATTCTGATAGCAGGATTATTGTCGGTAGAGAAATGTATACATAGTGCTTGTCTATGTGTTATACGATTTAAGGTTTAAAAAATTGAAACCACGAGAAAAAATAGTGGAGGATGTGGTGTTTAGAGGGCTTTTACTATAGGAATATCTGGTACAGCTGATGGCATCATATCCTATGGAGCTAGCTGATGTCGCTCTCCACTGAATCCACCTCGCTTAGAGTTCGAACATGTCCCGGAAAGTAAATCTATCCGATAGGGTACAAATATTTAAACACGCAGATATTCACTCCGCGCCTACCTCTTGTGCACCTCCTCAATCACAAATTTCCTTGTGTGCCCAAAATGGTCAATGTCAAACTGATCGTCTGCGGTTACCACCGGAAATACAGTATCAACCACGTCAAATGGAAGGACCTCCCGACAGTGGCTGAGCGACTGATCGGCTTTCTTGAGGGCCACATAGGTGAATTCAGCCGGGACACCGACTATGACGAAGAATACACCATCGCGTACAGGTCCAATCTGCCAGAAGACACGAATGAGAATGCCATCCTCTACGCATTAGACGAGGTGGTCGACTGCTTCCTGAACCCAGAACTCGGCATTCGAGTGGCCCGCTACCAAGACTCAAGCTACGCTGGGTGCCAGTGGTGGCATATTAAGCAGAATTCGTACATCTCGACACAAATGTTCTTTTCGGCGCTTCAAGGTAAGGAGGCCTACAACCTGCCAGACTTGAAGTCCGAGAGATGTCCAGACTGTGACTGCTCATGGGATGATCCGAATGCCAATAATCGGGATCAGGAGATAAGACTCTTCGAGAACAAAACTAGCTATGAGAAGTCCTGGTATCGGTATAGGGATATTTTAGAAGGGAGAATGGATTATATTGATGGGGAGCTAATCACGCTTGATAATGGTAATCAGGATGGTGATGACGATGCAGGTTATGGTAGTGATGGAAACATCGATCAGGACCATGGTGACATTGAATCGAGAATCAAGAGTATGATTATGGAGGAAGGTGTGGATGACGAAGAGGTATGGTTGGCCTTCTCACCTATAAAAGCGAACCCTTCAATCTAACAGATACCCCAGATCGAGGATACTCCTCTCCCTTTTCTCCTTAGATGCAACCGACATTTAATACGGATGCTTTTAACCAATATTCAAATGGTACGTGCGTACACGAGTAAAACCGTGATTCCTCCTACAATCTGAAAATTATCTTAAAAAAATATATTCTAAATTGTTGATGGATGCATAGGAGTTCGGAGTGGAACTTGATCCGAGGCGACTGATCAAGTTTGATACAGGTATAGTAACAACCAACTCTATATACAGTTGCGTTTGCTGTGTGCTAATTAGCCACCTTCCAACAAGTCGAGGACCTGGCTGGATATATTAGACAACTTCCCAACAACACAAACAGTGACTATGAAGACAGTGACAGCGACTAATAGTCCTCTCATTGAACATGCAACAAGCATCTAGTGGGTCATTGGCTAGTTGAAAGCATTAGTAAATATGTCACGACGGCGGCCCGATGATCTATCTATATAGATTCCGAGCGCTTGAGGGATTGAACACCTCAAGCGATTGGTTTTGTTAAAGTTTCAATATATTGCTCTATAGAATCGTGGAGATATCCAAGTTTCCCTATGCGGACCATTTCCCTAGTTATTATAATAGTTTATAGTTTAGGATAGATATTTTTAATGTATTCGGTGATAGTATTAAGTTTAAGGTTATCTATATAGTTAATTCTTTTTATTAAAACAGTATAACCCCAGACTCTGAATATATTTATATAGTCTTATATAAAGATAATTAAATATATATATTATATATTTATATATTTCCCACATGGGCTAACTAGTCTTAGGACTTTTTTATTAAACTAAAGTTAACCTATTCCTATTTTTATTTAAAACAGCGGTTAACTGTATTCCTCTTTGTCTAACCCGTGCTGGGTGTTCCTACAGACTAACTTAGCCAGGAGCGACTATTGCAGCGAGTTATACTTGGAGCAGCGGCGTTTGCTGTACCACTCTCGGTTATGTTTTCCAGTGGTTCTACTTGGATCATAAGCCTAGGGCGTGGAAAGGTTCGGGATCTTTTAAGAGCTAAAGAAGCATGTTACAGCTCATCTAGTATTGAATATTTAGAGAAGAAAATCGGGCATACCTGATATTATCCCTACTTCCAGAGACGGGCCCAAGGAACAGATTCTGGAGAATACTAGACATTAAAGTAGCTGAGAGCGATCTTAGAACAATCCAGTCTATCTTACATAAGGATTGTATAGCCGTGGCGATATACGGCTACAAGATTAAGTAGCTATTTAAATGAATCTCTCTACTTATAATGTATTCTTCCCTCATGTATGTGACTGTGGCTTTATTCATTGTCATAGGGTTAGAGCCTTTCGACACCTACAAAAAATAGAATCCTTACCAATGTCGTCAATAAGACTGGACCGTTACGGAGTGCAATATAAGAACAGTCGAGAGCATGCGCACTATTAGAGTTTTTCAGTAGACTAAACGATGTTTCAACTGTAAAGCCAGGCAATAATTGGATATGTGCCTAATTGGCACGTAGACCGTCGGATTCAGCAGAAAAAGTGGTCATTCTCTGATTGATACTTACCTAAAATCTAGACCAGTAGATCAATTGGATGATCTTGGCTCTTCACCTTGGGCACAAGATTAAGGAGGCCGTCCTACGTCGAGTTCTCACATCGGTAGACCCCATTCGTAGACCGATGAGCCCTGTCCCTCACACTTGTACCTACCCTGAGTATGATCGGTGGTTCGAGTGACGCGTGATTGCCTTTTTATTAGAGAAAGATATTTACAGAATAACAACTAGCCATGAATCATTCTCACAGACCCTAGTGTTCCAGTTGTTTGGTGCGGAACAGCGTGCCGAATGACATCAGCCTCCCACATCTTGTGTTATTCACTTCCATTTCTTTTTCTTCACTTTCCTCTCACTCCAGATGCCTTGCTCACTTGGCTATCAGCACCTCCACCGACAACATCGTCTCTTTCGAGCTTAGCCATGTCTTTGATCCAGAGAACTATCCGCGCCATACGTGGTCGCTTTTCGCGTATTGATCGATCTAAGAACTTGGATAGTCAACGAACTGAAATGTATAGCATGCTCGCGGACCTGTACAAAGAGCTAGAGGGTCTAAAGGCCGAGGCACTTGAATCGGAAAACTTGGAGGTGTTACCCGTGCATATCCTACCACTCGACCTGAAAAGGACTACAGAGCTGGCAATACCCCGTTCGCTAGACCCAGGTGCCTACTTCATCCCTCTGTCCGAAGAGTTCATTCAACAGCGTCCGGTGGACACTACGGACCCCGAGACTCAACGGCGACTGAACAACGTCGCAACTATCCTTCGACCTGGATACAGCAGCAGTACGGTACAGCACAGGCCACTAAGCTCTTATTGTAAAGCTGGGGTTCTGGTCGATCGACTAGTCATGCAGATGTCAAGCCGACGGCTCAACTGCGAAGAGGCCATACCAAATATGACTTTGATCACCAAATGGAGAGGAAACACGTAAGTGCCAACATAATCTTGTGTCATCCTTCAGGACAGACAGATTGACTTGGGACCAGGGATTTCCATCTTAACCCAGCTTTTGATCGTCACGATTGGGATCATCGAGACGATTACCACTGGATCATCGATTTCTTCTACGCTTGCTCAAGCCATCCTACCTTCCCGCATATCAAGGTTATCATGCACCACAGCGAGGCAAAGGATCCTGAGCTGGTCCTTAAGGCAGAGGTCATGGCCATAGTTGCCACGATGTGGTCCCGCCTTTGCACAGAGACTCTCCTCGATCATCTCATTGTTCCGGTTAGTTTCAGCGTTCCATTTATCTGAGTCACTGCTGACCGTTTTCATCTCTTTCTCTAGGTAATGGTTTTTAGCTTCGCGGGATGCCGTGTGCGCATCCTCATCGGCATCCATGACGGCCAGAATTTGAGGATCGCGATGTCCGAATTCATTGAATACTCGGAAGGATCCCAGAATCTCTGGGACTTGCTCACTCGCTACTTAGGATGTGGTATCAACAACCAGCTGAGCACTAAGAAGCTGCCGGCGCAATAGCCTTCATGCAGGTCCGTTATAGAGACTGAGGGATAGTTGAAAGCAAAAGCATAGTAATGGTTTACTCAAAGTTTATGTCAGGTTTAGGTGGAAATGCATTTTGACTATTTTAGTTTAGATTAATTGAACCAAGAATGCGAATTCTCCAGATTCCAGTTGTAGCACTGCCCTTTACTAAGATCTTGCTCCTAGTATAACAGAGTAATCCTAAAATCCATATTTTTAAGCGGCTAACTGTGGCGGTATAATTCGCGTGGCGGCTTGTTACAACAGCTCAGTCATTAGTCCCTCAGGCCCAGGTATAATCACTGTCACACCCTTAGCCTGATAATCGACAATTGTGTCCCTCCCAGCCGGAGACCTCAACCGTCAATTACCTTCTATACAAACGACCGCCATCACCTGGAGCCCCTTGACCCTGGTCGAAGTCTGCACACCAACCTGTCCCAACCCCTGCAGCCGAACGGGCTAACGCTTTAATCTTCCTGTTGTAGTACCCATCCAACCGTGCTAGTACACGAGCCATACTCAACCAAGTGCAAAGCGAAGGTGCTGTGGGTTCGTCTTGAGCCGCGTCAGGGATCTGCGTCTAAAGCCAGTTTTACCACAGCCTGGTAGTTGGGAAGCAATGAGGACCGGTTGTAACGAGGATTACGATACTTCAATACCGTTCATGGTCATTGAATATGTTGTAGGTGACAACTGAGGAGCTCGGTGAATGATTCTGTAGTCCTTGGTGCTCTCGCCTCCTCTATGTATTACTCGCTTTTGCGGGGCCTAGCTACCTTTACCTCCCTTACCCACCCACTCACTGACGCACTGCATATACCCAGCTTTTCTTCTCTCCTCCTGGCGAAATCCTCTGGGCTGCTTAAAAAGGCCCTCCGCAGTCTATCGAAGTTTGGCTCGGGAAGCCGTGTCAAGAAGAAGCAGCACGTCCTGTTTAAGGCGATCTGGAACCCGCCCGTGAACTTCGATCAGCTTGTGCGCGATGCCAAGAAGTATAACTTGAAAGACGTGTGGCAGGATGCTGCAAATCTTGTCGAAAGCTCCGGGGAACTGGAGCGATCCCTCGCTCTTGTCGAGAAACCCGAGAATTTTGCGCCTTTGACGGAGATCGACCTTCCCTGGCCCGGCTCCTGGATTCCTGTTCTACAATGGCAGACCAGAGTTCTCGAGTTCTGCAAGAGGAAGCCGCCCCCCCCCCCCCCCCCCACGCTAGAAACACCTTCAACTGGCACAAGGTCTCAGATCGGAAAGAGGAAACGTGATACGATCCGCATGCAAGAAACCGCGGAGCTTGTGGGTTGGCTAAAGAAGTCATACGCGCCGTGGAATGAGCATTTCAATGGGCAGTAAGTCAAACAGCCGCTCCCTAAGCCACTATGTACTCAGCAGCCCCATAGAATTCCTCTGCACGCCGAGCTCAGCAAGAACCTCATTCCCCACAGGGGGGGCGTCTAGGGTTTGTTTTATAGATGATCAATAGCTGCTTCCCTATACGAGGCGAGATAGCTCCCAGAATCTATCCATCACCACCAGCTAATAATGGCAGGTAAAGCGGACTATCGGGCTCTGATGCCTCCGCCTGAGTCGCTATGACAGTTCACAGCCTGGGATAGACATTTCCAACGCGTTCAGTGACAGTGTCAAGCTTGAGGTTGCCCGCATGGCTGGTCCCTCTTGTTGGAGCTGTGGAACCCCAAACCCTGAATACGCCCACGTGGTCTCACACAAAGATGGTCAAGTATATATAATATCTTTAATATATTTCCTATATTGGCTAACCAGCCTCAAGGCTTCTTATTGGATCAAAGCTGGCCTATTTCCATTTTCTTTCAAAACAGCCGTTAACTGTATCCCTCTTTGTCCGACCCGTGCTGGGTGTTCCTACCGACCAACTTAGCGCTTTTTATCAAGTGGGAAATGGAAGACCGGGCCCGGCGTACCCAGGTGGTGGGTCCACCTGACCGAACAGTATCGGATATCGCGAAGTATCGTGACCATATCGCCTCCCAAGGCCTAGTGTCAGACGACGCGGTTGGAGGACTGTATCAGGGATTTTTTTTTTTTTGAAAGACTTTTTGCTTCCCACGAGCAGCTCCAACACTTTTGAGGTCCTTGCTACCCCTAAGGTATGGCACGGGTATCCTATGGCTGCCATTTGAAGAGGGATTGTGATATTAGGAAGCCCCCGTTGTTATGCACTTGACCGGACTACGCTCGATCAGCTCATCACAAAACCAAGCTTCAACCGTATATAGTGGTCGATGGGGGTGGATCCGTTGGCGTTGAGTTGCCGTCTGTATGTTTCATCCATTTTTCGGAGAACATTGTCAATATATTCCTCCGCGGCGCTCATGTGTAAAACTTTTGCTATGGCATAATGCAACTTCAACAAATCCACAGCAGGGGGGGTCTATACTTCGATCTGGAGTAAGCAAAAGTATACGCGTAGCAGGAAGGTCAAGATTGGTAAAGATTTCTTCAGGATCGACATAGTCGATCTTGTAAGTGTGTCCCCCTAAATGCTCAAAAGCGATTTCAAAATTACCAAACATTGTATGGGCCCTCTCGATCAATGTGATAGCATTGATTGGTTTGTCAATATCACATCCGCTAATGCGGGGAACAACCGATGGATCAAACATATTTAGAAGCTTATGTGCCAACTGTTTACTCTCGGACTAGATAGAAGGTAAGTGAAGGGCCAAAGGGGAACATTCATAATCGTACATACCAGCGTTTGTTCACCCTTGCTGAGCGACATCAAAGAGTGAGGGAAAATATGTGCCACTTCTAAGTCTTCCATTGTGCTTCTTTCAGCGTAAAGACCGGCCCCGTCATCATCTACAAACCTGACGCCATCCACCTTGAATCTAGCTCGTGCTTCCACTCGACAGACGTGTCTCGTGACAACACATCGATGTCGGTCTCGTTTGAGACAGTTATCTCTTAATTCTTCGAGACGTTGGGGTGTGCCGATGCCAGCCTCTTGGGACAAGAGATGACACGCACTCCCGGGGGTGCTATTAGGTGTCTTTGTAGATAGAGCTTTCACTGAAAGGAATCAGCATCATGCATATTAGGATAGGTGCAGCGCAGCATACACGGCATGAAGAGGTTATCAATAATAAACTTAGCGAAATTTACTAAACCATTATAGAGGGCTTCGATGATTTCGGCGGCCCAGATAGAACGACTATTCAGACAAGAAAGACACGCAGAGAGTTCGGTGAGGTTATAGTTATTATTCGAGGCTCCACCGAGTTCCTCGCCAATAAAGTAGGAACAAAAACGTAGGAATGCATTTTTGTCAATCACCTGATCTCGAACAAGGCGCGTCAGAAGAATGGGTTTGAGACCCGTATTATTTATATGGTCCCGGTCTTGAAATTGGGTGGTTAGGGTGTCGAAAGTGTTCATAGCTCTGGCGTACTCTGCGGGCATTCAGGGTGGGCGTTCGGGGATGATGACCCGGTGCTGGAGAACTGGAAGAGCCATTTTTCAAGACGTAACTTGCTAACTACTCCATAGTAAGTAATCTCAGCTTTGAGGCCCACAGCTATTGAACAATGAGAAAAGAAATCCTATCCAACCAACGACTCGACGTAGCTTCGATTCTCAGTTCACACAGTAGAAAGATGTTCCTGAGTAGTGAAAGTTTAAACGAAGGTAACGGTGAAACTCTTTATCCATTTAATGAAAGATATCAACGATCATCTCTCTAGTTGTAGGGTCTCCACCTCCACAGAAGATCATAAATAACTTAAGGTTGTGTTAAAGTGACTAAGTTGTGTGGGGTGTATTATGCCAGAGCGGTGTTTACGGAGCACCGCGTGACTAGGAAGGTGTCAATGTCACGTAAGAGACAAAGCGGTCCTAATGTATTACAACTGAATTACGTGGATCTGGGCTAGAGTCATCGAAATGCTTCCTTCCTTCTTTTGGTTCAGCTTGCGAGGCAGTAGTCGCTTTTGAGGTTATTCTAACTAGTAGTCGTTTATTACAGAGGTGAGATAGCTCCCGAAATCCATCCATCACCACCAGCTAATAAGGCTCTTAAATTTTATATAGATAGAATTCCTCAGAGTTAATTGTGCAAATACTACAACAAAGCATTAAAATCTAAGAATTATCCACGGCCTTCCATGGGAACTCTTGCGACGGATGGATACCTCAAGATCAAATTAGTTAGTATAGAGAGAGTTAGATCTCTTCAAGTAAACAATAGGATGACTTGACATTCTATTGAATCTAATAAGTATTCTAGAGTTTACCCTAGTTAAATATGCTTGAGCGGACACGAACTTCATGTTCTACTATTTATCAGGTATAGCCCAAGTCAAAGGTGTCCCTCGGGCTCGTATAGCCTGCCTCCTTTAGTCTGAGACTCGAGAGTTGCGCTCTGTTAATACACCTTCGGCTCCATTTGAGCCTTGACTTTTGACATATTGGGCTCGGTGTCTTCTTAATGATGATAATGATAGTACATGATAGCTTGGAAATGTCCATATTAAGACAATTAGTGTAGGTGCTGGCTCTCATAACTTGGGATGTCGGAGCGTGCTTGAGGGTTCCGAGAGACAAAGCCCTAACATCAACAGGGCAAGACTCAAGGAGGCAGGCTCTGACTTGAAACCATCCCTTTCTTGCTGATTTGCCTGGATATTGAGTTACCTTCGGATGTAGGTCGGACCGGCACGGCCGCCTAAGCAAGCACGCTGTTTTCCCTCCCTGTCTATCGTCGCCCTTCTTTAAAGGAGTCTGGCCTCCGGAAGTTATCGTGCAACTTGATATCCGATAATTCCTTACGGAATACATGATAACCTGGACCTTGATGTGATACCTAGTATCTGTCATGTTACCCTTCCTTGGAGGCCTCAAACACAGCAGCATCGGCGGTCGGTAGCTAAGATATCTATGCTATGTCGTGGTAAGCGGGTTAACCTCCCTCAGCCAATATTTAACGTTTCTAATTTGTCTAGGTAAATCAATTAGCCGTGAGGAGCTCTTCGCGTATACCAATGGCCATTTTCTTGTCAACGAGCAATGGCAACTTGGTCGCCGCTTTATAAAGTTCGATGTAGATGTTCTTTGCAATATGGCCGCTGCCACCAGTGGGAACCTCTCTTGTATTAGAACGGTGGAGAAACTCGAGAGAGGTTTCAGTAAGGCTCTACTAATAACAAAGGAAAATGGAGAGAAAGTAATCGCAAAACTACCCTGTATTACCGGGCCAGCCTCTCTTACAACAGCGTCCGAAGTGGACATTCTCGAATATGGTATATATTCCCAGTCACGGATTTTCAGAGTGCTTACATATAATATCACACTATCAATAAAGAAGTATACGAGCATTCCTGTTCCACGCGTGTTTGCCTAGTCTTCCGATAATTTAAATCCTGTGAGTGCCAAATATATTATTATAGAAAAGACAACAGAAATTCCGCTGTTTGAGCATTGAAAAAAGATAACAAAAATCAAGAAACTTAACTTGATAAAGAATTTAACTAAGTTAGAGACTTAACTTTCAGCTATTCAGTTCCCTGCCTATAGTAGACGATATCATCGAGCAGATGCAAACCACTTGCGATATCAAGTACTTGATAAGAATATAGATCCGTCCAGGTTATTTTGCATTGGTCCATCTTGCAATCGTTTCTTCGGTACTGGGCATCCCCGAGACGTAGATATTAACTAAGGACCTTGTAAGCACTCCTGAGATTGTCTATGCACTCATACTAAGGGATTATAGGGAATACATTATCGGATTATAGGATATTAATTGTAAAACGGGAACTGTCACAGATTTTAAGCGGTGACTCGGACAGTAAACTATTATTCAACAAGAGAAACATCGAGAAGTAAGTCCAGCTTCTTGAAATCACAATAAACCTCATACGGATAATAGACTCGCATCCCATACTAACCCAGTTTACACAGCCTACACTATAGCACACCGATTTCCATATAGGAAATATCTTCGTTGCGCCTAACGATAACACAATCACATTATTAATTAATTTTCAGTCTATTTCCATCCTTCCCTTATTTCTTCAAGCTCAGTGGCTGACCTTTTTAAAACCTCTATAGAATTACGTCAAGGGGCTTATCACCCAAAACTTCCAGTTAACTTCAGTGAACTTGACAATAATACTAAAGCGATTACTCTACAAGAGTAGACACAGTCCAAACTAGCGAAAGCGTACAAAGTTGCGACACTCCTTAAAAATAAACATACACATAACGCCATAGAGACTATACCTCATATTTTTCGAAAACTTTTTATCCGTTGTAGTAAAGTATCCGAAGTTAGCGCTGTCCCACTCCAAGAATATTTAATAGAAATCTATCGGAACTGGTCGGGTCTAGGTTTTACCAGAAAATACCCTTATTTATTCAGTAATAACGAGATCAACGCGCATAAACGTAAATTTATAGAATATCAAACCTGGAACGAGGCCCAGCAACTCGCCCTGCAATGCCTGGATACCAATACTAAGGATTGGATCGCTCCACAGTTAAATATCGCAAAGAAGCGAAGACAAAACAGGGAGCTACTTACTATATATATCGAACAAATAGCTGGAGAAAAGTCCGCTAGCGAAGCAAGAGCAATATAACCATTCCCAGATATTCAATAGCGGGAAACGCAACCAGGATGTATCTTGGTTTATGGTAGATAGAATTCTAAAATACAATAGCAAAGTGGATATATATAGTATTTTACAGGTGCTTGATTATGTCGCAGAATGGGTTTGTTCACGGATTGGGTATTCAGAAAACTACGCGATATTTCCATCACGTATTATCATTTCATTGGGATTTCTAGCAGGCCTACATCATTGCCGTGATTCATTTTCTGAGACCTCTGGTTGTCGTTCATTTAGTCTGGTAAACTTCATAAAGTAGGAGACATAGTGCCACTCACCGGTTAAATTGCTTGACACAATATAGACAAATAGCCGCACATTTGCTGTCGGCCAGGTAGACTTGTGGATAAACACATACCCGTTTACATCCACAGCAGCTTTAGGTATTAGAGTAGATTCGAACCAGTTGGTAATGGAATATCCATACACCGTAAGACCTTTCCTCCGAGATCTGATTCCCTTTTTACCAATATCCACACCGTCTCTCAGACCTGATTCTCGCCACATGAGTTCGCCCATGCACTCCTTGCTTAATATAAAGAAACTTCTGTACTCGGAGCATGTGTGACAAGGGTTTCATGAGTAAATCGAATAAGATCAACCAAACTACAGCAGTATAACCATGCTATCATATGTCTCTACAGGGAAACGTCATATGAGTAACCAAGCCATAGGTTGGTGAATCCCTCACAGCTCACAGTAGATTATACTCCCATCCACGTCATCTGTCCTCCCGGGAGTCACTATAGTCTGTGAAAGACAGCTGGGCTGATAGCCTTTCCCGGTCCTCTCTCTCTCTCTTGTGAAACAGCGGTCCTGCCTGAGCTAGGCCTATGACATAGCGATAGATACACTTACTCCTTCAGAACGTTTATTTTTTAACCCCACACTGTCACTCCAGAAGATCTACGGTGAAATAAGCATGACGGCACCGATGTACTTCGTATCGTCGACCAATAAATGTGCCGGAAATAGTTCCCAGGGATTCTAGACCTCATCTACTAACGATTTCACTCAATGAGCTCGGATCTGCCAAGCTCACTGCTCTCCCACATAGAAGGTTGGAGGCGATTGTGCTTCGCTTTGTACGAAGAGATAGAATGAAAGAAAGTTTCTCCCGCCATCTTTAATTTACCTCTAACGCAGAATGGTGAAGATATTCAGCAAGTCTTCCTTGGCATTGCCTTTCCCCACCCTGTTCTCCGTCGAGTAGGCACATCATTTTGCATAATTCACACCAATGTAAAATTAACAGTTCATTTTACCTGCATAGAAAGATATTCATTGGCGGAAGTCGGCAATTCTACGGCCCAAATCCTCGTTATTCAAGTCCAAAAAAGCATTACGTGGTTATGCGGCGTGTCCGACATTAGAATTCATGATGGTGTGTAGCAAATCCGAGGGTATATAAATACTACGTAAGGCTGTTTATGAAGCTTACCTCATCTGCTATACAAAGTATTCATTTATTCAAGATAGTCATGTTTTCTTCTCTACCTCTTTTAGGACCCTCCAGCTCGCCTCTGGCAGCTGTTGGGTTCTGGTTCGGACTGGGTGTACTACTGGTGAGTGCTCTATAGTGTGGACGGAAAACCAGAGTCAGATTGCTAATGCTGGACAGAGTATTCTCTACCTCCTCGCGGTTATTATTTATAACATTTACTTTCATCCTTTGGCAAAGTTCCCTGGCCCGAAGTCCCACGCGGCCACGCGAATTCCTTACTTCCAGGCTTTACTTAGGGGCCGAACCGGCAAAGCTACCAAGGACCTACACGAACGGTACGGGGAAGTAGTCCGCATCGCTCCCAACGAATTATCCTTCATCGGCGGCGAGGCCTGGACGGCAATATACGGCACCCGACCCGGACATAGGCAGAAGCCGAAGGATGTCCGCTACTATCCACCCACAGCAGGCGGAGTTTCCAGTATCATTCTTTCCAACGATGAAGACCACACTCGTTTTCGACGTACGTTGTCCCATGCATTCTCCGAGAACTCGTTGCGTGCTCAAGAGCCGCTCGTTAATGGCTATGTCGACCTTCTGATACAGCGTCTGCACGAGCACTGCGACGCCGGCAGCAAACCCCTCGACATGGTTGCATGGTACAACTTCACCACCTTCGACATCATCGGGGACCTGGCTTTCGGGGAATCGTTTGACTGCCTGCAGAACTCGGCGTATCACACTTGGGTCTCGATGATCTTTAAACACATCCGCTCCGGCACGTATGGAAACGTTGCAAGACGCTTTCCCGGATCTAACTTTCTTCTGCCTCTCATCACGCCCACGCACATAGCGAATGGGAGAAAGTGGCATGCTGAGCTCACGAGAGAGAAGGTCAAGGCCCGGCTCGCCAAGTCCAATGACCGGATGGATTTCTTCGGACATATCCTGAAACAGAAGGACACGGAGCGGGCCATGAGTTTCGACGAGATGGTCACAAACGGCAGCACATTGATTGTTGCCGGTTCTGAAACGACGGCAACCCTGCTCTCGGCTGTTACGTACTATCTGCTGAAAAATGAGCGGGTTCTGAGCAAGCTCCAGCAAGAAATCAGGAGCTCGTTCCACAGTGAGAAGGATATCACCGTTGTTGCTTGTAACGAACTCGAATACCTCAATGCCGTGTTGACGGAGGGCCTCCGCATCTTCCCGCCCGTTCCTACCGGACTACCCAGAATTGTCAATGGAGATGGTGACACGATTGCTGGGAAATGGGTCCCTGGGGGGGTATGTTCACTACTAATATTAAGATGATTCCTACAAATCAAGTACTAACAACTCCCCGTCCTACAGACCATCGTCTCCATCCCACACCTCGCCGCCTTCCACTCACCATCAAACTTCACAGAGCCGGAGTCATTTATCCCAGAACGCTTCCTCGGCGATCCTCGATTCGCCAACGATAGCAAAACCGTGCTGCAGCCGTTTAGCTTCGGGCCCCGGAACTGCATTGGACGCAAGTACGTCTTCCGTTCCCTTGTCCTCTTGAAATCTTTGCTGATCAGTCTTAGTTTGGCCAACGCGGAGATGCGTCTTATTCTGGCTCGGGTGCTGTACAATTTCGATCTGGAACTGGATGAGCGGAGTGTGAATTGGAATCAACAGGAGACGTATATTCTGTGGAATAAGCCGTGTCTTTATGTTAGGCTGCGCCCTAAAGTGGGTATATAGGGGAGGTAAACGGCTGGGAAGTTGACTCCGGGGGTGTTCAATACCTGTGGTTAGTTTATCTTTGAGTAGCTGTTTTTAATGAATAACGATGAGATACATTGATTACGATTAATGTAAAGACCTTATATTACAGTTACGATATAGGATAAGGTATACTATTACTTGATTTAGGGCTTTGTTCTAAACAAGATCAATTAGTACTATAACAACTAGTTACCTCGTGCATAAGATACATCCAGGATATAGTGTCTGAACATCATGACCTTCCAATTGGAACATAAAGCCAAACACCAACTAGGGAGATCAACATTACATGATCTTTGCTCAGTTTATATGTGACCGAAAAAGGAATGTCCAGCTTCTGTTAAGCACGCGTGATAGCAATGATCGTATATTCTTATCCCTTGAATGGCCCCCTTTCAACAGGAATATCAGAGACTTACATGGAGGTCCTCATTACAGTGCTTAGCTCTCACTTCGATGATGACAACGGTATCATGATCATCCCAGTTGACCAACTAAGTTCGTACCAAATTTTCACAATATTACAGATTATTGCGAGAACTAGAGGCTGAGCATCATCATACTGATCCCTTTTTAACCTCCCAGGCAACAATCATGGGAAGCAGAAAATCCTTAACATTGTGGTTAAAAAATGGGATACCAAATCCTAGCAGCTGCACTAGCCACAATTATCATTTTCCATGGCTGAGTACAACTAACAACTTCTTTCCTGCTGCCTTTGTGTAAGTTTTTCTCTATGTCAACCGGGCTTCCCCATCCTGGAACTCAGATGAAGGCGACAGGTGTATTCTACTTTCAAATAGCGATTAAAGACTTAATCCAAGACATTCCTTGTGTTCGTATCCCGGTATCTGGGGCTACGCCAATTTGCATGAAAGCAAGCAGTGGCAGGGCTATGCAGTATTGGCGGCTGCGTCCGATACAAAGAAATTGCTCTGTTACGTGCCTCGTGGCCAGGTATCACAGGAAGCATTGACAGTGTCGATAAGATGTAGACTCGCCATAAATCTTAAAACACCCGAATCCATCAGATAAAGGCGCTGAGAAGGCTATACGACTTATACATAATATTTAGCTTCTTTTCACTTACAAGAAAAAGTAGCGGAGTGTGGTCCAGTGGTTATGATATGTGCAATTAGTCACAAGACCGGGTCGATTCCCTGCACTCCCATTCGCTTTTGTTTTGGATTTTATATACATTTTTCCTTGTATCTTTGCCTTTGAGCCCTAGTTAGCTGGTTTGCTTTTAGATAGATTTTTCTTTTCTAATTTTCTCGAGTCATACAGACGCCACTGATTGTCCGGCTATTCCACCGTTGATGGTGAACATAGATTCAGCGACCGATTTTGGCCGCCCTACAAAGTAGTATCCTGTAAGATGTCTGTAGCTGTTAGTACACAAGTTCAAGTTGAGTAACATTTCCCTGGCATTAATTGCTAGAAACCTCGGCACTTTAATTAAAATTGCGGAATACCACGACCGAACCCTAGGCTGAAAAAGTTGAAGATTGTAGATGGGACGACATTTGAACCTTATCAGTTTCAGCATGACGATTGCCTCCCAGGAACCGGGGTAATATTGCCTCGCGAGCGTGAACACTGGACGACTTGACGGAAAATGTATATTCTGGCTAAATGGCATAGCCGGTAGTGTAAGATATCTACATGAACAAGGCTTACCCGGAGGGTGTTAGCAGGGGTCGTGGGACTGTAGAGGGTCTTTTTCTTTTACTAGCATAGCACTTGCTGATAAGAAGGTATATAAAGTTATACCTTAAGACTAAGTTTTCGCACTTGGGGCAGAAATACTCATTATCACCATATTGTTTGTGACCAAAGAGTGTCTAAGGGAAATGCTTACAGATTGACCGGGTATATATCTTAAATAACAGCATTAATTTATATACCAGTCCTATAAATCACATTCCTGCTAATAAGGATACATACAAGACTTATAGATTGATTCGAGAATTTAACAAAATAGCTGGTACTTTCATCTTTACCCTATTCCACGAGGTAGGTAAGCATTCGCAGAGCTCGTATTGAAACCTCCCCCGCTGACACGAGCCCTCTCACGCATTCACGCATCCACTCATTTACCCCCCCCTCACACTCCAAGAATACCAATAAACCTTTCATAAATGCAAACCTACACTAACTGAACTCTCCCCAACAAGTCAACGAACATAGTTTAGTTCCAGGAACACACCCAAAAGGAAATCTATGGCCACAAACTAGCACGACGGTAACTTTCGAAAACCCCGGCCTACCTTCTCAGACGCAAGGCAAGGCGTTCATCCATGCTGTGAACCTTAACCCCGGTTCTCGAGTTTGCCACTGAAATATAGAATATTGTGGGTCTTACACTGACTCGTTATCTTCGCAGTCTATACACTCTAAAGAATCCGATATGACTCACCCCAACCCTAGATACATAGTTAGGAGAGATGGGATAAGAATCCGCCCGCGCTGACAAACCTGACGTACTTAGGACTCGCCAAGTCTAGCCCTAACTCACCCCCCGCACTCGTACCGTTGGATCAAGGCAGGAGTACAATTATTAATACATTGAGTAGACACATACACGGCAGTTATGTAGACCCTCCCAAGAGCCGAACTGTATCCCCACAGAGAACTAACATACATATACCCAGTCCGAAACCTACCGAGCTGCATGCATGATACGTATACGTCTAAGAGTCACCGAACTACTCCGGAGGCACAACCTTCCACATTCATCCGGCAAAGCCAAGGCAAAATAAAATTATGTACACAAGGCACACCCGCATTTCCAAACGAAACCCCACGGGGAGAAATCCGAAAGGGGCAATTTATGCGAGCGTGAACTGGGGGGTTGGGCTTGGCTGCTCCACTTTACTTCGTGTTTCTTTCTTTGTTTGTTGGGTTGCCTCTTCTTTCTTTCTTTTCTTTTGGGTCAGTTCGGGGGATGGCCGAAGTGGTTCTTGTCCTCTCTCTATTGTATACTAGGTACTTGTATTTTGGATTGTGTATTGCATATTGGATATTCGGTATTGTACTCTGGATCTGCATTTTGTATATATACCTATGTGAAATAGAAGAGATATACAGTGGAAGATGTACAATTGCCTCAATCAGATCGAAATCCTGGATCCGGTTCTTTCTTTCTTTTTGTCAAAGTCCTGTTTCTGAACGCCTGTATCGCCGTGCCTTTCGTTGGTGGTTCCGTGCTTCGTAAATCATAGACATAAATATGGACATGAAGGAGAGTGAGAATGGTAGATAAGAAAAAGAAATGACCCCCATGCAAAACAAATATAACGCAAAAGTTTCGACTGTACAACAATCGTAATATAAACAGTGTAGATCGTCGGTTTATGTACTAGATGTTGATGCGGACGGCTGGTGGTCGCCGTCATCGCCGTGGCGTCGAGTGCGAATGCGGAATCGGTCACGGAGGCGGGACGTGAGTCGGCCGCGTCGCTGTCGTTCTTCTTCGTTCTCGACGCTGTTGCGGTTCTCTTCGCGCACGCTGCGCAGCGCGGCCAGGCGCTCTTCGACGGTGGCTTCGCGCATGCGGCGCGCGTTCAGCGTGCCGTGCAGGTAGCTGGTGAGGCGGCGGTGGCGGTGGTGGGACTCCTCTGTTGCTGGTTCCGGTGCGCCCTCTTGTTGTGTCTCTGTGTTGTTTTCGCCTTCCTGGTTCTCAGTCTCGCCTTCCGGCTGGGCGGGGTTGAGGTCGATACGACTGGACGTTTTGTTAGCGATTGCGATTCTTCATGGTTGGCTAGTGGTGAAAGCTTACCATAGAGGACATGTGCCTGAGACATTCACCAGCCAAGGATCAATACACTCCGGGTGGAATTGGTGGTTGCAGGGCAGGACACGCATGTCCTGTCCCTTGACAAAGTCGTCGGTACAGATGGGGCATGAAAAGTTCGGATGATCCGTGGATTCTGTCGGCTTGGGTTGTTCTTCTGAAGGGGACTCGGTCGTGGTCGTATTTGTCACCGGCAAAGCAGCAGTTGCCTGGGGGTTCGTTTCGTGCACCGTGGTTGTTTCCTGAGTGGAATCTGGCTGGCGACCCGTCTCATCTTCAGAGCCCATCTCCACATCACCCTTGACGGCATCCAGCTTGGGATCCTGTTGATTACCGAACTTCACGATCGGAATTGTATCCAACATCGCCCTTGCGATCCCCTTCGTTCGACTTTGTCGTGGCCGTCCCGCTGTATATCGAGGGCCGTAGCGTTCCGGATGGCGATGGGCCCGGACCGCGCCGGTAATGATGATGGCGAGGAAGAGCGCCGTGATGATACCCGTGATACTATACAGAATAATCATAGCTGTGATGTAATGTCAGCCACGAGGGACCGAATGTATGCGCTGACATAACGGGCTCATACCAGTATTAGGGCTGTCCGTGGCCCCACCGGAATCCCCGGAGGTGGGCGGCGTCCCAGACATTGTAAATGACATGTCGGGCTTGATGCTCGTCGAACCGTTTCCAGTCGAAGAATGGGAGAGATTGGTGACAACCTTCGCAAGAGTCGGATTGACTAGCGTAAAGACGTTGATATATCCGTTGGCGTTGGGACCTGCAGTGTAATTACAGTGATGCACCTCGGAGCTGTACAAAAGAACCGCCGATGCACGGTGCGGCGATGTAATGACGTTGCGAACGGTCTCACTCGCATCTAAATTTCCGGGATAGGCGGATCGGTCGCAGCTGATCAGGGCGATATCACTCGTGTTCAATGCAATGGAGTTGGTCGCGTCTACATTCACCAGGTTGCCCGTAACATTGAAGTTCTACGCGGGACCACCGTCAGCATCTTCATTCATGGTTCATCCACGCCGCGCCGTACGAACCGTAATTTCGCTGTGATCGAGATTGACCAAGGCAGTGGTCAAGGGAGTAACGCTGACACCCGATGGCAGCTGAATTTGGGCGCTCTCCAAGTGAAACCTCGCTTTTCCCACCCACGAAAGATCCCTGGAGTTATTGGACGGCACCACAGACCAGCCGGACGAGTCTACCGCGAGGACAGTAGTCGATAGCGCGAAGAGGAGGTAGAGGAGGGGAAGAGAGGAAAAAGAGAAAAGGAAAAAAGAAGGGTCCTGAATGGGCCCCATCGATGGAAAAAGCCAAAGCTTGGAAGGAAATGGACTTCCCCACGATGACGAGGCTTACGGATATGGCGGAGGTTTGGGGCGCAGGAGATCATCTAATCCCGGATCTTCTGCGTTCACCGATCCCGAGCGCCTATGATAACCAGGGAGAAAAAAAAAAAAAGAAAAGGGAAAAAAGGGAGAAAAGAAAAGGTAAACAGGACAGGGAGGTACAACAGAATACTGGCCGATCAATGACGGTCTGATGCACCGTGACGGTGGGGGTTCCAACAAAATGAATTGCAAGAACCGGGGAACAAGATTTGGGGGAGAAAAAAAAAGTGGGATCTATCGATAAGCAGAAGGATCAATGGAAATGGATGGATGGAAAGATGGATCACCGACAACCGGGGGTGAAATTCGGAGATGTGGTGGAGCGCAAGACAGAGAGACAGAGAGAGAGAGGGGTTATGTCAGAGGGTCCCTCGAGAACCAACCACCGACTGTACGGTGGAGTTGCCTCGTTAGGGTTGCAGTTGTAATCCGTTGGTTAACAGGGCAAGTCTGTCAGAAAAATAATCCGGATGATCCGATGAAACACTCAGTGGAAATTAAAGGGAACTCCAAAAATATGTCTTGGACCCAGTCAAGTATATAACCAGTGTGGGGGAGAAACAATTGCAAAAACCGAAGAGTTGTTGCTTGTAGATATAATAGTGATTCCCAAGCTTAAAGTCACTTCAGGTACTCCCAATCAGTAACTGATACGGCGATTCGAACGAGGAACCATGGATGAAATTGACGACGAATCCAGTGACTAATTCGGTACGAAAACGATAAGGGGATCCGCCATGCACTTGATTTGCCCAAAGCAAAACCCGAGGTACAGAACATGCATTCAGTCCAGGCCAATCAATTGTTCCCATTGCAATCCCGTCAAACAATTACATTAGATTCTTTGCAAATCTTCTTCGATCGAGACTAGTCCTATCCGACTCGCGCTCTTCCGGTCTCGATTGTTTAGAATTTTCCCAAGATGCGGGGGAGTTGCTCAAGTACGAAGGACGGACTCTTAGTCTCGTCGGTCTTTCGCGCTTAGGGCCGATAAGTCACATGTTGGCCGATCTTGTCTCATTTTTCAGGCCAAGACAGAAAGGATTACCGCCCAGCTCACCGATGGGCGATACACCCAAGTCGAACAATGTCGATTGAATTACATTGAAAGGTGGGAGATACACCATGCGATTCACCCCAGAAAGAAACGAAAAAAGAAAAAAGAAAAAGTAAAAGAAAAGCACCTGATTCGCATGCGATGAATTGCGTCATCTATCAAAATGCGGTCCAACCTGCAAACTCTCCGCACTGGGGATCCGCTGGCAGACAGCTCTCGCCGACAATCAAGATTCCATACCATACCATGGCTTGCCGGACCCGGTGCCATGGCTGAACAATTCATAAGCTGGCCATGCTGTCTGGGCGTTGAAGTTTGTTCGTTTTTAGAACTACTATCCCACCTCTCGTTTACTCAAACCCAACGTGGGCAAGCTTGATTCGGACATCCACCTCGAGGCTGAGACGGGACGGTAAGCCCGACAATTGACTATTCAACACAGCCTCACAACCCTGGTGCCTGAACTCAGCGACGCAATCGATGATTCTTTCACCATCCTTTGATCGCAAGTCATGTCCATAATGTTCTCCACAGAACATATAAAAAAAATAAAAATAAAAAAAATGCCCTGTCGACGGCGGGTTCTCCGCATGTGAAGTGGCACGCCTCCGCGATCGGAGAGAGGCTGATCTCCGCACTCGGGCACTACATGCTTATCGACCTTCCGCATCCGACAGGATCACCACCTGCGTGAGGCGGACTGCTCACTGGGTAATGCTGCGTCCCAATATCCAAGCGGTTGGATCTCTTAGTTTTTACATTCCTGTGGGATTTGATTCGGTCGGCTTGCTTTCTGGTCCCTGTCAGTTGCGTTGTGCTCGGGGGTTACCCTGACTGGGGTGGATTGATCGACGCCGGGTTGACGATCTCTCCATGCAATCGTAGTTTCTTTTGCTAATAACTTAGCCGTAGTCCAATTATGAGAGGCCAATTTGAAGAGCCGAAAGTGAAGCTAGTTCTCTTACAGACAAAGAAACACCTCTAGTGAAGACGCTGAGGTTTCGAGGAATCAACCCTCAGGGGTCGTATTATATAGGAGTACTGAGTAGATCGAAATTTATAATTATAGGCTCCGCAGGTTGGTTAGTGCGCTGCTGTGCCCGAGCCTTAAAACATTGCAGAAATCCAAATCAATGTAAGAACAAGAAAAAGAAGAAGGACAAGTATCACAACCTATCTATGCAGTCGAGAGGGTGATACAGGAGGTCATAATATTACAACTCCGACGAAGGCGACGCACAAGCCATCGCTACACGACAAACCGATTGACGCGAATGGCCCAGTCCATGCCAACACGCACAATCCCATTGCTCACCGCAAAAGCAGCCACACGGTGAATCCATGTGTGACAACGTCTGCTCTTCTGCATGCCGTCCGACATTTCACTCCCGTGCCAACAACCCCGGAATCTCCAAAGCTTGGCTAGGGTCTAACAATGTGACTTGCCGGCCGAGACACTTTACTTAGACGCGGAGAAAAACACCCTGACCGTGTGCTTTCCGCAAGCTGCTCTTTCACGGGCTTCTAACTTTGTCCTGGGTCTTGGATGGCTTGATTTGCTGGCACATGGAAATCCAGGTCCGGGAAATTGGCAAAACTCGGGATCTGGCATATCCTTTAGTCATAACGTCCTTTCCTTTGGTTTCAGCTAATATATCACCCAGCAATATCGCCAACAGTCTACAGGCCGCCACAGACCAATCAAACAAGGTAGGAGGACACTGCGCATATTCATTATCTACCGCACCTACCCTGTATATAACTCCCTTTTATGCATTGCATCATCGAGCGGGTTCCCAATCAGGCCATGTGGATACTACACATTGAACCTTATCTGGAGACTATGGCCTCTTCAAACCCCGTGACGAGGGTTCTGCTGCATTTCACCGGTACGGAGGAGGATATTCATCAAACCCACACAAGCCAATGTGGCCTGCAGCGCTGACAGTTGACCTGTCTGAAAGAGGGTCGGGAGGAGGTCCGTGAGACGCTGCGAATGATGTGTGAGCCGCGGAGACGACAGGCAATGGGGACTAAGGAAGAGCTGGCAAGTGTTTGTGTGACATCTTCTGGGGTTGGTTTGATAGACCGCAGGAAAGGTCTGGAGCGAGGTTATCAGGCTCTCCTTTCTCTCGGCAGTTATTTTTATCTCACTTTGTGTTTAGAATCAGGGGGAGCTTTTTTTAAAGGGAAGGGCACTGAGTTGATGCACAGATATCAGAGACTGGATGAGGCGTCTGATAGTCCAGCTACACCGTCGTAAGTCGGGAATCCACACGGCCCAGTCTTGGCATAGTTGAGAACGAGCTTTCTGTGGACTGATGGATTCCCCATCAGATGACGACGATTGGCCGAAAGCATGGGTCTCGACCCTCCATGACAGCAACGCTTGGTCCGTGTGTAGGTTGCTTCCCAGACTCCGACACGATCATCCAAACCTAAAGGTTGTGGGATGACAGGATGATGAATGCCACGGTGGTGGCGATGGCGGTGACATTCCCGTGAATGGAGACTCCTCACGCATGGGATTCATAGGCTATGCTACTACTAGGAAGGAAGGTTAGGGTCGAAGGTAAGGTACAGTCCAAACTAACCCTGATGGAGCTCGTTTTCCCCAGGGCGGCCAACCAGATACGCCGTGAAGGCTCAATGGAAAAACAAATGAGAGGGATAATTTGAAAAGACTCGGATGCATGAAAGTGTATGCATCTAACAACGAAAGGGATTTGAAACCAAGCTGGCGGTTTAGTCGGCTTTGTTCAGCGAGTTGAGATTCCTCTCGATCAGCAGGCATCGGTCACTGATGACTCGGTCAGATGCCAGCCATGATCTTTTTAAAGAAGAGGAACAGGGGAAAGCGACATGGTTATCAATCCTGAAGGTGGGTATCTGGTGTGAGATAGAATGGTACAAAGGAGAGGACGAGAGACGAAAAAGAAAGAAAAAATTAAAAAATTAAGAAATGAAAAATAATTAAAATTAATTAGAAAAATGAAAATAAAAAAGGAGAGACGGAGAGCACAGACAAAGAACAGAAAATGGATATCAATTGACAGATCGGGTGGCCCACACGCATATCTAAAACCGCAGGAGAACAAAAAGAAAAGAAAGGCAAATATATCAAATAAAAAAAACCGTTCATCAATTAGCAATCGGTCGGCCGCAAGTTTTGTTCCCCTTGAATTTACAATAAGAACAAGAAAAGAAAAAGCGATCAATGAAAAGAACTAAAAGAAAATCATGGCAAAAGGGTAGACAAAAAGAAAAGGAAGGTGAACCATACCGGACTGGGCCAAAATTAGTAGCACGGTCCCATAGGCTACCAAGGCCTGGAATAATTACCCATCAGCGCATCCCCGCTTCTATTCGAGGCCTCGAACGCCGGACCGCCCGTGACTCCGCTGAAATGGAGACAACGATTGGTCCTCACGACAGGGAGGCGTACAAGGTTCCCTGCTTTGAGGGTCACTCTTCATTCCCAATCCATCACCATTTACTGAAGATTCCCCCCGGCACATTCAGACAAATTGATCTATTTGAACAGATCGGGAAGGCCGACAGGGAATAGACGGGAGAATTAAAGTAGGAGTGAGACAGACATAAATTAAAAAATTAAAGCAGAACAAAAAAAAAAAAAAAAAAAAAAAAAAAAAAAAAAAAAAAAAAAAAAAAAAAAAAAAAAAAAAAAAAAAAAAAAAAAAAAAAAAAAAAAAAAA